ACGAATACGAGCGTTTTATATTTTGTTCAGAAATTCTACAAGATCTGTGTCAAAAGACATTCCGTTGTCCAATAGAATAAGATATACGATTGGTCGATTAATATACAACAATTAAACAGGTTTAAAAAAGTAAACACAAATTACCGATTCAACATCAAGCGGTTATCAGGTAAATTACTGAGACCTCTGAACGCCTTGCAAATATCTTTTTGAAACGGCTTCCTGACCAATTTGTCTTCGTAAACGGCCTACAGTGATTCAACAGCACCATTTCATATTGTACTAAAGTCAAGCAACATTTCATATTTTTATTTTTGTCTATACCCTATATCACAAGTTATAACAACTAACTACAACTGTTTATATACTTTTTTAAATCGCACTTGCAAAAATTCTAATTTGATGTTGCTTGTTGATAAAGTTGGTTATATTTAAGTTATACTTAAATTATTTTTAAATACAATACATTCATCCCTTCTTTTTACAAGAAAAACTAAAATGTCATTTATAAGATCACAACTTGTACAAGATCATTAAAATTTATCGCATACAACTACAAAGGAAATTGAATGTGTATCTTTTACCGATTCAACTTCACTTTCGAGTTAAAAGAAGCGAGTAATCGTTCTAAAACCGCCACTGAGTGCAATGGTCTCTACCGTTGACCTCAGCTAGCTAGTCAGCTGGCCTAAAATGGGCCTAGTGGAAAGAAAACATTACGCTGTAGTCAAAGGTTGTACAAACAGTTTAACCTAAAATAATAACATCCATGAGGTAAAAACCAAAACAATACGCACATCTACAACTAACATATAATTATTGTGTACGGTAGTGTCATAAACACAAGTTTGAAAAAGGTTACAGTAACAAACATTATCTTTCACGAAATCAACAAGTTTTACCCTAAAAACTGTTGAAATGACTTACGTGTCGTCAGGTATCCAAAATGTACCAGTATTTCACTACACTATTCACTTCACTCACTCGCGGTCCGCGGTACACTACACAGTTGACGGTTCGCGGGTTCGATGACCCCAGTTGGCCACTGTCGGCTCGTCGAGCATTTGACTCGCGCATGCCCGACCGCGGCAACGCCGATCAGCTGATCCATTATTGTATCGCATTAGTCACCTGTTCGATTGTTGTTTCGTGTCATGGTTAATTTGTCATATGTCATGTCTTGGGGGAATATGGAAAATGGATAGTTTTTTTAGTGGATAGTAGTATCGGTATTTAAAAAACGTTTGTTTATCTTTCTGTTAGCTGATCTGTGTCGTAGGCTTTTTTAATATTGTAGTTGTTTCGTGTTGTAATATACCGAAATATTTTTATTTTGTGCCGGTGTTTTAATAAAGATTTTGGAAAATTAATTGTTGGATGTGGATGAAAATATCAGAAAAAGTACTATGTAAATATTCTTGACCTTAGAAGAACCTCAAGCTTATATAAATTTCGTGATCAATTAAGTTATTAAATTGATTTTTATTAAGTTTACTATAAGAGATGGAGTGTGTACGTCTTACATCAAGTTCTGTATACAGGGTGGCTGAAAAGTAACTTGCACCCCCCGACCCCCCCCCCCTTAACTTTTCAACCATTTGAGATATTTGAAATCTGTTTGTAGCAACCTTCTTAGCTATAAGGGTCTACAATAATTATGGCCAACTTTGAGGGTGGCTGAAAATTAACTTGCACCCCTTTTACATTTTTAACTAGCCTATTTGAGACATTTGAAATCGGTTTGCGGCAACTTGTTTGCATATGAAGGGCTACAATAATTATGGTCAGTTTTGAAAATGTTGCCTTTAGGGGTAGTGGGGGTAGGGGGTAGCTCAAAAATTTTAAATAGCAAGTATAGTCGAGTTTGGTGTCATTTTACAGGTCTTAACAAAACATAACAATTAACATACAGAAAATAGAAATCAGACCAATAATAACAATATGGCAGCTAAAAATGATTAAGACAATGGTTATTAAAAGTAATTTTGAACTGTCATTTTGTTATTAATGGTCCGATTTCTTGATATTAATTGTTATGTTTCGTCAATACCTGTAAAATGATACTAAACTCGACTATCATTGTCATTTGAAAATTTTGAGCTACCCCCACCACCGCTACCCTAAGGGCAACATTTTCAAAACTGACCATAATTATTGTAGCCATTCATATCGAAACAAGTTGCTGCAAACCGATTTCGAATATCTCAAATAGGTAGTTAAAAAGTTAAAGGGGGTGCAAGTTAATTTTCAGCCACCCTCATGGTTATTTGGATTTGAAACGTTTTAGGGCGCCATTTTGTTATTAATGGGCCGATTTTGTTTTTTTTATGTCAATTTTTATGTTTTGTCAAGACCTGTAAAATGATACCAAACTCGACTATACTTGTCATTTGAAAAGTTTGAGCTAACCCCTACCCCCACGGGCAAAATTTTCAAAATTGACCATAATTATTGTAGCCCCTTATAGCTAAGAAGGTTGCCACGAACAGATTTCAAATATCTCAAATGGTTGAAAAGTTAAGGGGGGGGGGGGTGCAAGTTACTTTTCAGCCACCCTGTATATATTCATACATAAGTATATTTTAGGTTAACTTTCCTACACGATTTCACTATCGTTTTAACTCGAATCAAGATAAACCCCAATGTACTTTGGTACATCCTTTCTATTACACAATCAAAGCTTTTGGAGTCCACTAAATGTACAAAAATGGGATGCAATGTCAAATTAAAATTACTACTACTGTACACAGTTTCTTCAGCAACCTTGTTATCAACTTGTCCAAAGTCTTTGGCATGATATCATTTGATCTACACAGTGGCTGTTATCAGTTTATCAGAGGTAATCTGTTATCAGTGGATGGGTCAGTGACCTCTCCTAGGTCAACAATCGGCCTTTTCTATCTCTCTCTCGCCTTCTATGGGATATTAGCAAGTTCTGGCCCTCCCAATACTTCTTGTAGCTAACTTCTGTCTTTTATCTCTTGTATGCCATCAATGCTACTTTATCCTTCTCTTGTAGCGAAGTTCACTTGAAGACTACTAAGACTAAGAGTGTTCATATAGAAGTGCCCAGACATTTCTGTGTAGAGCTAAATTTGAATTGTGCCCCCACTAGAGCAATTAAGTACGCTGATTAAGCCTACTGATTTTTGTCAAGGTAAAAAATTTAAAAAACCTATTTTTACCCCATTAAATCTGGTTCCCATAGTCCGATCATGATGGTTCAAACTTGTTCGACTAAATCTAGGTTTACTTGCTTGTTCCAAAATTTCATGTAAAGTGGACGATTTTTACTCGAGTTATCATGCTAACCAACATTCATCTATAAATAGTACCTGGAGCTTTACTCGGATTGAACTAAACATTAAATTTATTAGATAAAGTTATTTAGCTGAATTAAAGATATTTATTATGTACGGGTATCAATGTGGACACAGATGGAATTGTCTGAAACTGATCAATCATCCAAGAGGTAATCTATGCTTAAAAGGGTGAGAAATAAATACAGAAATAAGATGGTTTGACAAGTGAGAATAAAGCAAGAAGAGAACTTTCTTCGAAAATGGAATTAATATAATGAAGAAAAATAGATGGCAAAGGAGATAGGTAACCGGCGAAGATGGATGTTGAGGGAAGAGTGAAATAACAGAAGGTGGAGGAATAGGAAATGAGGGTTGACAGAACCGGTACAGTGGTAAGGAGAAGATGGAGAGACCTGGTGTACTCCTAGATACGGGAATAATTTAAACAGAAGACAATATTGAATGTTTTTAAGTTATGGTAAGAGGAGGCAATTTCCACTCTTTTACAAAGTAAATATGTGCATAGTTTATTAGTGTCCCTTCATTCCAACAATTTTATGTATGCACATTAAGAGTAGGTTCTTCCCCAGTGAGCTATGTTAACACTTTTTTTCATTATGTAAAACTATTGCTCGTAAAAGTCGCTCCAAAGAGTCAAATCTCTTGATATGTTGCAAATGTGCTCTAAAAAAATATTGTATGTATTTAGTTGATAAGAGCTGCAGAACAGAGATATTTTTCCTTGCAAACTTTACTTTCCTTTTTTGGTTTCCTAGGTTGCTGGCTCTACAGTTTAACATGTTCGCTGCGAGAATCCATTGAAAAAACGGTTGGAAATGTGACGCAGCCTCGGCGCGCCAGTGAATCAGCTAACACAATAGGCATTAAAATATTTTGGTCTTGACAGTGGCGGTAATGGTGCTGTGTTAACCCAAGAGTGGACGTAGTTCACTGAAAAACTCTCAGAAAGCAGCGCACTGCCTTGATCCGTTGCCGGTGCCTTTGTAATGTGGCTCGAAGAGCGTTGAATTTACAGGAAATTTTACTACCAACCTTAACCCAACCTACACCAAATTTAAGTATAGGACCAGCACAACATACTGACGTAGTTTAGTTGATCCCCGTCACTAGTACAGATGGCATCAGCTTTAACAAAAAATCAGTTATGCTTCCATAAATGCTCTAATTACTGCACACACAAAAATAGAAACACTAAGCACTGGATTCTTGTCCAAGCACATAACAATAACCGCCCAATGAAGGGCAAAATACTATAATTGGCAACAATACAATTTATTCAGGTGAATATCCATATATGTTACCATTTCCTCAAAATAAAGAAGGGATATGCATTGGCATTACAAAGCATGGCAAGCAATCTATATCCGATGTTGCCGTTTAGTCAGAAATGCTAGTTTTTGTGATGTCAGTATTAGCGTTTCATGTGACTATTAGAATTTGGAGATTTTTATACAAAAAAAGGATCTCTTTGCTGAGAGATCTATCATATTTTTTAGACAGGTGGGCTCTGAACCACACGATTATTACATCACATAGCTAAAGGCCCCTGGCCTGAGCTTACACTAGGACAAAAGTCCTGCACGATGAGTACAAATAAATTGCCCAATTATATACAAAAACAAAAAATTATAAATCAATTTGTTTCTACATTCCAGGTTAAATAACAAACTTACTCAATTTAACATACAAGTTATTTTTTTAAGAAAACACACATAGCTTACAAACAAAAATTTTACCTATTAAATAACACAGCCTGATTTAGTAACCTATACAAGCTGTATTGGCAGTCATGGTAGGAGTTGAACATGATAATTTACATATGAACACAGAATTTCTACATGATGACTTCAACAGTCAACACAGAATTTCTAAATGCTGATGTCTGCAGGAGGAGGCATTTGTCTGTTGTCTGTAACCTCGTAAGACAACTCCATCTCTACATCTTCATCCTCTTCATCATGAGTGTCGCTCTCATCATCATCATTGTCATCCTCCTCCTCGTCTTCTTCTTCTTCATCCTGGCACTATGGAGCAAAAACAGGCCTACTTTACAAAATACAGTAAATGTTATCAACAAACTGTCAATATTACATTAACTTGACATTAAGGCTGTGTTTACACCAAAGTCTTCCAATAGTTGCAGCAATTGGTTCTTTTCCTACAAAATAAAACAACTTTTTTTGTCATCCACTAGTGGACAGACAAGTCTTCCAATAAATTTTGGTTTCTTGTAGTGGAGTGCCGGTAAGATCAAAGAAAGTTGACAAGTAAAAGTGGAAGATTTGTTGTGGAAAACTATTTGAGAACTGTTCCCCCTCAACACTCTGGACGTGTCGTGGGGCAACAGCATCTCCCCGGTCTGCCACGCCCTACAAAAAGTCTTCCAGTAGTTGCTCAAATTTGTTAAGGTTAAGAGAAAATTTTAACTTTTGGTTGTCAACTTTGGTGTGAACGTGTCTTAAAATTATTGAGCATCCTATTTCTTTAATGAGCAAAAAATTCAAAACAATTAGGAGGAGAAATAATATTAATGTACTTAAATAAAAAAGTCACAAAAATTCCAAATTTAGTTTGCCATAATTTTTACACCGTTAGAGGTTTGTTTAATTTTGTTTGAGGAAAAGGACTAATCAATCAAAATTTCCACATTTCAATCAAATTATTTTAACCTTACAAAAACAGATTGTAAAGTAATTTTATAGGTTTTTAATGAGGCAGGTAAAAAATGAAAGTGTAAATAATCCCTCGAGAATTGAATGGATCTGTACCCACTGTGCAAAGTATAGGTATAGGATATACACACCCACACCCCACACAGGCATCACTTTAAAAAGCACTTTTTGGGCTTAGAGGAGCCCAAAACTGATAGCATGTTCCACCCACAACTAAAACCCGAAAATGTTGTAAAACAATACTTTTTTCAAATAATATGTCATTAAGAAAGTTTATATGTTAAACCCAAACATGGGTTTAAGAGATATGTTTGGAATGTGTGTTCGTGTTGTCTGTAAACTGGGTTCTCCAACAAGCTAACCGAGTAGTTCAATTAACTTTCTTTAGGTCAATGCCTAAAATGTGGTTTGAATTTGTAAGAAACTCAATCTCACCTCTGATGCAGATTTTCCAATAGGTGTCAGCTCGCAATCTCTTTGGTTGATACTGTTAAGCTGAAAAAGAAATAAAGTACTTATTGTAAGGGAGTATGTTTAATCTATGATATTACATAATGCACATTTGTACACTGAAAGAGATACCTGTAGGTCTCTTATCTCTGATGGTAAGTTTCTATACAAAGAAAAAGCATTTACAAGATTTGAAGACTCTGGGTAGGGCTGCAAACCTACATTTACAACTCCTCTGGTTTGATAACTTAGTTATGCATGGTTAACGTGACCATATATTTTGGAGTACGAAGCGGGACACCCCATTCCGAGGGGTCTGGGGTGTACCCCATAAAAAATTTGAAAAATAATAGCTGTAAACTTAGCGTTTTTATGCAATCTAGACATAATAATTTTTAAAACATAAATTGGTTTTGAACGAGTTTTTATTATATTTAACCTATTTGTAAGTTCATTGGACGGAACAAATCTTTACTTAGAAATCTCCTCAAAAGTGGATAGCTTCACCAAGTGCACATAAACAGCGGGAACTGAGCGAGGACTTGAATATCCCTCCGAGTGTTATGTGTCGTAAAGCGACTCATAACACATCCGCTGTAGTGTTATGTGTTGCTTTTGCGACTCACAAACACTGTTTATGGCGACGGCTCTGGGACTGACTGAATCGGATTGAACTGGACCGAGTTAGGTATCGTTTTTTTCAGCAGATTCAGAGCTTTCTCCTGATGTCTGTTGTCTATACGCTTTTCATTTTAGTTCTGAAAATATTGTAGCAGACAGCTGACGTGCGTATTTGTAAACAGCTTGGTTAGCCTCTCACCGATGACTGATGTGTTTTATTACGTTTATCATTGTTTTAGTGTTAAAAATCAAAAGTATGTAGTGATATACGTGGTGCATTATAAGAAGATTTAAGTGATTTTGAAGGGCTGGTTGATGATCCTGAAGAAGTAGGTAGTGATATTGATATAAATTATCAGCCAGATTCCTAGCTATGGTTAGGCTATAAAACTAAACGCTATGTACCAAAATCTGTTTTTTGCCCAAAACTTATTTATTTGCAAACCTACTTCCTTATATTATTATAATTTTGGAAGCCTCATAAAATTCTGAACAAAATGGCTATTTTAAAATATTTGAAGACCTATAAATTATAACAATTCATTGAGCGCAAACATAAATTTTTTTGTTTATTTTTTTTCAATTTTTGAGAAATGTTAACCCCACAAAAATTGTTGAAAATTTTTTTTGTAATGTTTTATATGTTACATTGAAGCCCATAATTTTCCAAACAAAATGATATATAAAACAGTATACTTTACATTGTTTTTAAGTTTCTAAGATACATTTTAATAAAACCCTGCGATTGCGCAATAAATGGGCAAACATTAAGACCAAAACTAGAGACACTTGGAGGGATATACAAATGGCGGGTCACATCACTTTTGTTCGTCTCAAACTTAAGTTTAATAAACGGATATTTCACTGGTAACTCACTATCAAATGTGCATTTCCGTATGGTCATTATCTAATGCACAATTGAACAGTACAATAATCAAACCACAAACTTTCTTCGCACCAAGAAAAGTTAACCTAAAAGTTAGAGGTTAAGGTAGCCTACTATAAACAACTTAACAGTTTAGTTTACTGACAACAGTGACAACCTGCGTCTTTTGAAGCCGTAGTAGCCTACAGCGCTTCAACACTCGCGCGGAAATAAATTTTACTAGTGCCGATCGTTGACATTTGTCTATGGTATAGTATAGATAGACCTAGTTGAGTTCACGTGATCGAGGATCGATGAACGATGCCGTGCTAATTGTACAGTTAACCAAATGTTCTTAGGTTGGTTTCCTTTAGTTTTCCTTAAAATTACTAACTAGTATTCTTACACGAACTAAAACATTAGTGTGGAAAGGCAAAATTTCATATTCCATATAATATTTAAAACGCCTGACCTCCAAAGCGGGACATTTAGGCGTCCCCTGGCCGATTGTGGGGACAGCTTGCTGTAAAGCGGGACTTATCAGATCTTCAATTGAGTAAGGTGTAGACAAGTAATGTTTTATGAAAAATTGACACACCAAAAGTAGTAGGCCTAATACAACTGGTAACTTAAGTAGGCTACAACAGAATGGCAAACAAGCAAACCTAGGCTTAAGTTAAACCAGACCTCAGTAGAGTGTTGTAGTGTGATAACTAGCCTAGGCCTATTAAGTCTTATCATCGATGAATGGGTGGTCTATGACATTTGTCTCCTTGGCTAAGAGACGGCTTCCACAATTAATTGAGAGTTCAAATTACGTCTCGGCTAGGTCTGGTCACCAGACTCTGGTGTGAGGAGCTTATGTAGCCTATCCAGCAGCAATAGGCTTTTAAGTTAAAATTTCAACTTTATCCTGAGCTATAGGTATGCTGAAAATCTTACCCATGATTGATGCTCTTGTTCCAACTGAACTAATTCACTTTCATCATTTCTAGGCTTATCTATGCTGAACCAAAGAGAATCCACAATTTTTGGCGTTAACGTTGGAAATAACGGAATTGACATACTTGTTCGAGGCAATGTGCCTATTTCTATTTATTAGTAACAATGCTATACTAAATGATACACACTGATCAGATATCTCTGTTAATAATAACAATTAATTCCTATCGATACTCGATAGATAGAAGAACTAAGGTGAACGTCAACAAACGAATAATAAACAAACAAACCCAAAAACGAACACAATTTATTAACAAATGTGAAGAATAAGAACAACGAACCACATGTTAGTTCTAGATGGTTGTATCATTGACTATATATTAGATCATTGACTATAAACTATAAGTGTTATATAGTCAATGGTTGTATGGTCTTTGCGTTCTTGAAGCAGAGGGACAGGCCGGAGGCTAAACATGAGACCGGGCATAGTTACAATCATTGATTATGAACTAGCTTATAAAGTATTTTTATATATTTTTATGTATTTGTTCTACATGGCTTTCAGCAAATTTTCTTTATAACACTTAGACCTACCTTGATTTTTGCACCCATCATAAATTTAATAAAAATATTACTTTACCCATTTTTTTCGAACGATCAGCTATAGAACATACACCCTTTCCACCATGAGGTTTCTTATCCTTGTGGATCAGCTGAAGACAATTTTATTCCGTCCGGTGCACTGTAGAGGTCGTGTTTTGTTTATGATTTGTTTCTTGTTATTTCAGCCATTTAAGCCTCGCTAAGCCAAATAAAACGATTTTATCAAACTCGTTCCTTAGCCATATAACCAAACAGTACAGCTCAAATAATTAATTAACCATAAAGTAATAAAAACTAAATTTCATTGACACTGTTATGTTTCTTCACCAATTTATTTGTTTTATGGTAACTGTAGGAAAAGTATAATGTGCAACTCGAGTTCAAAGTACAATTGCCTCACTCGAGAAACCATTCCTAAGGATTTCTCTCGAGTGAGTCAATTGCTCACTTTTCTCACTAGTTGCACAAATAACTATTATCTATGGCAACACTAAGGGAGTATGATTTATCTATGGTTAGTCTCTATGGTGATCAAAGGAACAATCATTGGTCTTTTTCTCCAAGCCTGTCCTAGTAACCATTCCCGGCGTTCCCAGCTGTTATCTTAAAGCAGAACAGACTGTTCTGTAGTAGGCTAATGTCATTCTAGAAGTTTGTTGTATGTGTATTGTATTGTATGCACAGCGCGGTATTTTTCTTTTATTCGTGGTTGTGTGTGGTTTGGTTGTATTGTATTCGTGAACAGTAAACACTCACCCATGTGCCCGTCTGTCCAACACTGCACTGAGTAGCGTGTGTTTGTTTATACTACAGTACTTTTATTTGCATTTAGTGTATTTGTAATCGAATGTATGTAAAAGTGTGTAAAAGTAAACAAGTCAGTTGTCACTCATCATCAGGCTTAAACCTAACCTGAAATCAAATTATCTGGAGTGGTAAATGGTCTTGATACGAAATATTTATTTTGTATGTGAACTCTTTATAAAATATAATGCATAGCAATAAAAATAATCGAGAGTTTTCATTGAGCAGGTAAGCATTGTAGGTGGATTACATAGTTTGTTATTCATCTATTTCTTAACGATAATCTACTTGGTAGGATGTAGTCTAGCTATTAAAACCTATAAGAAATAAACTAGACCGGGTCATAGGTAAGTTAAGTTAGTTTATGAAAAAAAAAAAATTGAAAACTAAAGGAGTGAGTAGGCTAACAACTATGAAGGAAGACTAGGCGTTTCTTTGCACTGTTTATTCAAAGAATCACACTATTCCCTGTGAGAGGCCTACTTTCAGTTGCCTTCAAGATTTTCCCTGTATTCCATCTTTGTGCATAGCGTATTTTAGCCCAAACAGGCCTATAGTTAGAATGGAGTGTGATGGCAGCGTATTTGTGACAAGACCATCTGTTTCATTAGCCAGGACTATTTAAGGTAGGTGTATGGCTCTGGGGAGTAGGATTTTTTTAACGATATTTATCCCTATTCGGGGAAATTTTTTCTAACATTTGATCCCATTTTAATATGCATGATTTACTCTACCTAGGCCTAGTTAGTTAGAAAGGATTACAGTACCGGTAAGCCTGGAAGACGGAAACAAAACATGCTAGATTGTAAAAAGGAACGATTAAGTTATGCCCTGAAGGTCTAAAACAAGCTAACTTAGTTCAACAGTCATAGTGTTGAGAATGGAAGGTTTCTCCTTTTAATTAATTTCCCAAAATATTAATTTAACTCAAGTTAGGGAACAAGGTATTTTGACGTAACGACCAGACGGCCTAGGACGGACATTAAAGTCGTGGATCCCGAGTAGTGAGCTAGTGTCTTGTGGAGACGTGGAGTGTGCGTAGACATCGGTGTCGTTGAAGGTTGCAAAGTGTGCAAAGAGTTGGAGTGTAAGTTGGGTAGAGACTCGCTAGTGGTGAGTGGACGACGTTTCACTATATTTTGGTTTAAGAGTTGATAACTTAGTTAATATTAAAAACTTTCATCCCTGATTTTATTGGTTGAGTTGTAACCGTGCTGGCCGAGGCCTGACGGTAGTTAGGATCTATTTATTAGTCAGGAATAATATTAAAGTATATTTCTGACGGTTCTGGGCAGGCGCTAAAGCGCAAATAATATATTTTATTGATTTCGGGAGGTTATTTTTGCGTTTTACCAAGAGTTAGTTATTTTACTAACAACTCTGAGGCCCGACAAACCTAGGCTACACGATTTGGCATGCGTAGTTGGAGGCACGCGGCCAGTAGGCTAGTAGCTAATTTTATTAGCTTATTAACAGAAGCCCAGCTAAGTAATATAATATAACGTTGATATAAGAATAAGAATAAGAATCTTTATTACCCTTTAAACATTTTACAGTGCAATAGGGTTTTTCATTTGCCACATAATATTAAGGGGAGTCCAAGAAGAAATTTTTTAATTTTTTTCTATTTTTACTTTTTATGTTCTTTTTATAGCACAGAATTTCTTCTTAAAAATGGTATACTTACATTTTTGATTACTAACCTAGAAATGTATAAAAAAATATATTTTCCATAACATTGCAGTGACGTTTTAAAGGTAAAACTAGTAGACCCTTGGAGGCTTTTCTTGCCAATTTCCGCAACTTTACTTTTTTTAACTTTAATGTCATTTTTTTCAGGACTGGTAATACATACAGCTGTGAAATTTTTACCATGTAGTCTTAGTGACTTATTCTAAACACAGACATAAGGACATCATATCTTTAGTAGAAGCATGTAAAAAAAAATAATAAATTTTATTTTTGAAACAAATTTTTGTTAAATCTATAAAAACCGATAAAATAGTTATTTTTAATTTTAAATGAAAAATCATGTGTCTGTGTCTAGTTAATTAGTTAATATAAAAGTATAGGTACCAAGTTTCACTATCCTACCTATTCTAACTCCTGAGAAAAGTGACATTTAGTTAACATTACTAAGATAGGACCTCGGACTCCCCTTAAAATGTAATTTAAAATATTTCACATGAAATAGTAACAAAAATAATTTTATCAAATTAGTTAAGACAAGCTGGCCTGGTTATAATCTAAAATCTAGTCTAATGGCAGGAACATGGTGAAACATAGGGCAAAAAATATGAGCAAAAAAATGTAAAAATACAAGTCAAAATAGAACGAGTACATAGAAACAATACTAACATGGCAAGATGATAAAATAGATTTTGAAACAAATTAACAAAGGTAAATAAAAATATGACTATATCAAAATGGTTAGTAGCAGTAGTAGTAGTAGCAGTTGGGTTGTTATTGATTAATCATTTAATTATTTTAATTCAACCTGAACAGCTTGTTTGGTAATCCTAATCCAACACAATATCTTGGTAGCTTGGATAGCGGAGTACCGGCTATCAGATAATATATTTATCTAGTTTTTGGAACGTACGTTAATATTTATTTCTCTGCTACTAAGTAGCATAATAATTCTATAGTAGTGCAATTGACATTTAGTTTTGCTTGTTTGGCTTGGTATTTATTGAGACCAGCTACTAGAGGCTCAGTCACTCTGCCTATAGTGTACTTCCTACTTTTATATGATATATTTTATATGACTGAGTGAACTGTTTGATTGTTAGCTTGGGCATTAGAGTTGTGTATTGGATTAAGGTGGCCTAGTGGACCCTGCCTGGTGGTAACTCGCGTTGTGGTTTTTATTGGCAAGTCGTCGTGTAACTCACTTTGATTTAGGCACTCTGGGCTTAACTATTGGATAGTTAGGATGAACCCCGAGTTGCGTAGTCAGCAACGACCCCCTAGGAGAGTGGAGAACCGGCTTAGGCCTGGTGGTGATTATTGCATGTTTGTTTTGGTGACTTTGTTTTTGACTTGTTCACAGTGCCCGTGTATGAGCCAGTCCTATACCGGTTAGACCCGGCTGCGGCTTTTGGCCAAGTGGTTTCCCTGACCTTATCGCAGACCCTGGAACTTTTTCCAGCCATAGTAGGCTGTGCTATCCTTGGCAAACGTTTGCGACTGTACTTTATATATTTTTTTTAGTGCAAGAAAAGTGTGTCGCAAGGTAATAATAATAACTAATATAATGGTTTTAAATACCTTCAGTCACCAGTTCAAATAAGTCGGCTATTGCGACCTAGGTTTCGGCACGAAGTTGTACCATCATCAGGCGGGCCAGTTTTCAGTCTTCAGTCCAATGGACGTCGTTGGGTTAAAACAAATAACAGTTCACGACATACAGCACAAACACGCACACGAACACATATAACGAATAATACCGGTATTTACAGAAAGACGACATTTTTGTAAGTTCACCGGCCGCGACGGGTGACATTCGTATTATATGTCGACTTATTTGAACTGGTGACTGAAGGTATTTAAAACCATTATATTAGTTACTATAACCAGTTCAGGGGCAATCCCACATCTTATGATGTCAAAATTAAAAAAAAAAATTCATAATAATAGGCCTGGAGATTTATATCTGAAGTGAAGTGATTATCCAAAATCTTTTGATTTGTTTTACTTGATTATTAGATTTTCAAATGGGCTATAGTGTTTAATTTTGAATTTTTTTAAGTTAAGGTCCAGTCTGGACGTTTTTGAATTAGAGGAAGTTTACTGTGGATTTAAAGGTCATTTCAATGTTTTGGTTGGTAGAGAAAATACGTCCCATATTGTTATTGGCTGCCATAGTCTTAACTTATTTTTAAATTAAATGTATTTTTAGGTCTATTGTAGAGACTGCTTTAAAAGTTTATATTGAAAATGGCTCATCTGTAAAAAAGCCAGTGCAATGCTTGGATTTGAGTGCCGAGAAGAAAGAAGGTGAAAAATGGATTGAATCTCATGGACCTTCTATCAACTTGATGGAATCACAAATCATACATGTGAATGGCTGCAATAATGGTGACAATCATAAAACACCAACAATAGAAAGCAATTACATTGTGATTGAGAAGACAGATTTTAATTTCATGTGAGTGTGGATAAAGTAGATATATATATATATAACTAGTTATTACCGTCTGCAAAAACCAGTTGGCCTATAACTAACTGATAATCCAAAATAATGTGTTTTTTAGTTTTTGGGAGTTTGAGTTTAGTCATAGACAAAAATAATTAAATATAGACTGTCAGCTGAGCTGCGGTTACCATAGGTTCTGGCTCACACCGCTGGGAGTGCCGTGTAGTTACGTAGCGCGTAAGCCGCAACTGCATGACGCTCCCAGTTACCGCTGCACGGCGGACAGTCTATATTAAATTCTTTTTGTCTATGGTTTAGCACACTAATTTGTTTGTAGCAGACCCAGTAACATTAATAGGAATTAGAAAAATAGTAACCTGTACAATTCTAGAGACTTTCTTAGTGGTCCATTAAATTTTTATGGACATGCTGGAGATTGAAACTGTCTCTCTCGCATTGAACTCTGAGACGCTAATCTTTAGGTTAGCAACACAACTTATTTTAAGTTATTTTATTTACTATTTTTAAAGTACTTTCCTAAAGAAAACGTTTGTTGTAATCTAATCATAATTTATTCAGCTTTCTATTCTATATGCCTAGCTTTCTATATCACATCTATTAACACTATCTTCTGTAACTTTCTTCTATTTTCTGCTATGGCAATAATAATTTTAAAAAGAAGTAGTTCGGCTTTAGTTGTCTTAAGTTAGAGTTTCACTCAGTGTTTCTAAATCTCTCAAAAAAACCATCTGTTTTGTAATCGCACACATGTCCTTATAAGCCTAGTCCTTATTTGAACTCTCAAATCAAATGATCCCTTCTAAGATTTACCATTTACTTATCTCTGTTAACTTTATGGTTAAACTAAACACAGGGTCTATTAATTACCTTCCAGTTATGTAGAGTGCACTACAGAAGGCTCCACCTACTTCGACTGTGTGTTCCGCAAGATTACCAGGAACGGAGTGTTTGCGTTGACTACCAGTGATGACCCAGCACTGTATGGACGCCCAGCTGAACCAGCCCTGCGCTGCTACGCGGGACGCATTGTTCGGACCTTCTACGCCCCAGAGTTAGCCGTCCGCCTTGTACTGGCTGCCATGACTAGGTTAGCTAAGGGCTAATATTAAGATTACGAGTTGGTAGAGTTATTTTTTGTGATATTTGTGGGGTGTGGCTTATGTGGAAGTTAGGGCACAAACCTTTTGGTCCATAAACGCAGGACCAAATCGCAACTTAATTTATGTTAAGAAAACACTATTAAATTATGAAGTTTGTTTAAAATTAAAATCCAACCCAACACAGATGCCTATTATCGATGTGCTATTATTCAGTCTTATGGTTAGGAGCACCTGAAGCTAGCTGTAAGGTCCACTTATAGAAGAAAAATAACCCTGCCACATCAAACCTGCAGACTAAGTGAATTTACATTTGCTTGATTGGATTTTCACAAATATATCTCCTTAAAAATGTCATATTCATTCCCTATTTGAATAACATTAGTTTGACAAGCACTTAGGTTTGCTGCTATAGAGAAATTAATAGTGTTTTTAGAGTTAAATGTAAATAGTATGATAGTGAAATAAATAAATTTTCCAAATTTGATCAAAATATGTTCATAAACAAGTAAACTACAACAGTTTACTTTTTCTCCATATAAGAATAATAAGAAAATTTAAATAAACAATTTTTTTTTAATTTACTCCTTATCCATTAAGCGCATGCCACTTCAATATACTAAGTTAATTGTTTTTTAAGCTCCCAAAAGTGGTTTAGAAAAAAACTTTTTTTAGGGTCAGAAATGGAAAAACCCCCATAAACTAACGTTTCCATAGTCCGAGCATACAGGTTCACGAACTCGTTATAATAACTGTAGGTTTGCACGTTATACCAAATTTCATCAAAATCCGATCATTTTTGCTTAAGTTATCGTGCTATGTATGTGAATTTGAAAGAATGGTGTATTCGGCCTCTGGCGAAAAAGTAAATCGGTTCCTGGTCCAGGTCTTACCATGAGACAAACGGTAGGTAATAAATTTCTTGTATGGGAAATTTGATAAAAAGGGAGGTCTCTGAGTCTAGGAAAACTTTCTGTGTTTGTAAACTAGTAAAAAACACTAACAATTTAAAAACAATATAACTTACCAAATGTTTGAGTGGCAATGCTTCAGGATCTTGGCAAATGTAATATTACATTTGCCAAGAAGCTATTTAGCTTTGACTATTAATACTAGACATTCAATCCCCATGTTAAATTTGTGTTTCTTTTACCAAAATCGTCGTAGTTGATGTCAACTACCTGTGTATGTACTGATGAAAGACAGATTGCGCTGATCTAAATTACCGCTTTCTGCCACACAATGTTTTTTACCAATTCAAGTTAGTGGAATTACTTGTTTTGAGCTATAGGAACTGTTATGACCCATTAACATGGCCAGCAACAAAAATAAGGTAAAAAATAGATTTTTAGTCTCTAGCCCATTCTGCGACGGGCTTACACAACTACGTTCTCTATTAACAAAAAATTGGCTACAGCTGGTCCATATAGATGGGACGTCTACTTCAGTAACCAATAGTCGTCAATGTTAATAGCGAGTTTTATCATTGACTAACCAACACATTAACTTCTCATCCCATTGAAAAATTTTGAAGCTCGTTTTTTGTGTCTGATGACACTGATCGCTAGTGTCGACAAAATTTTGTTTCTATTATTTGAGGGTTGATTTTGTGATTTTTGGCTTACTCATATAACTAGGGAACAAGTTATTGTTTATGATTAGATAATTTTATTTTGTTAAACAACATTTTAAATGTTAGAAATAAAATGAAACAAATTGTAAACAAAACACGACCTGGTTTGACACAAACAAACCTAGACGATTTGAGCTGGTGAATAATCTATTAGGCAAATAAAAATAGATTTGAAATTCTAGATCTAGATGGTATTTTCTCTTTTCATATAATTGGATCTGAAGTATCCTACAAACATGGGTAAGTTTTGAAAATGTTTAAAAGCTGTATAATACGGTCAACATTCCACTTAAGTTCACTCATTGTTAACAAACTAACTCAGACAAACAACAACTGATGTACTAGCACTGGCGTGTGGCGAGTGGCGATTAGCACTAGCAGAAGTGCAAATACCCTGCTAGTAGCGTGCTAATTCGCTAGCGCTAGTGGTCACGTGATGACCCCCTACACTTATTGTACACGGGGCTTTAGGCGTGTGCTTCACAAGTGCAACTTTTTGAAAATATCCATAACGAACACTAACTTGATAAAAATGTTGCTACATTTCAGATCTGCTGCACGTTTCAGTAAAAGCATCGAAGTCCTGCTGACAATGGTTGTCAAGAACACAATAACCATTGTTGTGAAAGTTAAGAAAGGCGCAGATGCTGCTGTCACGTGTCTGAAGGATGTGAAAACGTTGGTGCACTGTACCTTGTGTGAAGAAAGAGCTTTTTTGCCTGAAAATGATGGGTTTGTTGTGGGTGAGCGGTAATTATTTGTTTTAAAATAGAAAAGGCACCTTTCAAGTTTTTATTCAACAGTAAAGAGCAAGTCGTGTTTTGCTACTAAAGCCATGATTTATTGTAGCTCATGACAAAGAAGCCTTTAAAAAAAATTCAGTGTAGATTTAATCGCACAGTATTTACAGTGTAACAAACAATATAAAAACAGTGTAATTTACAAACTGCATTGATATTGACAGAGTGCAGTTACATTAATTTGTGGGTTATGCTAACATATTTTCAATGGTTAGAATCCAGAATCATAGATACAATTATCAATAACTGACTCGTTGAGTTTTGTGAGTTTTTGGAGGCAAGAGCACTTGGCTTAGTATACATTTAGAAAAATAAATAGATACAAACAAATATTCTACAAAAAAGGGGGGTAAATGTCCCTAGCAGTTGATAGCCCACAAAAAGTATCGGGGTTTTAAATGTTAATGTGCAATCACCTGCTTAAAACTCTGTTACTTGTTGTGATTCCATTTCTTCTTTCTCAGTATGTTTGATGTGACAGATGATGTACGCTGTTTCCTGAGCTGTTCTTGTGCCTCTGAGAGCGTAGGCAGGACTATGATGACTCTAGGCCCACTGTGGGCTGGGACACTTGGCTCACCAGGCTACATATCTGACATGCTGCAATATGCCAAACAATCCCCTCAGCTGTTTTCCTTTCTTCAAGATTTACTTGTGGAGTTGAGGTAAATTTTGGAATTTGTTTTAATGGCTGGTTTAATGGAACTGGTTTAAATATTGGCCCATTTATTGTGCAATCGCAGGGCATTAGTATATTAGAAACTGTTTTATATATCTTTTTTTTTAATATGGGCTTCAATGTAATATATAACATTACAAATCAAATTGTCAACAATTTTTTTGGGGTTAACATTTTTTAGAAAATAAATTTTAAAATGTAGGTTTGCGCTCAATAAAATTTTATAGTTTATAGGTCTATAAATATTTTAAAATAGCCACTTTGTTCTAAATTTTGAGGATTTTAAAAATATAATCAGTAAGGAAGTAAATTTGCAAATAAATCAGTTTTGGGTTAAAAAGAGTTTTGGCACTTTCAGCGATATCTAAGAATGCATAGCCTAACCAGCTAGGAATATGAAGGATTTACATCAATATCACTAGCTACTTCTTCAGGATCATCAACCAGCCCTTCGGCATCACTTTAATCTTCTTATAGGCCCTAATGCACCACTTATATCACTACTTTTTATTTTTATCACTAAACACAATGATAAATGTAATAAAACACATCAGTCATCGATGTGAGGTTAACCAAGTTGTTTACAAATATGCACCACATCTGTCTGCTACAATATGATCGGAACTAAAATGAAAAGCGTCTAGAAACAGCCATCAGGGGAAAGCTTAGAATCTGCAAAAAAAACTATGCCAATCTCGATCCAGTACAATCCGATTCAGTCAGTCCCAAAGCGTTTGCCGTAAACGATGTTTTTGAGTCGCAATAGTGACACAAAACACTTAGGGTTAGGTAGCTGATTAACCCTTGGGAGGTGACTTTACAGAATTTTCTTCAGACGCTTCAATTTTAGTTGAAGAAATCTATGATTTTCTTGTGTGCAGTCATAGTATTTGAATAGTTTTATAGAAGAAGTTGACACAACGATTGTGTAAAGATAGAGTTAACAACACGAGTCTAACGCTATTTACGTGAGATGCGTACACTACTTTACCTACAAGTGTTTTAATTCCTAAAAATCACTACTCATAACTTCTAAGTGTTTTAAGTGTTAAAGGTCACATAACACATTTTGTTATAGTGTCTTAACTTCTTCAAGGAGAAGAATAAGAGAAATGTCAAAAGTAGTTAACCAACATTAATTAATCATTAGTTAACTCAATTCAATGTTACTCAGTGATTTGATCAACTTGTAGCAATTTCAATGTGGTACTTATAGATTTAAAATAAAATATGATTATGTGAATTTATATTTTGTTGTTTTCTCCCTACATCCTTGATTACCTCAAAGAAAATAAATGTACTAGGCTAATGATTTCTTTTTTGCCTTGAGCTTAAACTTAATTTTATCTAACCTGTTTTTTCCAGGATTTTCTTACATTCCTATATCACTTACTAAAACTCCGGATTTGTTTCAGGTGTGACAAAAAAACTGCAAAGATAAACAAGGAAAGTTTAAACGATAAAAGTAAAACCTCTGAGTCTAAAATAGAAGAACCTACAGACACAGCTGAAGAAAACACTTTAAAAAGAAAAGCAGACAGTGAGCTTTGTGATGTGTTACATAAACAAGTAAAGGTTGAAGATACAAATGAGCCCGCACCAACATTTTACTATAACCTCCATAAACACAAGCCTAAAGGTGCTCAACACCTGCTTAAAGTGGACAAAGTAATTGAGATACTTCACAAACAAGGTCTGAGAGCAAGTAGAACTCACTTTGACAGAGCAGCTATCAAAACAGAAGCGTCCCTCACCCAACTTCAAGATATTATATCTCATGTTACTTAAAATAAACCTTTTTACCAAACTATTTCTACCATTAATTCTTCCTACACTAGAATACAAGGCATCACTTGGACCAAACCATCAAGATTTGTTCTCGTTTGGTCCAAATACTTTTGAGCAATGACAGTCTTTAGGAAAAGAAGTAAAAAAGTTGGCGTAAAACATCTAGGGTTTAAATTTAAATGCTTGATGCACACAACCGATTACTATAGGTAACAAATAATCAATTTTAATTAAATTAACAAAACAGTTTATTTATTATTACTAGTGTTACTTATACTATGACGAGTCTTTGGTGAAGTCACCTATTTTCAGGAATTTCGCTACCGTAGTTGCTAAGTTCCTGAACGACGAGGCCTGCAAAACAATGGTATTTCCTTTCAAAAAATCAAACTTAAAATATGTCTAATTTTATGAATGATTAACCTGATTTAACTATGATCTGTTATCAACCTAATATAATATTCATGGTACGGTTACTCTGCTACCAACATAATTATTTACAATTCATTTTTACAAGTGAATCTACATACAGTAGACTCCCTCTTATCTGGACATCGGTTTAACTGGACTACACTCGGCGGAAATGATATCTCTTTAACCGGAAATTTTTTATCATCACATCGGTTTAACCGGACTAGATCGGCAGGAAGTGAGCGGTACTGAAACGACTGTTCTCGTGGGAAAGATTTGAGACCAGTGGTCACGTGTCTAAATACAATGCTCTCCTAAATTTAAGTCAAATACTGTATACAGTATGCATTTAAACGGTCCGTTTTAACTAGTTTTTGGGGACATCGGTTTAACTGGAAAAAGAGTTATCCGGACTGGCCTCGGTCCCGAAGAGTCCGAATAAGAGGGAGTCTTCTGTAATCAAATAAATTTAACTAGCAGAAGTTTTCATTGGGAAACGTTAAGTCAAAACCCTCATTTATGACTGCAAGATAATTATAGAATGGAAAGAGATAGATGATGGGTACTCGGTACATTACTCACGACTAAACTGTCCGGATGGCTTATAACCACTGGCGTTCCCTGATCTCCACTGGTCGAGATGATAGGATCAAGTGGAATATCTTGTACGACATCAATGTCTGGAACAAAGAAGCACTTCTTAACTTGTTCTATCGTGGATTCTAAACACAACAGTAGAAGTGATTATTTATTTATTGTTAGTACCTTGACAGTTCATCTGCTTAAGCCCCGTTGTCCAAGACAGGTCTGTTAAATTCGTCGCTGAGAAATAGATCGACGCTAAGTGACTGCTAGGCATTGATTTCAATAGGCCTATTGTCCAAGAAGCCTAATACTTGAGACACTGAGCGTCTGACCTAAAGCACTGCTTCGGGAGCAGACAGAAATCGCTGATGGCCAGCGTCTGTTGCACAGTTACATGAGTAGCTAACTGTTATCTTCTTGTTGTTAAGTATAAAGTGCGATTGTATGACGTTTTTGATAGATCCTCCCGTATCAAGTCGTAAACTCTGGAAAAGTCTAAAAAACTCAGAAAACAGCCTCTCATCTGCATTCAATTGGGTTTGTATAAGTATTTTAAAACACCCGTCCTCAGTTCTCTTTGTGAAGACACTGCAAGTACACTTTTGAAGTTCACTTATAATCTCCAGAATTTCTCTTCTATTTCTTCAATAAACAGAAACTCCAACAGTTTGTTCTTAAGACTTATAATGAGAGCACTAAATACACTACAGTAGCACAGTCAGCAACCAACTATTGTAGCCTACTTAATGCCAAACAATCATCATTATGGTATAGGCCTTTCACACTTTTTTGGAGTAGTCCATATTACTTAAAAAAATGTTAAAATACCCAGGCCGCAGAAAACCTGCCGATTAAGCGAATTTCCATTTGTCTGAATTGGTTTTCAATAAAATCTATTTAAATAACATTATTAGGTTAAACGAGTACCTAGGTTTGCTCCTACAAGGAAACTAGTAAAGTTTGTTTTTTAGTAAAATATTAATAGCTTAGTATATAAAATAAATAAATTTGCCAAGTTTGATCAAAATATCCATAAACAAGCAAACCACAACATTTTACAATATTCTCTATAAGGATAACATGGGAATTTTAAATTTATAAATTATTTTTGAATTTTCCCCATTGCCAATAACTGTACAAAAACACTTAAATATAAATAAATTATTTGTTTTTTTAAGCTCTTAAAAAAAGTCTATAGAGAAATTTGGAAATGTTGTGTTTTGAAGGTAAAAAAGGTACCCCATAAAAATGTTTTTACGGAGGGGTAAAACCCCGTTCCCATGGCCCGATCATACTGGTTTGCGAACTCATTCAAGTTTATCCAGCTTTACAAATTTAAACCAAATTTCATCAAAATCGGACAAAAATTACTTAAGTCAAGTTCACGGACCTATATATATATAGGCCTACACATAAATCTCTCTCTCTATATATATATATATATTATTTTCTTGCATGTTAAGGGCTACTAATATAATATTAACTATGTTTTTGATTTTTAATATATATATATACATAAATACATATATAAATAAACATTTGAGTGAGTGGTGTTTTTGGCCTCTGGGGACATCAAATTGAAAAAGTAAATCGGTCCCGGGCCTAGGGTCTTACCATGTGACTTACGGTAATAGCTACTTCCCTATAGGGAAATTCGCTAATAGGAACAGGCTCTGTGAGTTAAAAAAATATTACGTTAGATAAGGTAAGAAGGATGTAGTGAAGAGCGAGATGGTAGATGGTGGAGGGATGGAAGAAGTTGGAGAGGCCTTCTCAACATTCAGACCTAGGGATAAGCGGAATAAATGAAAAAAAGAATAAAGAATGTAAGAAGAAGAAAATACAAACCCAAGTCCTTAGCGAACTTGTTAATCGCTGGGCCAAAGAGTTCGTTCTTGTGTTTGCAGTTTGAGCATATAACAGTGCCCATGTTCTGCACGACACCTATAATTGGAACTCCTAGTTTTCGGAACATGGTGACACCGCGACCAGCGACTTGTGTAGCTAACTGCTGCGGAGTCGTAACTACTAGACCCCCTAGACAGACATTGTGGAAGAACAATTAATATTTTCAGTAAGTTATAAACAGAAAGCTGACATAATTGCCAAGGTGTGTTACAGAAGACCAATTCTATTTGTAAAATGTTTGACAAAATTTCTTTTTCCTAGAAAGGTGGTCCAACAACTATAATAGTTGGTCCTGACATTATCACATATAAAGTGTCAGAGCATTATGCACTACACTAGTTACAAAAATCAACCCTAACACTATACAACAGTATGATTCCGTAATGCAGGTAGAGAGGTTATTTGCTTAAAATATTAACGTTGAAAGAAATCTATGAGGGATATTTATTGATAGCCAGAATATGAGAGAAAATCCTATATCCACAGTGACTGATCATTGAAAAATATTATAAATGGAACAGAGTGGTGAACGAAGAATAATCTAAAAATATTTCCAATAATATACAAATACAGCTGTCCTACCTGAGATGTTTAGGTTCTGAATGAGGGAAAGGTGAGTGTCTCCAGTGCCAGGGGGAGTATCTACAACTAGGACATCAGTCGGACCCCAGTCCACCTCAAACATCAGCTGATTGACTGCCTTCATCACCATCAACCCTCTCCACATCATGGCTGCCTCCTGCTCAACAAGGAACCCCATGGAGATGCTGCAACAATCAGGTTGCAACTTCCTTCAGGGCCTTACTATGCATATTTGCTACCAATGTTTTGATTCAGAAAATAAAAATTGGGTTTCAAACCGTTCACCCAAGTTGTGGAATTAAGTTACGCTTGCTTTGATATTGGCAAAAACCGAACAAGCCATTGCAGAATGTCTGTTCATGCTGCTTTAATTTTGAGTATTTGAATATAGATTAGTTAGCGCCATTCAGACAATGGAAGTTACAGAAACATTAGATATTCTTTGAAACTTAATTAACAGCCTGAAACTTGACAGGAAAAACTTGGCCTTTATGTTTCTCAAACTAAATAGGCCGTTTTCTCATCAAGAGCCAATGATCATCACCTTAGATATTTTTGTCTTTAATCCTGAGTTGCTCTGCTGTCACAGGCTTCTGGGTGTGGGCCGTTGAGAATTATAAATATTTTTATAAGTTTAAAAATATGTACAATAGACTCCCTCTTGTCTGGACTCCTCGAGACCGAAGCCAGTCCAAATAACGGTTTTTCCGGTTAAACCGACGTCCCCAAAAACTCGTTAAAACAGACCTTTTAAATGCATATTGTATACAGTGTTTGACTTAAATTTAGGAGAGCATTGTATTTAGCTACGTGATCACTGGTCTCAAATCTTTCCCACGAGAGAAGTCATTTCAGTACAGCACACTTCCTGCTGATCTAGTCTGGTTAAACCGGTGTGCTGGTAAAAATTGTACGGTTTAAGAAATGTAATTTCTGTAATAAGTGTAGTCTGGTTAAAAAGTGTCCGGATATACTGTACCTAAAACTGTAAGCGAATAATCAGTGGTGTAACAAGTTTTTTTTATATCCCTCTTAAACACTCTTTTTGGTAGTCTCTTGCACACCTCATCCCTTACCTTACCTTCAATAATTTGATGGGCCTGGACCACTTTTCCCTAAAGGTTTTAGTAATTTACCAACCGAAGATGGCATTTTCATGATATATTTTACTTTTAAATTGTTTTCACTCTCTCAAGGATGGCACTCTTGTAGTCCACTACCCCCCCCCCCCCCCCCAACTATTCCATTGCACCTCATATCACTTATGTAAAGTAAAACTATTATCAGCTTAGTTGAATGTTGACGTTAATCACAACAGGGATGTTTATGATGCATAAGCAGTCAGGTGCTTTCATGGGATGGTGTGTAATAAAAACAATATTTTCATACCGATCAACCTCATTTCTAAATTTCCTGTTTTTCAGTGACAGACGGCAATTGATTATCATACTTAATGATCACAATGAAATTATTTTCAAAGACAGATCAATATTTTTGTAGAAGGCATCTACGTTAAAATTTTGATACAATATTCCACAGAGCTTGCTAGGTAATTTAATTTTCCAATACAAGATGTGAAATACTGTACAGTATAGAAGCAAAGAGCTGATAGTTTAATATATTCTTCAGTGTAGGCTAAATGAAAAAAAAAAACAATTTCGTATTTAAAAATATGTTCAAAAGACTTGATTTAGCCAAAGTGATTTTAATCAATGAGTTAACTAAATAAATGATCAATAAATAATTTTTACTTGAGAATTTTGACTCACTTTAGACAAAATATTCAACATTGCACGAGATATGTTGTAGTCAACTTTCCTCTTACCACTTCACTCCATAGTTGACCATCGGAATCATCTTCTTTTCTGAAAGAAAAACATAAATAACTTTCAGGTATTGAGCTATTATTTTAAAGGTAGGCCTAAGGATAGAGTGGAGGGGATAGAATTCTTCCTGTAAAACCGCCTAAATATTGTGAACAAAGTATTATACAGTTTACTCTAGATCGGGAATATGTCCATAAGATTAAACTTTTTTACTAAGTGTACTAAGTAGTAGAGTATAAAGTAGTTGTAGTAGCAATGTAGTAGGGTACTTAAGTATAAAGTACAAGACTCGTCTTTATAATCTCACTAATCATATTCGACACATTTTCTTGACACAGAAAAATATATATTTTTTTAATACCGGTGCTAAAATATTTGTCAAAATAAAATAGAATAATGATTTTAGTATTAAAAACCTTTTTTACCCAACCCGCCATGTTAAACTTCTATATCCCAAGCGTAATGTAAACAACTTATTTACTTCACTCGGTGAAGTAAAGTTTCAAAAACTCACTCGGTGAAGGAATGAAAGCCATTTAAATCATATTGAGTGCTCAACTTAATAAAATATAGGCAGAGGCTATTTGCACGTCAGACATGCACAGTTGCGGTTAGTTATAAAATATTTTATAACTGTTTGGAAACAGGTTTCACACAAAGAAAACCTAGTATTAGGAACTGTAGTACCTCTAAACCTCATAAGCCAAAATGGATATGGATGGAATTAACTTTACGTTATCTGCCCGCAACTATATATATTGATTTTTAAATGAAACTGTAAACTAACCTAACCTAACCAAACTTCTGCAATATTTCAAAATTCCGTTTGGTAGCAAAATTCTGAAATTAAACTGTTCTTTACTAACCTAACCAAACTTTCTGTAACATTTCAAAAATTCCTTTTTATAGCAGAAATGGCTTTCACGCTCCATCGACTGTTCTAGTTTAGATCGTTCAATCCTTAACTACTGAATATGCTTGTCTTTTCTTTTTTTTTAATAAATTCTTTTAACGCATCAAAATAGCAAAATTTTAAAGGAACCTACATCTCCAACAAAATTTAATGAGAGTGAGTAAGTTAAGTAATTCCAAAATGGCTTCTATATTAGTAATTGTTCCCTTTGCATTATGTTGCAATACTTGAACAGGAACGAGTTGTGACACACATTTTGACGTGCGAATAGTCACTTCGTAAATTATGGAGCCAACGACGTTCAACGCTAGAAATCAGCTATGCGCTTGGATGTTATTGTTATGTTAAAGTATTTTTCTAACCTAGCTTTTGTTTGTAAAAGAACGTTACTGTTAGAAGATGAGTGAAATGGATAATGAAAAATATTGTATGTAACCCCCTGTATATTGTCAGGTCAGGTAAAATCTTGTACGTTACACGCTACGCAAGAGCGTGTTTACATCAAGGTGAATTATGCAACTCGTTTCCCGCTCGTTGCACAACATTCACCTGCATGATGTAAAAACGCTCTTACTACACTTGTAACGTAAATAGCTATATTACAACCTCCCAATATTACTCAAATAACATAGGCCTACATGTAACCCTCCCTACCTGCATTTATAAGAGGTTTTCCACTAAGGTTCATCATAAGGGGGACAGACGGGCCAAAGACATCAGCATCAAGCAAACCAACCCTCAATGACGGCTGAATATCTGCCAACGCTGTTGCCATGTTCACTGTAAAAATGCAAAAAAGTCATTATTTACAACTCTTTCTTTTGATTTTAACTGGTCTACAAGTTTCCTTGTCAAATGAGCATATTCTTTTATTTACTAAGCTCCAAAATATATAGCTAGGTACATAATGACAAAAATGTAAAAACCCATAAAAAAAGCGCAGCAGAAAACTTGCATCTTGCCCCAATAACCACATTAGGCCTTCAGACCTACCATGAGTCATGATTAAATATTAACCATTCATGGGTGTCTTTGATTCTAAGACACTATCGGTGATACAGGGAGTTTTTCTCTGATTGAAACACTAGACAAACAGTGTATTTTTGTACATACATTAAGACAAAAAGGTTTTGAAACCATACATGATTGATAAAAGTGTACATTAAATAAATAAACACCAAAGTAACACATACTCTGGGAACCTAGTAGCATGAGCGGAGACACACAGTAGAGGCTTAGAACTGTGCTGCGCAAATTTTCAGGTTTAAACTGATTAATGGGTAATAACAGGAAGTGGATACCATAATGGTGTTCAATTGGTCCATTGAAAGAAGTGAGTGAGGTACAGTAACTCTCAACTACCAGCCGGCAATAAGGCATATTCATATGAAAAATAAATTTGGGCAAATAAATAAACAAATTCTGTTACCGTACCGTAATGACTTGTGACACCTATGGAGGGTTAAACAAACTTTTAGGGGGAAAACTTCCTGAGAAATGAAAATACTGTAATTTATAACTTAGTAGCCTAATTAAATAATGATTTCAGAAACGAAGGTAACTTAATGTTAAAAATTATAACTCCCAAAAGAGCACAAATAATATAATAATTAGCCTACACAATTATCCAAATGCCTACTAGACCTGCAAGCTTGTATGTAGTTAAAAAACTTACCAGCAGTAGTAGATTTGCCAACTCCTCCTTTACCGGAAGACACGAGAACAATGTGCTTCACATAGGGAATGTTTCGCTTTGGTGGCAGTCCTTTAGACATGATTTGTTGTTGATGTTTACTTATACTTGACTGATTAGCAAATCTTCTTCTCAATAGTTCTTTAATACAGACCTAAAAACATTTACTAAAATTTAACCCTCCAAGTGTCCATAGTTTAGGCCTTAATGTCCACCTATTTTTGGCGCATTTGCAAGGTTTTATTAAAACGGATCTGAGAAGCTTAAAACAATGTTAATTCTAATGTTCTATATACCATTTTGTTTGGAAAATCATGGGCTTCAATATTATATATAAAACATAAGGAACATTTTTAAAAAAAAAAAAATTTTTAGGTAAAAAAAATATAATTTTGAAAATTTTCAAAAAAAAAATAAGTTCGCGCTCAATGAAATTGTATAAATTATAGGCCTATAAATATTTGAAAATAGCCACTTTGTTCTAAATTTTATGAGGATTACAAATATATAATAATATAAGGAAGTAGATTTGAAAATAAATAAGTTATGGGCAAAAAACAGATTTCAGTACATAGCGTTTAGCTAAGAATGCATAGCCTAACCATAGCTAGGAATCTGGCTGATAATTTACATCAATATCACTACCTACTTCTTCAGGATCATCAACCAGCACTTCAAAACCACTTAAATCTTCTTATAATGCAACACGTATATCCTTACTTTTGATTTTAAACACTAAAACAATGATAAACGTAATAAAACACATCAGTCATCGGTCGGAGGGTAACCTAGCTGTTTACAAATACACGCACGTCAGCTGTCTGCTACATATTACGATCGGCTCAGATAACGTACAGCGCTGAGACAGACCTCTGGAGAAAGCTTAGAATGAAACGGAAAGAACGATACCTAACTCGATCCAGTTCAATCCGATTCAGTCAGTTATAGAGCCTTCGCCGTAAACGATGTCTGCTTGTCGAAAAATCGACAAGTAACACTACACAAAGTGTGCTGCTTGTCGAGTTTTCGTCAAGTAACACTGGGAGGGTTAAACAATGTTCGATTGAAACTAAACTAGGATTTAAACCCTAGTTAAATAAACATAGCCTAGGCCTACTAGGCCTAAATGCTACAGACATAGGAAAAACAAAAAATAATAGGCACAGCTAACCGTCCTAGATAGGCCTAGCATTGAAAATATAGTTGCAAGCTAAATTCAAATCACAACTTGTTGTTTTTAGGTTATACAGTACCAACATTTTATACATTTGTTGTTTTTCACTGCTCTTTAATACTAAGTATGGTAATAACTTTTTTTAAGGTTAATTCCAATTGTTATTAAGTTTACTTAACTTTGGTCCTGATACATTTCAACACATTATTTCAATGCCAACTACCTATCTTAAAAGTACCTAACTCACATTGTGTGCTGATAAATCTACAATGATAGGCACAATAAGAAATAATATGATGAACAAAGATTGAGTCATTTTAGAACAGTCTGGAAAAAGATTATTCGTTCACCAAAACATGCACACTGCCTGCTATAAGTATACTGGTATAGGCCTAAACAAAGGAACCAAGAAGAAGTAAGTACACAACATTTCTAAATTTAATTTAATCATATCTCTTATCTTAATGCTTTGAGATGTAACTTCCGGGTACACTCCCATATCTGTTGGCACAAACAACCGAATGAGTAATATTGATTATTCAATTGTTTAAATCGATATGCTATCGTTTGGTTAGTTAGGTTAGATTAACCTTACCTTATTATCGATTGATATTTTCATTCGATATCTTTTTTTTATGGAAAAGATATGGAAGTGTACCCGAAACAAAAAACACAGTGCATGCAGATAGACTAGGCTTTAATGGGAAAGCAAATGACTTGGTACCGTATCTTTTTACTAAGTTACCTACTTGATTGATGTATGAATACAATGAACTAGGCTGGCCTACCTTTTAAAAGTGTGTGGAAATTTAAAAAGGACTATTTAAACCTTCTTTCTTGTGTTAAAGAAATAATAACACCTAGGTATGTACCCAAAAACACTTTAAGCAACTAGGCCTAGGCCTATGAAGCATGATTATCTTACCATTGTGATTGGGTTCGACGACTTATTAAAAAGGCTGTTACTGTTTATCATAACTGATATTTGAAAAGCCATGGCTTAAAAGATAACACAATTAATTACTTAATAACAATAACCTTAAAAGCTAACCTATAAATGTACTACTTATGTTAAAATGTCTAGTGTAAATTTAAAAGTATTGAGTGATTCCGATTGACAAAAAAATGTATATGGTAATGATGGCCCTTGACAAGCAGTTCCTTTCAAGAACTCTTTCAAGGAGACAAATTACAAATATTATAAAAATGTTATAATTCGAGGTGTAAACTAAACAATAACAAAACAACTCTCTCAAAATTTGTAGAATACAGACAGAAGACAGAGACAGAAGACAGAATGACAAAAATAACCTTTGTTTTCTTTTTATGTTCTTGTTTGTTTATAAAAGCTGGCTTGATTAAACTACCATGTAGCCACACTATTTCAGCTCATATCACGAACGTTCTATAAAATGTTTCCCGCTCTCTCATGAAGTGTTAAGTTGAGGCATAGATCAAACATAGTCCCTATGTTTATCTATGCATAAGGTTAAGTAATTATTTAAAAAATTGTTTTCATTTTGTTTTATATGAATGAATAAAGGAATAGTAATATTCTCAATTGGGCATTATTGGTGAGCGGTATGATGCAACGAGTGACAGACATTAAAATGTTATTCATTCTACCTTGATATAACATAACATCAGTCGAACTTGTTTTACCAACATATTTTATTCTAGTTTTTTATTATTGATATTGATTGATATTGATATTGATTAATCAGTCACCACATTGACCTATTGTGAGCGCAATGAATATTGCACCCCAGCTAATTCACATCAGTTGAAGTTTTACATAACATTTTTTTACTCTTCCTATACATAAATAAACATAGTATATGGAGAAAGTATTGTTTTCGTCAAAATTTTCGAGTTCGAGTTTTGAGTGGATACCATTTTGGGTCCCCCTGAGCCCAAAAAGTGGTTTTCGAAGTTATGTCCGTGTGTTTTTTCCTTCCACCATGGATGTGTACAGAGCTACAGACCACACCCACGGCCACCTCTAACTACAGGCCGCGGCCTGGTAGAATCGGCAACGTCGCAAGTGGTGTTGTCTAGCGCCAGACGTCCCATAAGATAACATGGCAGACAGGTGACACCAGCTCGTTATTTCGCGTATTATTCATTAAAATTAACATTTATGAACATAAATTTATTGAAAGATTGAAAATAAAACATATAGAATTGAAAACAAAAACAATATTTAAATATAAAATAATTTTGTACTTTTAAAGTGTGGAGTCAATATTGTCATAGTCCAGTAACCAATCATTCGTAGATACACAAATACCATTAGCTGCGTCCAAACAAAACAGCTGTTACAACACCACTTGCGACGTTGCCAATTTGAAGGGAAGGCCGCGGCCTGGGGCCCATTTCATAATAAAGTACAACTAACATAAATGTATTTGATGACAAACATGAGTGGACGTTTAAAACGTAGCTCGCAATGTGCATGTGTAGCATCCATCCGAATCATTTTATCCGTCCGTGGACGAAAAGTATCGTCCGCGGACGCCAGTGTGAAACCGCCTTAAAGGTGGCCGTGCCTGTTGTCCGATTTTGACGACATTTGGTATGTAGGTACTAATCCATGGTATCTCCAAGCGTTTTTTATCATATTTTTTAAATTTTGTTTTTTAAATGGGATTTTTCCATAAAACCCCCAAAATAACAGAAAAATCAGATTTTCTTGAAAATTGCCCGAACGATTTTGATAAAAAAATTAGTTTGTTAAAGTCCTTTAAATTATGAACAAAATTGTTCAAATCCCATTTCAGTAAAAATTACGGACCAAAAGTTATTGTAACTTATGTTATTTTCCTATTTTAAAAATTCCATAAAATTACAACAAAAATCGGATCTTAGAAAAAACCCGGTTTTGATTAAAATTGATGTATTATGGTCCTTTATAATTCCAAACAAAATAGTACAACACCCCATTACTGTTACAATTACGGTTCAAAAGTTATTGCAACTTTAGTGATTTTTCCTTTCAAAATTTTCATAGTTACTCCCACCGCTTACCAAGGCCACACTTTTGCGCTTACCCATGATAAAGGTTGTTGACAAGCTTATGGGAGAAAGTATGTGTTAGATTGCTGATGCCGTTTATTTTTATTTGTGTACTTTACAATCTGTTCTATGAAAATCATAAACAACAAGTAAATATTATGAAACAACAAGTAACGTTCCGGACATAAAAAATAGCTGCTAAGCACTGTCAACAAATGAAAAAATATAATATGTAAAATGTAAGCATATAAAAATAAATATGCTTAACTTATCTAAATGGATTCAATTCAATGAAAGATGATAGTTTTGGGTACAAGGTGGTTCAAAGAAGACTGTGTAATTCAACCATTAATTGGGACACAAATGTTCTTCAAAATCTTTTAAATCGACCATGGTTGTATATATTTATGATCCCAAAGGTAATATTATATCAGTGATAAAAGCAAATTTATATTACTGTAGTTTTGATAATATTGTTAGTCTATATCTATAAAAAGAAATTAATTTCTTCATTACCTCATGTTTTCATAATCAAATTTAAAATAGGTCTAGTCCTAAATACAGGCATGTAATTAGGCTCCCATTTAATAATTTAGTTAATTTATGTAATTAACCACCGTATTAAGCCCAAGGGATTAATATGTAGTTGTATTAGACTTCCAGGCTTATCCAAAATTAATAAAATCTAGAAAAAGGCTAGTTTGCTTTGCTTTATAATTTACACTACATAAGGGTTCTATAGAGTAATTTTTAACTCTGAAAAAATTTAATTTTCGTAAGCAAGATGTAAGTTGGACCTTTTTTTGTTCAGCTTCATGCAGTTGAAATAGTTAATTTTCATTTTTAAGAGTAGAATTTGTTTCATATATCTTAACAAAGCTATATGCATAATAGAGTTTTAGATTAAGGTACGCACTGTACCTTAAGTTCCTCTGAATGTCAACTAATTTAAAATAAAAAAAGTAGGTAGTACAAAACAATATTTAGGTTTTATTTTATACTTATTTGCCTTTAGTTCATGGGGAAAGAACTGTTTACTCAAAATGTTCAAGTTTTAGTTTTTAATGAAATACCGGTTTTGGGGTCTGAAGTGAGGTCTGTGTATATGTGTACAGAGAGCTATACAGACTACACCTGTGACTGTGTGGTCTGATATTGATTAAATTTGGGCAATTTGGTACATGGGTATTGGGTACTAATCTATAGTAGGCTACTAGTATTACTGTAGTATCTTCAGCCTCTCTGGAGGAGGATCTTCAGCCTTTTTTTTCTTTTTTTAAATTTTTCTTTTTAATGGTGAATTTTCCATTACTCTAATGTTTACGAAAATGACTGGAAAATTTTGATCAATATTTTGTTAAATATAGTGTACTTTTTTAACTACACAACCTACAATGTTTTTAAAATCAAGGTTTAAAAGGTATTAACTTTTGTGATCCTTCCCATAAAAACCCCTAGTTACTTCCAATATTCATACATTACAATTATTGTTTATTTTTAAATATTAGGATGTTTGATTTAAAAGGGAGATAGTATGTGCCAGCCTGCTAATGGCGTTATTTTCTTTAGAACGCGGAGAAACAGGAAGAGTCAAAGACATCAGTCGGGTCGACCTGCGTGTTGGGAAAATCCTCGACATTCAGGAGCATTTATCATTTCCAGCAAAGGGCTACATGTGCCAAGTAGACACAGGTGATGTGATAACATCACAATATAACAGAATACCATGGCATCGTCTAATTGTGAGTGCTCAACTCCTTCACTAGAATATACTGTATAGAATGGTCCAAAAGATTGTAACAGCTACGTGCTAAGTAGGAGTTTAATAATATATGAACTTTCTTTTAAAATTTTTACACAGACTCTGCTCAGAATTTGAAAATCTTTAAATCAAGCCATTGTTGTTTTAAAAAAATATTCTGCATCTAGTATACTCACTTATTGCAACTCCCATTAATGCTGCAGAGCAATCCTTAAGATTGGTGGAAATAACAAAACGTTTGTTTTATATTTACTCTGTTATGAGGTATGTAATTTTTAAATAATTAAATCAATTAAACAAGTAAGTATATTTTCAAAAATAAATTGATTTTTTTTTCTTTTATTCCAGCACTGTTAAAGTGTAAATCTTACTTTTGAATGAAAATTTTATTTTTTACTCTGCTCTTTTAAGATCAAAATAATCATCTTATCGGTAGTGATATAACCTATCAGTGTTATTACTTGGTATCTGTTAGTGTGGACTTCAATGTGTTATTGATAACAAATAATATTTTCTTTGGATAATGTTCTGTACGTTTGCATCTTTTGTATGCAAGATGGATAAGATCCTTTAGTTTCTCAGTTCCGGAAGTTAAATAAAATAATCAAATATGCCTTCACGGGAAGCAAAACTTCGCTGGGCAAACACCTACAGAGGTAAGATATTTCAAGTAAGTAAATAATTTATCATTAAATTTACTTCAAATTTTCACTTTTAGTTCAAAATATGTGTCTTTCATAATAGTAATGTTGAATCAATTTCTTGTTTCTTTGTAATTTGTTCAAAATGTTGAAATTCTGTTAAGTTTAGTAATTACTTTAAACATTGGTGCGTAGCAGCTAGTACGTTAAATTCATAGAGAGACTAAAATCATACCTAAAATCAGGTACCACAAATGTGGACGTAGACCTGTCGTAAATGTATTCCCAATTGTTAGCTATGCAAATGAAAACAAAAACCATAGCCAATGTAGTATAAAATAGTGTAGTTCATCACTAGGATGTAAGAAGACTCTTTCTGGTCCGAGCTCAAGTATCACGAAGTTTCAGGAAAATGAGCGAGGGTTGAAAAGACACTTTTTGCCTGAGTGTTGAACTATATTTTTTGTCTTATTGCAACATATTATTCTACAAACTAAGTAAGAAAACAAAAAATATTTCATGTAAAGATAACCTCTCCATAAGACTTACAACTTGTTTAAAATTTTGCTAATGTAAACAAGCAGCTGTTTATTAGTAAATTAGTGATTCAATCTTTTCGTCTTTTATGCTTGTGTATATTATTCTATCGACAGATCTCAATTTGTGGCGGAACGACATTCCGGTAACTCTCTTTTAGAAAGATAAAAATATTGGCATATTTTTCATACTTGAAACTGTACTACTGTACAGGTTGGTAGGTCATTGTATTTACTTCAAAACAAAGCCCCGATTTCTTAAGCTTTGATATTATACGGTATAAATGCAGAAATATGATTAGTCCATTTTGCCATTTGAGTTACAAATGGGCCAGGAATGATAGAATCTTTTAAATTTATGCCTACTATGTCAAAAATATAGGAACTTCCACTGTCAAACAAAACGCTAATTCTCTTTCAGAAAAATTGAGTTTTTCTCTTGTGTGAAAACTGGCTGATTTGAATACAGCCAAAAATCTTTACGGTCTAAAATAGATGGGCATGTTTAAGCAGTTACTCTGTTAAGCAGTTGTGTTTAAAAGGCATTCTGTGTCTCTAGGGAGACGTTCACCTTTACCAAATGATCACATCGGTCACATGGATTTGAGAGTTGGCAAAGTAAGAGATTTAATGTACAATCCTAGAGCCCACAAATATTACATCACCGCCGTGAACTTTGGTGATATCTTCTCTGATGTTGTCGTAAGTATAAATTCATTCATTTAGTGTGATGGATGTTTATTCGTACCTGGAACATTAATGACGCATGATATTCATACTGATGGTGAGGTGTGACTGTAAATGCCCGTAGTATACAAAATAGAAAAGCCTTAAAGGACATCTGACCTATGAGATTATATAAGTATCAATTAACTGTTATTGCTCAAAAAGCCTTCATTAGCTAATTTATTTGAAAATCTATAACAATGACTTTCTTCATTCACATTCAGGTAAATGATTGAAGGCAGTTATGTGAAACCCTAGGAGGAAATTTTGTTCCAATACGCAAAACGCCAACAAGCTTTCCATCTGATGGCTTTAAGAGTTTTGCTAACTTAAGTTACCACTTGAGACTGTTTTATGTTGTAAATAATTTAATTTAATTTAATTGGGAGTCAAGTTTGGAGCCACTATGTTTAGGCTTTGACTATTGATACTTTGGTATCTAATGGTCAATGGTTGACTAGTATTGCTTTGGTTAGATCAGTGGCTGAGCAGTCTAGGCATTTTCTCCCTGGCCAGGGTCCTCACCATAGGTTGAGGGTTTAAATCCTGTCTCGTTGAAAGAGATCCATATAAAAACAACAACGGCTTGGGTGGAAGTGGAAGGATGGGTGGATTCTTTGTGATTTGCACCTCAAACCAGGCATTTTGCTCTTTTTTTTTGCTTATCCTCAGTGTGTTTGACCACCATAAATAACATAAATAATTAGGATTTTTGTCCATAGTATAAAGAAGAAAATGACAATAATAGGCATACAGTAGTTGAATCATAATCGACCATAGAGTTAAAATGTTATAATGAATCTAGAGTAATGAAAACCATTTATGTCCATCCAGGGTTGTATGCTTGTGAACCACTACGAGCCAGAAGAGCTGATCGACAGGCTGGTCATATGTTGTTGTAATATCAAAACACAGTGGACCAGAGAATCCGACTTCTACACTAACATGTTGGTCGCATCGTCGTCAGATGTGGACGCCAAACTTGAGTTGCTTAACCCACCAGATGGGGCGGAACCAGGGGACATCATCACTGTGCAAGATTACCCCCGCGATCCTGACAGACCCTACATGGACCCCAAGGCAAAAATGGTCGAAGAAATCTCAGAGCTAGTAAAAATCAACGACCGAGGACTAGTTTTGTACAAGTCAAAACCGTGGTACCTCGAGAAGGATCCTAGTTTGGGACATGTTTACGTCACAAAAACAGGAAATTCCTTTCTTAGAGTAGTGTGACTTCTGGAAAAAGTGCTAATCGTGGCAAAGCTTTCTACAGCTAGTCTTCTAGCTCTGAAATACGTAGGGAAGCTTTCAACACAAGTCTGAAACACGTTTGAACTGAAAATAGTATGGAGCTTGTATTGTGTTTGGATATTGTTCACCTGTATGTAATTTGTTAAGAGGGTTCTACCCAGTCAATTCAAGATGGCGGCTAAACATGCCTCTACGGTATAAGCTCTCAACTCTAGAACTAATTGGTTTCTAATGATTGTGTTTTTTTGTGCTCTTAACATATCAGATCTTGCAATGCATGGGGATGAATTAATGTTTAAGCTAAAATAACATGTGAAAAAGACTAATTTACAGATTTTCAAAACGATTTTGTAAATACTTAAAGACACAATTAGGAAGTTTCAGTTCTTGCAGGGCATAGTTTGGATCTTTGTGAATATGTTACAGTTTATTTCAACTCGATAAACGCTTTAATAATGCCACGAGGTTCTTTTTTGTAGGATCGTGTTTACATGGTAGCCAGCCGGCGAGTGGAACCCAAGATGAGATGACAATTTGACGTACTGTAACCAAAATTTACTGTCAGCGTTATAGTCAGCATATCTTTTCTTGTAAAGTTTACAACTTTAATGTTGTCTGTTATTGTTAATATATATAGCAAGGATGTTAATGTTATGCATAGCAAGGAGGTGACAAGAGGAATTAATTGTTCAAAGGGGGGGGGGTTGAAAGACGTTAACAAGTTTTTTCTAGGCTATACTAACACTGAACTAGAAACCTATTTACGTTTAAGTTCGAGCTTTTAAGTAGAAAAAGTATCACTTAATTGAGATTGTTATAAATGCATAAAGTGTAAAACTAGCATTAAAATTTATGTTTTTATCTTTATAAATTACCAAACGTTTCCGACAAAGACACCAGTAAAGCCATTCCGAGAACAAAGAAACCTTTGGGAAGCCACTGACCATAAGGATATTATTTAAAAAAGCTCTCTAGAAAAAAATGACAAGAAATTTTGGTACAAAATATATCATAAAACTACCTGAAATAGCCCAATGCGTTAAGTGTTGACAAAATATCAGCATTAAGTTTCCCAAAAATGTCTTAATCAGCTATTTGGTTTATACTTGAAATATATTAGGATATTAGCCTATCCATGTGTGTTTTGTTTTTTTACCACAATCATTAGAAAAAGTGAAGATATATTTTCAAGCCGATTAGTTTGGACCTGGAACAATATATAGCATTTTTAATGCTTCCAAAAATGATTTTCATAATGTTTGAATACCTACTTTTAAGTGACGTTAGAAATGTACTAACACTTTCAACAAAAATAATAATTTCTACTACTGTATAGAAAAAATATTCTATTTTGTCCTCAAAGGTTAATAAATAAATTTTACCTAACCCGCCATGTTAAACTCCCCTATCCCAAGCGTGATGTATACAACTTCCTCAATTCACGAGTGATGTAAAGTTGAAAAAAACTCACTCGGTGGGGTAATGAAACCCATTTAAATAACATTGAGTGGATAACCTAAAAAATATACCTCTATAGAGCCAACGACGTTCAACGCTAGAAATCAGCTGTGTGCTTTAATTTTATTGTTATGCTTTGAAGAATTTTCCTAACCTAGCTTTTGTTTGTAAATGAACGTTACTGTTAGAAGATGAGTGAAATGGATAATGAAGCATATTGCTCGTAACCTCCTGTATATTATTGTCGGGTCAGGTAAAATCTTGTACGTTTAACGTTACGCAAGAGCGTGTTTACATCACTTCGGTGAATTATGCAACTTGCTTTCGCTTGTTGCACAACATTCACCTGCGTGATGTAAAAACGCTCTTACTACACTTGTAATGTAAATAGCTTGAAATAAAATCACCAGTTATAAGGAAATATTGTACGAAATATCTATCCTTTGTTTTCTCTCAACCAGGTCACATTGTTATCATGGCGTTTAGCCAGGTTACTGCCATGATTTGGGCCTCCAAGGTAGAAGTTCACCAAGCAATGTTCCTGTAACATCAGTAGTTATTGTTAATATTTACATTTTGAAATGCTAGAAGATGGGTTTAAAGAAGTTTTTCACAAGTAGACATATCAATATCAAGTGTTTAAAAATGATGGTTTTCAGTCCAACAGAATATTTTTCCAGGCTGTACTGTTGGATCCTCAATACACAATGAGAGAACTGTGGAAGAAAATGGTGGTTGTGCTGTGCAACGTAATACCAGGATTTTCCCGGGGTATCTACATCAACGGGGTCTTACTCTGTGCCGAGCAAGGGGGCAAGATAGAACTGCTATCCCCCTCCACAACTACCAAACCTGGTGATAAGATTTACGTTGAGGGTTATGGGAGAGGAACGGAAAAGATTTTTTGCCCTGGCGATTGGCGAAATGAAACTAGAGATTTCACAGATATGAACTTTGTACGGATGTTTGAGGACAATATTGTGCCCAGTTTGAAAGTAGATTCAGAGAGGAAAGTGCTGTATAGAGACATCCCCTTGAGAATTGAAGGAAAAGATGGGTTCATCACAGCAGAGAGTTTATCCGATTGTCCTGTTACTCATGTGCCGTACGAAGAGCCCCTATATCCAGGGCAGCGCTAGATTAACACGTCAAATATCAAAGTTACAATGACATTATTTGTGGAATAGTTCTTACTGCATAAGAAGTCCTTAATTTTTTTAGTGTTAAAAAACCAATGTGATCAATGTTAGTAATTTCCGTCCTGATACAGGAGTATATCCAGTCTAAAAATCCCCAAGCCATACCTACCACTTGATAAAAGAAATATACCTCAATATTTTGAAACAGTTTGGTGGTATCAGGTAAACTTAATCATTTAAACACATTACTCAACTACAAAGCTTTGATTAGGTACCTACAAATATATTTGTAGATTTACAAATTATATGATTGTTTTATTACTACTTTAGACTAGACATTTTTTTCTTCTCCACCATGAACGAATATCCATATTGTTGGTCCAAATACAATATAAGTGTACCTGAGTGGTTTTAGTGCTGGCCCTCTAATCAGAAGTTTCTGGTTTGATCCTAAGTCACTTAGGATTTTAATGGTTTAAAATGGAACCAGCTTCTGTGATCATTTGGGATTTCAATAAATGGTCTTGGCAAGTAAATCAGCTGGTCTTAGTCAGTTATGTAGATACTCAAGTAATTTTACTCCATGTATATCCTGCATTCATATCTTGTTTAAAATACACGGACCCTAATCTGTGTTGAAAGGATCGACAGTTTCTCTTTTAATAATGCAAAAATAATGTATGTGGATAAAAATTTTAGACGGTTAACATAATTAATTTACGTGCAAACAAGATTTTTAAGAGCACGGTTAAAAATGTCCAGTGTTTTATTTTTCACCTGAGCTAAAAAGTTTTAGACATTAACTGCTAAACATGAAAAAGGATTTCAAGAAACCAAACACTTTTTTTTTCTACAGTTACCTAACAATGTACATGTTCTCTCACTGATTTGAGAAAGCAAAGTGGCCAATTCGCTCATCAGTGAGACAATGTTAACATTGTCTCACTCTAATTACTTTCTCTCACTCAAGATTTGCAACGTGAAGGCACAAAATAGTGAGAGCGTAACATGCAGACAAGGTTGTATGCACGCGAAATACGTTGGCAGCACTGGCTGTAAATCAGCTGGTCAGCTGTTGTACTGTTGTATCATTAAATGTCATATTAAAAGTTAATTTCTGTGTAAAAATATGTTCCGTTTCTTTACCAATTTATTTGTTTTATGGTATCTGTAGGGAAAATATAATGTGCAACTCGAGTGCAAAGTGCAATTGCCTCACTCGAGAAACCATACCTCACTCGCCTACGGCTCGTGAGTAAGTATTGGTCTCGGGTGAGTCAATTGTTCACTTTGCTCACTAGTTGCACAAATAACTATTTTATTCTCTGCTATTAAATTTTCTTTGGTTATTTTTTTTTTATAAAATTATTTGAAGCAAGCTCACTCCTGTGGCAGGATTTGTTAAAGTTTTGAATAAATAGTTATACATAACAGTTACAAAACAAAATGTAACATAGTGTGGTTACAAATCTTTCTTCAGAAACATATAAGAAAGGAGGACAAATAATTTTCACAATACAAATGTGAACTTTCAACAAACATTACACAAACGAGGCCTTGATTCCGCAGTCAGCAAGAGAAGGTGTTTTTATATATTTCCCTGTTAGTCCTCGCACAAAGAGTTTCTCATTCTTGTACACAACTTGTCTACTCTCGTTAATCCTCATGTCAGCGATGACGTCATTAAACGTATTCTCGCTGTCGTGCATAAACGGTCTCTCGGGGCAGTTCATGTCTGCGTACAAAGGGTAGTTCTCACATCTGAGTGGGTCACCAACCTGTGTGAAGAGTGTTTTAAAAGTCACTGATCAAAATAGGAACATTGTTTCAGGATCTAAAGTCTGACAACCTTGCACAAGCCTGGCAGAGCTGGGATACACAGTTCTTTAAACATTTTCTATATACCTGCAACTCAAGTTTTAGAGTTTTTAAGTAGTTATGATCCAGTCCAGTTGATCTAAAGAGTATCTAATATTTGTTTCTTGTTATTTAGGCCTAACCAACTATTTACCTAAATACAACAATCTATTTCTAAACAAATGCATGTCTTAATGGTATTGCAGTCAAATAGTGGAGCAACAGTTTTGAAATCTACACCACAATTAACATTTTTACATCAGTGATCACAAATTTAACAGACATGAAACACACATAAAAACAGAAGGCTTCATATATTTCAACAGGACAAAAAATTAATGGCCAATGCTATCAGAAGTAGGATGCTGTAACTATTTACAGTAACTTGAATGCATAACATTTATATTTTCTGTGTCCTCACCCTGTTTTGAATAAGAGGTTAAGCTACAGTACAAAATAATGAAAGGAAAATACAGTAGACTTACTCTTCTTCAGACTTGTTCGGCAAAATGTGCATGACTCACATACTACTTTGTCCATAGCCTCGCAAAAAATTATTTCACAGCCTGTATGTTTAGCACTTATGAATCTGTTGATTTCATTGGTGGTTTCTCTTATTACTTAGAATAACACTGCACACAAAATTTGTGGGTTTCCCCTTCCATTCGTGTTTGTATCAACCTTTTTTTCAGACAAGAGTTAGGTCCCAAGGTTTCCCAACAAGAGAGAGTCTAGTGCATTGTAATAACTGTGTGGTTTCTTACATTGTCAACATATCAGTTAGAGATTGTGTAGCTAGATAGCTTACCTTGGCCTTCTTAGGTACGTTCCAGAGTTCGTAGATGACATCGTCTGGGTTGGAGTGGTTCACTGTGGCTCCACACATCAGCATAGCAGTATTGCCAGCCACAGCGTCGTCTGTCGGCTCTATATTGCACAGTGCTACTACCTTGCGTTTCTCTAGCTTTTCTTTATCGTAGAACTTTCCTATCGAGCTCACCTAAGCAGCAGTAGGTATTTTAAAAATTCATATTTCAAAATAATAAAAAGTCAAATCAGAATTATTTATTTACACAAAAATAAATTTTACATCAATGCATTTGATCCCTAAATGCTATTTTTGTGAGCGTTTTATAACATAGCATATTTTTTCTGACCAGGAATCTTGTATGGGTAATATTACTATTTTTATTTATTTTTAAATTTTTTTGTAATAAGGAGCTTTTTGGAAAAGTATTAGAGTGGAGCTGACTTCACTGAGTAAGTTAAGAGTTCTGGGGCTAATGGGTGAGCAATAAAAGGTCACAGAACATCACACCACTTCTTTTCAAAACACTCTTTACAAGCCACTTGTCTTTCATTTGAACAGTAGTTGTGTTTAGCATGTTCCATCCCTGTCTTAGATTGTTTTTACCTCACATTACTGGAGGTTAGACTACTTCTACTGTACTTTTTATCATCTTTTTAGAAAGAGTGGAATGTGAAACACTTAATTCAGTTTTCTTTTTAGCTATCTTAAAGTTCTTAGAAACAAATACTACTCACAATCGGAATCGGGAACTTAAACCCGCAGTCGACATAAGTAAGCACCCAGGAGTCGGGTTTGGCAGGGTGAATTTTGGCGAATTCAATTCTGCCGACAAGGAGCTCGAAGCGACGGATGTCCACTGGGTCCTCAGCCATTGGAGGGTTACAACCATCTTTCGGTGGGTCGTGGATATTCTCGATCTTGACATGTTGATACGGGATCCAACCATTTTCTGGGGTGGGGGGTGGTGTCCCAGGATACCCTAAGTTTCAACAAATCTTCTTAATATATAAAAGAAAGTTGTGTTAGTTACAGCGTTTATAACTAGAAAACTACTGAACCAATTGGCATGAAAATTTACAGGAATATTCCTTAGGTACTAGAATAACATGATAGCCTGTTTCCGTTTCAAAAACCCTTAAGGGAAGCGTCCTATGGCCCTTTGCAGTTTACATGTTAATCTTATGGAAGAATGTTTTAATTTGTTTACCATGCCATGTTTGTCATTTCTTGATTAAATTAAATTAAGGAAACAGCTTTTGTAAAGGCAACCTAATTTTTGAAAAAAATCTATGCATAACAAATGAGAGCTATCAAATAGGTTTCTATTCCATTTGTTTTTTACGAATATTTGTTGTAAAATGTAACTGAAGGCAAGTGAGCGCAGCGAACGAGCTCCAACCTAAAGGTAAGTGAGCGTAGTGAACGAACTTCAACCTGGAGGCGAGTTAGCGTAGCGAACGAGCTAACCTGAAGGCAAGTGAGCGCAGCGAACGAGCTCCAACCTAAAGGTGAGTGAGCGCAGTGAACGAGCTCCAACCTAAAGGTGAGTGAGCGTAGCGAACGAACTTCAACCAGGACGTGATTGAGCCATGCAAACGAGCTCATCTTACAGCTCACAAACGAGCTCACATTAGGACAGGACGACGTCTGTAGGGCCAGCTAGTAGTGTATAATTGGACAAAATTCCTTCTAAGTTTTGTTCCAAATATTTTGTGTTACTACTTTGTACAATATGGCAGTCTATGAAATATCAAGTAATGGCATTATTGCATGGAAATTGACAGGGTTTGAACCTGTGTCAGTTGTTAAATACTCTTTGCATACTCAAACACACTTATCTGTATTAAGAAGGTGAGACGAGTGGTCAAAGTGCTCAAACTAAATTTTGTTTTTGAATAAATAAATAAATAATAAAAAGGCCTTTATTTGCAAGCCAGTTTTATACACATGTTTTTCAAACTTACTCAAGCCAAACTAAAACTAAACGAGCCTAATATATACAAAAATAATATACAAAGAACTACAAAGAAAAAACATTTACAATTTACATTTTAAAGTTGTTTTTTTCTTAATTGCGGCCCTGAATGAACCATATGATTTGGAGCTCTTTAAGTCCTGAGGGAGGCCATTATACAACTGCGGGCCGAAATAAGAAAATGACTTTCTTCCAACCTCAAGCCTCACTTTAGGAAAGTGAGCCCTGCGGTCGGAACGAGTACACGCAGACAGATCTCCCCCATGTTTAAGCCTCTTGCTGAGGTACTGAGGCTTTCCCAGCGTGAGCACTTTGTGGACCAGGCAGCAGGTCAGCTTCCTGCACATGTCATCCATTGGGATGAGCTTAGCAGCATCTCGGAAGGAGGACACGTGGTCAAAGCGGTTAAGGCCAAAAATGAACCTTATGGCAGAATTTTGAATTCTTTGAACTCTTGCCATATCCTCCTTAGAGATGCTGTTTCCATTTGCAGGAAAGCAATATGTGAAGGCTGGGAGGACCAAGGACCGCATGAGTTGCATTTTGGCATAGACCTAGATACATAGACTAACCAACAAAAGTAGACTTCTCACCCCATTGTAAATTTTGAAGCTCGTTTTTCGTGTCTAGTTCATGTATGGTGACACTGGGCGCTAAGCGCAAGTGTTGACGAAATCTTATTTCTATTACTTAAAGTTTTTAATGTTTTGAGCTTTACTGTTTGGTTATATAACCAGAGGACGAGTTATTGTTTATGATTAGATCGTATTATTTGGTTAAACAAGGTTTTAAGTGACTGAAATAACAACAAACAAATTGTAAACAAAACTCGACTTCTACAGTGCACCGTACAGAACTAACAATAAAATTGGCTTCAGCTGTTCCATAAGGATGAGAAATCTACTAATGGAGTATGTTGTATCTATGCTAGTTACCACTTGTGATTGGACTATTGATATATAACATGGACGGGCCATCTGATGTAATTAGGAGCAGGGTTTGGACCTTATGTTATTAAATAAGTGAAAGAATGTCTATATGTGACGAACAAACCAAGTAAACGGTAATAAAGAAAATCCTAATGATCTATTTTACTATACATCTTTCACAATATTTAGGCGGTTTGAGGGGAAGTTCCCCCACAACTTCTTTGTATTTAATCTATGTTTCTTTATCAGTTGTTGAGCTATTATTTTAAAGACAAGAGTCAAGTGGAGGGGATAGATTTTTTCTCCTAAAACCGCCCAAATATTGTGAACAAAGTTAAAGTGAATACTACTAATAATAAATACATCCACATGCACCATAAAATATGAATTGAAATAGGCATACCTGGATATAACGAAAGTCCATTGTCTTCCTCATCATTGTACACTCGGTCCAAAACAGATTTTTTCTTCTGCCTCATTTGTGTGTTGTTGACCTATTCCTGTTAATACAAAAGTAAAAATTTAAAAAAGTCAGTCAATTTTCATTATTTTCTGTACAACTTCTTTAAGTACCTCATTTAATTCATAAATCAAATAGTATCTATTGATGAAAAAAATTGTAAAAAACAACTCATCCGGTTGCTGTAAGATGAACTGAGTCAAATAGATAACATTCTGATCATTAAATTTCATAAGTAAATTAAAGAGATAATAGAGTTCTAGTCTTGAACTAAAAGTGAGTATAAAACATTATTGTTTACATATACATTACTATCAACAGAATTTTGGACATTGAAATATTTTGTAAATTTATTTTTTTAATATGAATCTGACCTGAAAATATGAAAGAGTTTTGGGAACATTAAAAGTCAAATATTTGAAGGTAAAGAATTCCTTATAGTTAAAAACAGTAAGGTATTCAATATTCATATAAGTGTAACGGAGTAAAATAACAATTTACAGTATTAATTTTTATTTTTAGTCGTTACTGGTTTTGTACATTAAATTATATTTTGTCAAACTCTAAAATAATTTCTTGATCATTGATCAACTAGGCTACCTCGTGTAATAAGGCTCTTAATGAGACAATTTCACCCAGGATAAGTAAATTGCTAGCATTGGGGCTACTAGTGGAAAATGTTAACTTCTGAGCAACATGTTTACTAGTTATAAGTAACATACTTTTAGTGTACAAGAACTTTATGTCCTATTGAAAAAATAATATATAGGTCCTTAGAACCGTTTTCTGTTATAAAAAAACTTTGGGAACAAATTTATCCATGGGTAAGCTCATGTAGCCAAGCTGTTTAGTGTAATTTGTGTTAGAAGTTACACTAGAAATTATTCATTGATTGCAATTTTTTGTGCTATCCACGCCGATGGCATTGTTCAATGTTTTTGAAAGGTAATGGTCCAAACCTAGGGTCTTTTGTTACCATTATATATTCTAACGTCAACCTTTTTGTTAGATAGCATCATTAATTCATATCCTATTGACAAATATGGCATCTGGGTCTGGACACAGTCTCAAAAACGATTACAATTTAATTTATTTTCTTAAAAATCTGCTTTGCAGTAAGCATGGAATGGGGTTGAGAAATGTGGGTGACTAAGACACAAAGTTTCTGCATGCAGCAGAAGACGAGGAGCCATGGATTGGACATTTTGCGGGGCGTAAAACCTGTCTCCGATGATAGGATGTCCAATAGCCTGAAGATGAACTCTCAGCTGATGCGACCGACCAGTCACTGGTGTCAAGAGAAGACGAGAAGTAGAGTCTTCATAACGCTCCAACACTTTGTAGCACGTCATTGACGGCTTACCAGTCTCGTAACAAACCTTGCTACGAGGTCTGTTGGGCCAATCCTTAACGATCGGAAGATAGATTTCCCCTTCGTCTTCAGTAGGATGACCCCAGACTTTTGCGATGTAGAACTTGTAGGTTCTTCTCCTTCGAAATTGATCTTTCAATTTAATTTCAACTTCCTTTGTTAGAGCTACAGTGAGTACTCCACTCGTGGCTAGATCAAGTCTATGAGCAGATTCTGCTGCCGGGTGATTTTTCCGCACACGGGTCAAAACGCTATCTGTCTTATCAGGTGTGTTCCCTCGACCCGGAACTGAGAGCAGACCACAAGGTTTGTTAACTACTATCATGTAGTCATCTTCGTAGAATATGTTTAGCCAGGGTTCAGGAGGAATGTACACCATTAGGAACTTATACACCAACGTTAGAAAAATATAAAATATAAGAGTTCAAGTAATAATTTCAGAGTGTAATGTTATTAGCAGATAAGATCCATAAAAAATGTTTTATTTTATCTTGGCATTGTTATTGCACACTCAAACTGGTGCTATGAATTTAAGAAGTTGTATTGTATTTTTGGTTTCTGCCAAAGCTCTACTTTGTATTTTAATCTATATATTAATTTGAAACTGTTTTTCTTTGTCACAGCTAATTTGAGAGAACGGCTGGACGTAGAAACTCGGTAGATGTGTCTAAAGAAAGGTCTTGGTCCGTAGATTAGCCATCAAAAGAGAAATGATATAAATTCCCTTGGGGATCTGCCCCAGAGGCCTTTAAAATTCTTTCCCATGTTTATTTATTTATTTATTTATTCCCTCAACGGTAACACCATTTTTACATTGGAATATACATTAAATAGGATTAATCACTTTATAAACATAGCATAATTGGTAATAAATATGAGCAATAATAAGAATAAATTAGAAAGCAGACATGAAATGCAAAAGACATAACCAGTATAAAAGACAAAAAAAAATACATTAATAGGCTGAATCAATTCAAGTGTAAGACAAACAAAAAAAAACATAGCAAAATTAGGTACAGGCTACTAAAATAGTGCAATAAATAAGAATAAAAATGAGAAGCAGGCATAAGATGCAAAAGACATAATAATATGGCGCATAGATAACAACAGGTAAAATTTAAAGTGCAAAAACATAACAACAACAATATTTAACAATATGCAACCAAGACAACAACAACGAGAAAAAAGGAAACAACAATTGCAATATCGGTAGGCTAACAAAAGAAATAGTAAGATACAACAACAACAAAATAAATATATATATATGTACAAAACAACAGCCATAAATTAATTTAACAAACGCAAACACAACAGGAAACTTATTTAATAAACAAACAGGAAAACACCAACTGGACACAAATGTGGCCCTTTAAAGGCACCACCAAAGAAAAACTGAACTTTACTGAAGCCCTTAGGCAGCCACTAGTTTAAAAAGGCACTGGCACATCTTTTAAAAACAGGAGCTGAAGTGCTGAAGAAGTCCACATGAGCAGCCGCCACAGCGCCCTCACGCAGTAGCCGAGACAAGCCGCTGTTGTACGCATATGATGTGGGATGGAATCTGCGCTGGAAGATTGCTCTGGAGCGAGTGCCTCTCGGGACAATAAGGTCAATGTTGAAAAGCAGATCGGGGCTGTCCAGAAGACCATTAACCAGCTTGTACAACACCACAAGATCAGCCAGTCTACGTCTTATGTGAAGAGGTTGGATACCAAAGATTCTCTGAAGTTCTTCAATTGGTACATCGGTATATGCATAACCAATCCGGATACCCAACATCCGAATGAAGCGAGCTTGGATTCGAGACAGCAAATCAAATACGTATAGGTTATTCTTATGGAGGAAAAACAAGGGTTTTGTCACAGCTAATTTGAGTGAAAGGTTGGGCGTAGAAACTTGGTAGGGGTGACTAAAGATAGGTCTTGGTCTGTAGATGAGCCATCAAAAGAGAAACAAGATAAATTCCCTTGGGGCTCTGCCCCAGAGGCCTTTAAAGTTCCCTTCCCAGATTTGTTTACATTATGACCATATGGATAATTTTACACTACTTTTTAATGACACAGCTGTTAATATTTAAGTTGTATTTCAAACAAAATTTTATCAAAATTGCGTGTTGGCAATGTTTTTTCTGTTTTTAAAATCGATTTTCTTCTGCATCGAGTCATGTTTTGCAATATAATGTTCTCTTACAAAATCAGTGGAAAATCTTAGTATCACAGTAACTCTTAAAATCATTTCTTCGAGTTAACTATTGTAAGGGTTGGTTTCTGCCTTTTTTTAATTTTTGCATTTATTTTATCATACTATTGAAGATAGATCATCACATTCATGAGTTTGTTGTCATGTTTTCGATCTGTCATGTTTTCGATCATTGGAAAATCGATCTAAAAGTTCTTCAAAAAGGAGATGAATCTATTTAGCATAGTAATAATAGCTTTGTTGACGTACTGGAAATATTTTATTCATTGAATAATCAAACCATATTCTGTAACGTGCGCAATAGTAATCATTATTTTTAAAACGCATTTATTACTCATTACAAAAAGGTTAATGTTTAAGTTTTGATAATTGAGCTCTATTTATTGCTTGAAAGTAACCGTCGATTTTGACGGGTTTCCCCTAGTAGTCAATTATTGGAAAAAGGCTAGATTTATCAACATATATAACAATAACCAGAATCAGTTGAAACATCCATGGTAAAGACCAACTGACTGATCTTGGTAAACAGTGCTGGTACATGTGTCGGAAAATTGGTAAAACAACTCTAGACATCTGTTTTTAGTAAATTTTGAGAGTATTCATACTTGGCTTAAAAATACCTACTTTGTATGGTCGCCATTTCATCGAAAAGTATTAAGTAAAAAGTATAAAGTAAAGTAGTTTTTTTACTTCACAAAAAACTTGGATTTGAGTTAGTGGGCTGATGTTTAAAGAAATACTTATACATATTTCCCATGAGTACAAGTTGATGGAGATATAATACTATACTGGAGTAGGCTGGTGAAATATTAAGATGCACTGTGACTGAAAAAAGAAAAGATAATAGAAAATAAAATAGTTTCTTGAAGTTGGACAATAGGTGATGTATATGTGATGATCACTTCCAACTGCTCATTGGAAAAACAATCACAAACATGATTATTTTTTATTAAATATAAATTATTATTTAAAATTGAACAACACTTAGGAAAAGTGTGGTTTTCTTACTGTTCAAGTAAAAAAATACTTTCTATAAACAACACATAACACACAATGCTACAACAGGACGATAAGTTTCTACTTGCTTTAAGCTTTTAAAGGAATGCCTCTGTACACTGCCCTATACTCCTTGTCAAGCAGTTAAGTCTTCTCTCGCTCAAATATGAGTTATCATGCAATCACACAATGTTTCAGTTGTTATATAACCGTCCCGTCCTTTAGCTTTCAAAGGAATCCCTCTATACACAGCCCGATTCTCCTTGTCAATCAGCAAGTCTTTCATGATGAGTTGGTAGTTTTTCTCTTTGATGACCCAATATTGTTCTTGAATGTACCCCTCTGCGTAAATCGGACATCCTGCTTTAGCTTTCTTCGGAGGCTTCAGAAGCTCCACTACCTCCACTACTTTTCCGTCCTCTCCCCCCATCCTGACAGCGGCTAATACTCGGATATTGCATTCAGTGTCATCTGGCAACAACGTCACTGGACTGTTGAGGACAGTGACAACCTTTGTGTCAACCAGACTCTCCACATCAAACCCTATAGCGGAGAGTAGTGCTGTTGACTGAAAGAAAACTACATTTTTAAATACATTTAGTTCAAGATTTCCCCTACATTATAGGTACTCTTTACTTTATGTTTGGAAACCTCGGGATCAAATCCTTTAAACTAAAAAAGTCAGGAAATTAATTGAACTAAGCATATGCATCAGTTATTTTGGCTGCATCATTGTCTTGTCTACAGTTGGCTGAGAATGTAATCTAGTTTTATGAGTTTACCTGATTTTTTACAGCATAAGAAGCCCAAAAAAGCTTACACACTCAAATATACTTTTGATAAGGATTTTTGTAGCTAAAATCGTGTAAACAATCAATAATGATTGGTAACTTGTAACTCGTTCCCCACGCACAGGCTTTGCTTATGTGGGGAGGATCCATTTTTGTTAGAATTACTGTTTGTATATTTAGATTCATGGAATAAATTATGTTTGATTTGATTTGATTTGACTTTAAATTAATAACACTGTGAAACAAAATTTATCTTTCTTCCTTCCATAAAAGTTGTAACTAGATGACCAACTGGTTTTCAATTTTTAGAGTAAAGGGTTAGCAGCTAGCTTCGTATAGACAAAGATAGTTAACATAAAAACTTATAAAGAGATTCTTGTGAACTCTTCTTGTCTACGCTTGACAAAATCCTCTGACAAAATATTGTGTGTTAACTGTTAATGTTTCTTCTTTGTGTGATTATTCTAAGGAAGGTAAACTAGCTGCTAAAATCAAAATCCTGGCCTAGAGCCTTTCCTTAAACAAAACCAACTTATTTTTAACTTACTGAAGTTCTTTTGTGAGTTGTTTTGACGTCTATGGTGAGGGTGTAGACACCTTCAAGGTCTTCCAAAAGGTCAACGTCCCTCACTTTCCCCACTCTGATATCCAACCTCCTGAGATCCATTAACTTTGGGGTACGAGTCCGAGGCTTTCCTGAGAAAGGTGGCACTTTTTTCTCAGGAAGAGCTTCTTGAGCTTAAATCAAAACGGTTTTGTAAAGCGGGGGTGAATATTTAAATTTTGTTCTACAGGGATCAACAAATGAAAAAAATGCTTAAGAAGGGTACATACTCAAAAGTTTAAATAGGTGTGTAGGCCTTTCAATATTCGTTTGACTGTGGATTTTTTTAAATTATTTGTTTAGTTAATAAGTTACATGAAATTAATACTTAATTTTTTTTTTAAGAGGTTGGCGACCTCTTTTACCTTGCATTTACCTGTCCACATAGACTACAGATCTGTGTGTGGAACGTATCCAGCAAAGCAAGGGGTGAGCCGGTACAGTACGAAGGTGAACTGTACTGATAAATTTTAGTGGCAGTGACCAGGATCCGAACCCACGACATCACTGCCTTGGGCCCGAAGTCCGTGACGCTACCAACTGAGCCACCGACTCACCCAAAACAGTCTTTTCGTCTGGAGCCAATCCAACAGGATATCAAAGATATGGATTAATTTTAATTACAGTATCTTCATGAAACACCAACTTTTCCTTACTTTCAGATGCAGGTGCTTTAATTTTTTCCGCCGTATCACCTTCATCAATAGGATTTCCGATGTTTTCGGATGAAACATTTTCAGGTGTACTGAAGGGTTCATTTCCAGACATTTTTAGTATATATTTTTTTTAACTAATCCAAAAACGCTTAAAAATATAGCTTTCAACCATAAACCTGTAAGTAAACAAGTGATTGGATACATCATACGAAATGTTTACGTTTTTTCACATTGACGTTCGATTATTAAAAGTGTGTTTTAACTGATACAAAATTCATCACTTTGATGTACCACTTCGATTTGAACCAACAAAAGAAATTACTTCAGTTGCTCAACATGTAATAAGTTAAGATCTTCTATTTTTAGAACCATACACTCAACTACTTAGCAATAAATTATTGGCTCAATCTAATCTCTCAACTAATTGTTTATCTTAGCAAGTTTAAAACTTATTTGATTTTTTATCATAGGGAAAAAAGAGTTGTCCACAAACATTGCCAAAATAAACTAATGTCTTTTGTTTACAGAAAAACAAAGAATGTTCTAAATAATTAGATCATAGAATATAAATATAATTAAAATACATCATCATAAAATTTAATAGATGGCTAATTTTTGAGTATTTGTTAAATTTTTAGTGTGTATGAGGAGATAGAAACTTCATTTTTGTTGTGTTTTGTTGTTCCAGATCGGTGTAAACAATCAAAATACCCCCGCCGCAGCAAACCTGCCGACTAAGCGAATTTCCATTTGTCTTAATTGATTTTCAATTAAATATATTTTAATAACATTACGTTTAACGAGTACCTAGGTTTGCTGCTACAAGGAAACTAATAAAGTGTGTTTTTGAGTAAAATATTGATAGCTTAGTACAAAATAAATAAATTTGCCAAGTTTGATCAAAATATATCCATAAACAAGCAAACTACAACATTTGACAATATTCTCCATAAGAATAACATGGAAATTTAAAATTTACAATTTTTTTAATTTTCTCCGTTACTATTAACCGAACAAAAATACTTTTACATACTAAATTAATTGTTTTTTTAAGCTCTTTAAAAAGGTCTAAAGAGAAATTGGGAAATTTTGTGTTTTGAGGGTCAAAAGGGAGAAAAACCAATTTTTACCCCATAAAACCCCCCGTAAAGCCCCGTTCCCATGGTCCGATCATGCTGGTTCGCGAACTCATTCAAGATTATTTTGCTTTACACCTTTAAACCAAATTTAATCAAAATCGGACAAAAATTACTCAAGTTATCGCGTTCACGGACGTATATATACAGGGTGTTGAAAATGTCTGGAACCAACATTATATCTCGTGAGTGGTTAAAGAAAAACAACTGATATTTTGTGTACGGATATACTATGGTTTTACCTATCTTTTAGTGCCTTATGAAAATTTTTACCACTTATAGGGAACGTCCTGTGGAGGATGCAGTAAAAAGTTTTAATGGAAGCCTATGGTAAATGATACATCATTTTAAAGGCCATTTTTTTCTGAGTAAGGAGCCACAAGTTTCATCTCAAAAGGACCACCCTAGCAAAAATGGCGACTGTTTGAAATTTAAAAAACCACTTACAGGGAACGGAATTTTTAAATTTCAAACAGTCGCCATTTTCGCTAGGGTGGTCCTTTTGAGATGAAACTTGTGGCTCCTTACTCAGAAAAAAATGGCCTTTAAAATGACGTATCATTTACCATAGGCTTCAATGAAAACTTTTTACTGCATCCTCCACAGAACGTTCCCTATAAGTGGTTATTTAAATTTCAAACAGTCGTCATTTTTGCTAGGGTGGTCCTTTTGAGATGAAACTTGTGGCTCCTTACTCAGAAAAAAATGGCCTTTAAAATGATGTATCATTTACCATAGGCTTCCATTTAAACTTATTACTGCATCCTCCACAGGACGTTCCCTATAAGTGGTAAAAATTTTCATAAGGCACCAAAAGATAGGTAAAACCATAGTATATCCGTACACAAAATATCATTTGTTTTTCTTTAACCACTCACCAGATATAATGTTGGTTCCAGACATTTTCAACACCCTGTATATACAGAGGGGTGCAAAAGTAGGTATACAGTACGAATAGGCTAAAGGTTTGAACACACGAGGAAGTGAGTGTTTTTGCCTAGTACAACATTTTTAAGAGTTAATTTAGGTGTCTTAATACTACTTAATAAATTGGAAAAGTTTGGGTTTTGTATAAATGAATATATTTGTTCTATAAACAGTTTCTTACTGTATACCTACTTTATAAGTCTATACATATTTTTATATACATATATAAAAATTTGAACGAATGGTGTTTTTGGCCTCTGGGGACATCAAAATGAAAAAGTAAATCGGTCCCGGGTCTAGGTCTTACCGTGCCATCTACGGTAATAGCTACTTCCCTATGGTAGGGAAATTCGCTAAAAGGTTAAACTACCTGTGTCCGCCGGTCGATCCTATTGTAATCATTCACAGGAGATGCATTTCGGCAAGTTATATCGCCATCATCAGTCCTAATACAAGTCCTTGGCAGTTATTGGTTTTAAATAGTTTTTAATCGTCAATGTAGCGTTATGTGTATGTGTCTACAAACTTCAAGACGTACCCGTAATGGGGAAGTTCAAGGACTTTTATTATGACTGATGATGGCGATATAATTCGCCGAAATGCATCTCCTGTGAAGGATTACAATAGGATCGACCGGCGGTGATTTTTCCCTTTAACAAATTTCCCTATAGGGAAGTAGCTATTACTGTAGGTCTCATGGTAAGACCTAGGCCCGGAACCAATTTACTTTTTCATTTTGATGTCCCCAGAGGCCAAAAACACCATTCGTTCAAATTTTTATATATGTCTTACCGTGCCATCTACGGTAATAGCTACTTCCCTATGGTAGGGAAATTCGCTAAAAGGTTAAACTACCTGTGTCCGCCGGTCGATCCTATTGTAATCATTCACAGGAGATGCATTTCGGCAAGTTATATCGCCATCATCAGTCCTAATACAAGTCCTTGGCAGTTATTGGTTTTAAATAGTTTTTAATCGTCAATGTAGCGTTATGTGTATGTGTCTACAAACTTCAAGACGTACCCGTAATGGGGAAGTTCAAGGACTTTTATTATGACTGATGATGGCGATATAATTCGCCGAAATGCATCTCCTGTGAAGGATTACAATAGGATCGACCGGCGGTGATTTTTCCCTTTAACAAATTTCCCTATAGGGAAGTAGCTATTACTGTAGGTCTCATGGTAAGACCTAGGCCCGGAACCAATTTACTTTTTCATTTTGATGTCCCCAGAGGCCAAAAACACCATTCGTTCAAATTTTTATATATGTAAATATATATCTATATATATATATATATATGTCCGTCCGGACGATAACTTGAGTAATTTTTTTCGGCTTTTGATAAAATTTGGTTTGAAGGTGTAAGGCGGGATAAACTTGAATGAGTTCGCGAACCAGCATGATCGGACTATGGGAACGGGGGTTTATGGGGGGTTTTGACACCATCGTGCCGTTGAGGGTAGGGGCCGTTGAAGTCCAGACCGTTCGTTCTGCCAAGTACCTTGGGATTATGGTGGACAGCAAGCTTAGCTGGCGGGATCAGATTTTCCGTACGGCGGACAAGGCCGCTAGGGTGGTCTCCTCTCTTAGCCGGTTGATGGCCAATGTCGGAGGGCCTCGGTCCAGCCGTAGAAGGCTGTTAATGTCTTCTGTCCAGTCCGTACTCTTGTACGGTGCTGAGGTGTGGGCAGACGCTCTAAATAAGGAGGTATATAGGATGCGGCTTGCCCGAGTGCAGCGTCAGGCAGCACTAAGAGTTGCATCCGCCTACCGAACAGTGTCCGAACCCGCCGTCCTGGTGGTTGCTGGAGTCATCCCCGTCAAACTTTTGGCGGCGGAGAGAAAAGCAATTTATCAGCGCCGTGGGGAGGACCAGGCACGAACAGAGGAACGCACCCGCACCTACCAGCTGTGGCAAGAGAGCTGGGAACAGGAGACTCGGGGACGCTGGACCAGGCGACTGATAAAGCAAGTCCAACCTTGGGTTAATCGGCGGTGCGGAGAGGTGGACTTCTACCTCACCCAATTTCTGACGGGTCACGGCTTTTTCCGGTCGTACCTGTTCAGGATGGGCAAAGCCGTGTCACCCGATTGCATATACTGCCCAGGCATTCCCGATGACGTGGAACATACATTTTTCCACTGCCAGCGTTGGGAAAGGCCCCGCCTGGAGGCTCAACAGTTAGTAGGACTGCTGTCGGTGGACACGGTCATACCGATGATGACGGAGGGTGAGGACAATTGGACCTGTGTGTCACATTACATCCAGGGTATTCTCCGCGCCAAGAAGCTCGACCTTGACCGGGATGCGGTGTAGGTCTTAAAGTATCCAAATGCCATAAACGGTGAGAGCCCTGAGGGCTTAGGTAACATGTTGGCCTGACTTGAAGTAATGTGACAAACAATTCCAGGTCTGTGTCCAACAGAGTAGAGGGGGTTTTTTAGTGAGTAGTCTGCGATAGATTCAGGAGTCTCACAATACAGGCTGGCTACCTGTGTGCGTAAAAGCATTTTCCCTCCTCTCCCTTAAAAAAAAAAAAAAAAAAGCATGATCGGACCATGGGAACGGGGTTTAACGGGGTGAAAATGGGTTTTTCTAATTTTTTTACCCTTAAAACACAAAATTTATTGATTTTTCTCTAGACCTTTCCAAATAATTTAGCATATCAAAGTGTTTTAGTATGGTGAATAGGTGCGGAGAAAATTCAAAAAATTGTAAATTTAAAATTCTCATGTTATTCTTATGGAGAATATTGTAAAATATTTTAGTTGGATTGTTTATGGATATATTTTGAATTTTGATCAAACTTGGCGTATTTTTATTTCATACTAAGCTATTGATTCTATATATATATATGTTATAAAGTAAAGAATATTTTAGTTTCATTATTACAATCATCAAGAAGCCAGTTTTAGTTAAATACAATAGGGCCTAAGGTCAAAGTACAAATAGTACAAAGTTCAACCCCAAAGAGGAGACGAACGACGAGGAAGTCTCAGTCTACGTTATGCCAAGGTACGTTGAACATAGTGCGTTGTTAGTCAGGTTAAATAATTCAGTGTTAGACCGGCTAGTTATGTCTGAATCGTATAGGTTATGATTAGGCAATTATTAAAGAAAACTAAACTATTTCAATATATAATCCAATGTATGTTTGTTTGTTTGTCCTTTATGGACTCCGAAACTGCTCGACAGATTGTACTGAAACTTTCAGGCATTATTAAACATTATTCAAGGATGGTTTGTGTGAAGTTTGGTGCAGATCCGTCAAAGGGCTCCGCCCCAGTGGCTCTGGAGTTTCCCATGTTAACCTTATAAGTACTCATATTTAAAATGGAATTAAAGAATCTTAACAGCTGGTTCAATATTTTAATAAAAATTTCACGTTACTAGTTTCCCTGTAGCAGCTAACCTAGGTACTCGAAACATAAATGTTAATTTAATAGATTAATTGAAAATCAATCCAGGCAAATGGAAATTCGCTTAGTCGACAGGTTTGCTGCAGTGGGGGTATTTTGAGGTATTTGGAAACAGATTGTGTGTTAAAATCTCATCATGATAAGATGTGCAGCTCATGATGAGCTCACTTTTACGTGTTAAGGCCACGCCACACCAGGCTCGTTCCTGCGGCAGTAGTTTTGTCTAGCGTATGCGCAGAGGTACGCCTCGAACATTGATTCACATCACAAATGTACTAAATTAGGCTAATATATGCATTTTCCCTCATTTTGGTATTTTTTTGTCTTTGTTGCCTGAAAAGTGTGTAATAGTACATTTATTTGTTATACTGAAAACGCCTTGGCAGTAGGCTACTATGAAGAATTTATACAAATTCAGGCTTTTGTATCCATAAGTTGAGGAAAAAACAGGAACAATTAAATCAATTCTATGTTCTTGGGGATTTGACGGATAAACACCATAAAAAAAAAAAACCGGATAAAACCAGTAGGTATATAACAATATTTTCATTAATTATTTTTTATTACTTAACATAAACCAAATTTATTGTTACGAAGGATGCAATGCTAATTCCACTACTTAATTCAGGAAAAGAAATCTCATTTGACTGGACAGTCTCTCAAAGTTTTGGCTGTGATATTCCCCTTCCCAGGTATATACATGGGACGGCCAGCATAGGTTGCAATTCCATCTTCGTTGACCCATAAATCAGGTGTGACAACCTCTAACAGTCGTTTCTGATGTTGGTAGAACTGCAGCCACGGTCGTCTCCTGGGTCTGACGTTGATGAAGCCGTCAACAACAACATCTTCTCCTATCTCAGCTCCTGCTGGCGGTTGTAGCATCTCTACCTAAAACCAAGTGTTGTGAACAAAAGTTTTACCCCAACCATATAGAAATTGGTCTAAAAAGGAATATTGTCGAGGCAATTATTTGAATAATAAAATATTTACGCAGCTTAAGAAAGTGTCAAATGATTGATATACCAGCTACAGTGTAATCCTGCTTATTCGATATAATTTTGATTGATCCACAAAGATGACATTTCACATGGTGAAAATTTGGATTAGGAAGAGTTTTGTAATAATATAATATTAATTTTTGTGGACAATTAGGTATCTAAGCTGTAAAGAGAGGAAGTTACACACTGTCATTTCAACTGCACTGTTATCAGAGATCAAAAGATATGTAGTACAAATATCTAGGGCCTCATACTTTGTTGGAAAGTTTTTGTGCCTTTAAAATACCCAGTTGCTCCGAAAAGAATGTCAGAAATATCAAAAAAATTATGGAAAGATATTTGTAAAACTATTCCTTTGATGGTATTATTACTGATGAGTTTATTTATTATGATTATCACTTGAGATGAGTGATCAGACAAAAGGTTAAGAACAAGAACTCTACTTGCAAGCCACTTCTGTCTAAAGTCAATGATCAAACATTTTTGTATTACTAACTTGTAACATTTACCTTATTTCGAGTGCGAGCACTTAACACACTGAGGGGTCGTGACTCCTGACAGTTCCACCAATGAGGAAGAGCCACATAGAGTAACACCACGTACATGTTTTCAAAGTCTTCCTTCTTGAAGAACTTGTTGATTCCCCAAACCTGAAAAAAAACAGAATAATATCCTTGAAACCATGGCAGGGTTATTTTGATAAATGAGCTAGGTAGGCCCGGGCTCAGTGGCACAAGAGGTTTAAGGTTTGCTGAGGGTGCAAGGAAAATTCCCCCACACAGTAGGTAGAGAGGGGCGCAAATATATTTCAGACCCAGAGCACATTGCATGCAAACCACAGGCCTGTAAGTGTGTGATTCTTCCGTACTTATAAATTATGCAAATCCCAGTCTTGATCAAATATGTAGCCCTTTACATTGTGGGCATTTCTTAAATACTTTCAACTTCTAATATTGCAGTTAAAAATTAATTTAGTTTCTTGTATTGTACATAATTATACACAAACTTTACTTCTGGCTATGTTTCTTTTGTGCCAGGCATCAAGTGAATTTTATCTATGTAAATAAAAAGATCATGTAAATCCTGAAGATTTATGAATAAGTTCTTGCATTATGATATTTGATTCAGACCTTCGTAGACATTCCCCATAGTATGTGCTGAATATTGATCTAATTTAACAGTAAAACTTTGACTTACAAACACATTGCTGACACGATCGCCCACTTCAATGTACTCAAAGTAGAATCGGTTTTTGTCCCAGATGTGGTTTTCAACATGAATCACTCTGCCCACCTTCAGGTCCAGACGACCTCCGACCTTCCAGTCACCTTTGAAGGGATTGGTCACTCTTCTCGGAGCTGCGCATCATTTATCTTCTAAGTTGATTTTGCTACTGAAATTAGTAAATTGATATTTACTGGGCTGCAATAAATTTAGACGATATATTGGTATGATTAGTATCAAACTTTCTTGTTTTAACTTGGTATTGAGTGAGTTGTGAATTGGCTGTTGGGTGTGATGTTGACATTGTGGTTAGGATCTTGAACTTTTGTGTAAACGAGACAGTTTTGATCCATGGCATATCCAAACTCTTAAATTAGTTTTTTTAGTAAATTGAGTTTTTTAAAAAAACTTTTACTGGCATAGACGATAACAAACTGATTATGGTTTTTTATATTTCTACGCTGATGTATTTTATAAATTTGTGTAGGCATAAATGACTGGTACAAGCTCAAATGTTACCTAGATCTACTAAAATTCATTGAAACCACAATTATATATTTATGGAACTGGGTGTATATAGAATCAATCTACCTTATAGAGATCTAGAGGTATTAGAGTTTCCCTACTAAGCTGAAGGCTGCAAGTCCGATTCTGAGAGAAATCAGAATCTTTTTTATGGCACAAAACTGGACTCAGCTGTTGTTGAGTAATGGAATTAGAATGAATACATTTTTGGTCTAAGTAAAAATCTACAAGTAAAACTTTGTGAAAAATGTCTTACGATCTTTTTCTGTCTTGTACATAGGTGGTCCTTTCAGGGCCATTTCTCCATCAAGGCATTCCCATCTAGGCATTCTGTTTTCTAAATTTCTCAAAAACAGAAAAATGTTAAATGATAAGTTTGGTTGTTTAAAGATAAGTAAGCCAAATACTGAGTTAAAAAGGTGGGAAATAATTTTCTTATCATGAAATTTTATATTTTAAAAGATAAGTATATGAAACTCAAAATAAATTTATGATTGATTATGTCTTTGATAAAAATGACAAGAGAATGAAGCAATAGTGATCGATAGTTACAGTACTGAAATTAGAACAATGGAGGGACTGAATCTAATCACAAATAAATAAAAATAACCATATTGTGTTCAACATACATACTTTGTATTTTGAAGACTTTGTAGCAGTGATACAAACCTAATGAATCAATTAATTATTGCTAGATCTCAAACCTTTGAGGACTAATTTATTTATTACGTAAAGTGAAAGTGACGTTAATAAACAGTTAATAATTTATAGACAAGAATTCCAAGAAGTGAATAAACATTTTTAAAAGTTAAAAACGTGTTTTATGTATGTATTAATTGCATGAGGAATCATAAGCTCTTCAAATTATCATCAACTAATGTTATTCTTAATTTATTTTCAGACAATACCAGTAAAAAATTTATGCAGTTCCAAATTTAAATGGACAACCACTAGTTTTAAAACTGAATTTGCTAAGCATTACTGCATTGAAGTTTAGAAGTTGGTGATGAATCATCTTTATTCAGGAGGTCATACATTAGCAGCCATGGATGGAAATTGGAGATCATATAATTAAAGCATAGGATTTATTAAATTTATTTTATTCAAATGATACTTGCAACGGAAGGCTAAAAATTGTTTTTAACAATCCAGCTCTTTGAACGTGAGGCTTTAAAAACAGATCTAATTGTCTTTAACAATCCGGATCCATTATGTATGTGATATTTTAAAATTGCTTTATTCTCTAAATAGTTTTCAGGTGCATAGCTTGTTTATAATTATTGGAGTCGGGTTGTTTATAACATTTCAGAAACTAAACCCACAATGAAACTGTACAGTCTTAAGTAGATCATGATCATGTTATAATAATAATGTCACTTGTCCTTAAAACAGTTATATATCAATTATATGTTAAGGACTCCCAATCAATTCTTAAAGTCTTATCAAGTCTTAAAATGTCACCGACATACTGATACAAAAATATAAAAGAGATATTATTGCTAATACAAATTACAAAACTATGTACAAAGCATATTCTTCTTCCCATACAAGAACTACTTTCCAGATTCCTATGATTTTGTCCATACAATTTTAAAGCTCTGGCATTCCCTGTTCACTCAAACACTACTGGGCAATTCTTCAGTGTCCGGGAGGTTACTACGCCTTTACCCTCCACTTGCAGCGGCAACCCCATAAACTCTGCTACTTTCTCCTTGCTCACCCAAAGTTCACTAGCCGTTGAGTCAAACATGCTCTTGGTTTCGTCAAAGTCCTCGCAGTGAAATGTATCGTTCCACTTTTTATAAGGGAGGAAGTAATGTTTTGTGCTTTTCCTTTCGTATTTGCCAAGCGATATTTCATCAAGTGGCTCTCGGCGGAATCCTTCCACGAATACTGCGTCTCCCTCCACACTCCCCAGTGGGGGATCTAGCAGCTCCACCCTGTTAAATTTTGAATTCAGAGGATAATTTTAAGAATCTAGTTCCTGTACAGTATATGTCAACTGCATTCTATTTATAGCGAATTTCCCATATAGGGAATAAGCTATTACCGTAGTACTCATGGCAAGACCTGGACCCGGGACCGATTTTTTTTTTCGTTTTGAGGTCCCTAGAGGCCAAAAACACCATCCGTTCAAATTCATATTATATATATATATATATATATATATTTATATATATATATATTTATATATATATATATATGTGTCCGTTAGCGCGATAACTCGAGCAAAAATGATCCGATTTTGATGAAATTTGGTACAAACGTGTAAACCTACGTTTATTCGAACGAGTTCGCGAACCAGCATGATCGGACCATGGGAACAGGGGTTTATGGGGGCTTTTATGGGGTAAAAATGGGTTTTTCCTATTTTTGACCCAAAAAACATAAAATTTTGAAATTTCTTTCCAAACTATTTTGTAGAGCTTAAAAAAACAAATAATTTGATATATTGTAGCGTTATAATGCGCCTAATGGTTACGGATAAAATTCCAAAAAATTGTTAATTGAAAATTCCCATGTTATTCTTATGGAGAATAAGTAAACCGTTGTAGTGTGCTTGTTTATTAACATATTTTGCCCAAATTTGGAAAATGTTTTTATTTCTTACCAACTATTAACATTTTACATAAAAAAACACTTTTACCCTCCCTGTTGCAGCAAACCTAAGTATGTTTTAAACTGATTCTATTTAAATAGGGAATAAATGTGATATTTTTAAGGATACATTTTAGTCTAAATCCAATCAGGCAAATGGAAATTCGCTTAGTCTGCAGGTTTGCTGCGGCGGGGGTATTTTTACAATAAATCATTTTTCCAGATATTTCACTAGCTTTAAAAATATTTATTCAAATAATATGTCTTTTTTACTAAACTTTGCTTGTTTTCCTCTGGTATTAAAACTAAAAAGTGAATTACGCCATGAAAATTCACTCTAAAATAAGAGGAAAGCCTGAAGAAATATCTGAATAGTTGTTTTTATTTAAATTTTCCATTTTTATGACGTTTGAGTCTGCTGATGTAGACTATAGTTTGTCCTATGCAATCAGACAACCTTACCTGCCAGTGCGACGATGTTGAGCACACATCAGCAAGAACCTTTTGACCAGATCTCGAGAGTGCAGTGGTCGAACATTCAAAACAGTTAGTACAAGTCTACCTAACAGCTCGGACGGTTTGTAGTCCTGCCCAAACAAGCTTATCTGTAAATATATTTCACATTGTTAATACAAGACTAGACAGAAATTATAGACGTTTGATTTGAATAGACAATAAATCTTTACCTGAGGATAAAAATAAACTTTTTACAGAATAATACTCATAGTATGTTCCCTACAAAATGAATGCTGGAAAACATCTGCCTTGTAACAGTGGTTTTGTTTGAGTTAAATGCAATTCAGAAGCTGGCATCCATTCTCTCCAACAACGCCCTGTCAATTCAAAACACTTCCACTTGAATTGCTTGCCAGAGAACATTAACAGAAACATTTAAAGATCTACAGTTACGTACCGGTATGTATAAAAATCATTCACAGAATTACATTTAAAATGTTTTTAAACTTGTGCATCTTTTCTGTTTCAATGTTGTCGCTTGCAATCTTACTATTATGAAACAAGTTATGGTTAGGTAATTTCATATAGTAGTTTGTGTGCTCAATGTTGTGGGTGTGGCCGCTCAAAAACTAATTCGTAATGTTCTAGAAACATATATGTAAATATGAGGGTTTTCCGTCAATTAAAGTTTCAATCAAACTAACGTCGTAGCCAAGTGAAAGTTCAAATTTGAGACTATGGTCTTTTCCTTACTTCATTCACTATTATTCTAGCTGGTTCTGACCTCTAAGGGATGATTAGTCTTGTCAAAGAATCAAAAAATGTTGTGAAAGAAAATTTAAGGTCCCCCAAACTATAAATCACGATCTTTGATTAGATACCGGTGTCTTAGTTGTCAGTCGCTATTGTTTCTCCATTGCCAGTTAACAGGCATGAATGGTGTGTTTGGACGTAGAAAATGTGTGCAAGGGGTGGAGGAAGTTCGGAGGTGGTCTTGTATCTTTGCACAGTGTTTTCTATGATGTAGGCCAAGTGTTTTTCTTATCAAACAGTCTCATTTGCCCAAGGTTAGGGGAATTTCGCATGCGGATTATGGTGTGACTGAAAGAGAATGATAATCAAACTAATTGGGAACGTCTATAAGACTACCAAGGACTATAGTCAGCCCTGGAAGTCTGAAGCACACCGATCTACAAGCAAGGTTTGCTCATATTCAATCACAGTCTCGATGTGGAAACTGATGAACACCTGCTGCCAGAACCATTGTTCAAATATATATGGGCTTCTACTTCCCAAGCCACTAATGCACATTTTCTATGTCAAACTTGGCGACATTAATAAACAGAGATTAACCCCTTCCTACAAAAACCTAACCATAGAACATTAATCGTACTTGGTGGGAATATCAATTCATGTTCAGGCTTTTTAATACTATTACTATAATAATCATTTCATGTATGGTCGGAACCGGCTAGAATAGTGTTTAAAGAATGAAGTAAGAAACACAATTTTGGTCCGAGATTCAAACTAGCTCGGTTGGCGAAGCGGGTAGCTGGATGAAGACCCTAATTTACCCTTGATAGCAAATAACAATAATAAAAACATCTTGTACATCTACTCACAGCTTTTCTTTTCCTCGAGTACCGTCCAGTATCCAGAGTTTGGATGTAGAAGGTTTCGTAGTGTCTGGGGTGGGGAGTCACATCTATTATTCGAGCCACACAAATATCCAATAATCCAATGTCTGGTTCTGGTGGCACTGGGGTCAAATTCTCGTTCTCGTCAATTGTATACTCTGGCTTAGTTCGCCATTCCAACTCCGAGTCACTTGGACCACCATCGCACATTTAAACTATATTTTGTTTTGTATTTAAAATCAATTTGCAAAAATGTATCTAGTTGTTAATTGTTTTTAGTTTTAGCTCAGCTGGTTATTTGGTTAACACCATAAAAACTTAAAACATTCAATAAATCAACTGCAAGGAGTAAAAAGGCAATTCACTGATCATAGGAATGTGTGGTGGGAATTATTATTGTAGAAGAGTGAACTATAAAGTGATTCACCTGCAAAAAACTGGCTTTAGACTATTAATTATAACAGATGAGTCATTTGACTATAATGGTATCAGATGTGTCTTTGTAGATAATTTTATCTTTTTCATTTAAGTTTTGTATTCTGTCAGATATAATGTTATTCCATATTCAGATATAATCAAGTCGTGGTAGGCCTACAAAAGTTGCAATATTTTCTCTAGGAAGTACGGTAATTAGGCATATACAGTAGAACCTCAATTACTCGAACCTTAATATCTCGACTGTTAAATAGGCCTACACAATGTTACAAAATGACAATAGGACTTGCGTTTAACCTCAATGACACCAAACATTATGATAAATACAGTACTGTGTATCCATAAACAAATTGTTGCTTATTATTTTTCACATCAGCTTTTCATTATTTGTATTGTAGTACTGTATTTGAATGTATAGATCTTATACAGTTTTTATGTTGTTTACTTTGTTTTTTAAAGTTCTATTGAACTTACGTTTACAATAGATTACAATTATTTTATTGCTAAATAATAGCCTACATACAGTACTTTATGTGCATTAAAATTGTTTTATTTTATTTTTTGTTTGTTTTTCTTTTCTGAGTTTGTTTGGCCCTTCTACCCGACCAATTGTCATGATTGAGGTTTCAAATTGAAGGTATGCCAGCACAGATTTCACATCAAGCATCGGCATTAATATTTAAGAACAGCCCTACTGGATTTATAAGTAAACAAAGTTTGCTCTCCATCTATTTCTTATGGGAGTTCAATTTGGTTTTTCTTTTCCGAGTTCGTTTGGCTCTTCTACCTGACCGATTTTCATGATTGAGGTCTGAAATTTAAGGTATGCATGCACCAAATTCACATCAAGCATCGGGATATATTTATCTACTGTATTACTTGACCAAAAAACCTAAATATGATTTATTTTAGAATTCTTACTTCAATTTAAGATGTATTTCACCAGTTATAGTTAGTATTGTTTATGTTTTTTTTTTTTTTTATATCTTTTGGACTCAAAATAATCAGCAAGTTCTAGGCTTTAATTTTAGTTATTGGTAGTTTGAATCAGTTAAGTTCAAGATACTGTATTACTCAATCAAAAATCATGAATTTGATTATTTCTCGGATATGCTATTTATTTCAACGCTGAAACAATGGTTGTACGGGCGCCAATCAGCAAAAACATACTTTCATGTTGAAGGATATTTATCATTAACCATAAGCTTCATTACCGAGCAGAAAATTTTTTGTGATTCTTTAATATATTTTCCATGTGATATGCTTTTTAAAATTTTAAAACTTTTGTTTTAGAGGTTGAAACAAAATCGTAGTTTAGGTCAATATATTTACGTAGTTTGACAGCATAATAACAATTAAAATTAAAAAGTAGATAGCAAATCACATCTGCGGTTTCAATTGCTTTAAAATGAGATATTTGCAACTTTTAAACTTAATAAACAATGCCGTAATATGCTTCAACCATTAACATTGCCGTTATGGGCAGAAAATCTAAGATGGCCAGTGGTTCTGCCGACTCTTAAGCCGTTACTTACCTGATGGGATTAGAAGGAAAATAAGTGACTTTCACACATAATATAAATATATATATCCAAAATTATCTTCAGATTTTTTAACAGCCGCGATTTCTCCTCAATTCATCCTTTTATTCAAATTTAACCTCACAGTTAGAAAGGGTTCCCGCTGAGATCTGACCCTGTCGTCCATTCACCTTGAGTGGTTTCCCTTTGTAGACAGCCACACCAAGAGAGTCAATCTTCATGTCAGCATTGACCTTCTCAAAGGGAGTTTTCTCGTAGAGTGCCATGATCTCCGCCTTCCTTGGAGGTGGCTCGGGGCGCCACGGAAACCCATCAACTACTACAGGGTCTCCAACCTTTAAAAAGTGGAAGCTTATTTTTAAAGATAATGAAACCACTCTGTGATTGTATATAGCCCCCCACGTAATGTCAGCTAAACATTCAATTAAAATTTAATTACAACCTATTAAAACCAAAATTATGTTTGGTAATAAAGTATGGCTCTGAATTTTTGCCATTCAGGCCATGCATGGACAACCGTTTACTGTATTTTGCTTTTGGTGAAAGCACAGGAAAAGAAATAAAACAGTAAGAATACATAGATTATAAAACAATACCCATGGACTCAAAACAGTATGCATAGTGCTATGTGTGTCTATGGTAGTGTAGAGGGAGGTCAACTCCCTCTAGGATTTCATCTTTAGCAAAATTGTTTGAATTTTTTATTGTCTGTGTATTAAGTTTTCTTGTTTTATACAAGCGTATGAGTACATCTTTGAAGTTTGAGGTTTTTTGTTTAGTAAAAATAACAGTGTTCAGCAGAAGATGACTGAACCACTAACAGCCTAAGTATGGCGAGTTTGATTGCCAAAACTAGTTGCTAAGTACATTGTATGTGGATTACCATAAGAAGGTGGTATTTACACCAATTTGATTTACGATTTACTCTTAGCAGTTTTTGAACATTTAGTTTTATCAAAGTGTGTGACGAAATCAGACTCAGAAGGTTTTTTTAAATGTAAACGAACATTCTTCCGGAAAAAAATTGTGGGTGCAAAGGGGAGTACAGTGTGTTATGGAATTTGTTATTTCTCTAGATGAAAATGGACACTAGTGCTCTTTTTGAGCAAAACTAAAATTTCTGTTGTTTGAGAAAGGAGTAGTGATGTTTGGAGAAAAAAAGTATTATTCAGGATAGGAAGAGTATTGTTTGGGACAGGAAAAGTATTGTTTGGATTAGGAAAGATAATGTTTGGGTCAGAAAAAGTCTTTTTTGGGCCAGGAAAAGTATTGTTTAGAGGAGGAAAAGTATTGTTAGGGACATAAAATGTAGGCTATTGTTTGGCACAGATAATGCAATTTGCTTTACGACAGGAAGAGTAATGTTTAGAGTTGAGTTGGGACAGGTAAATGATCAAGTTTTTTTGTTATAAGTAAATTGAGTAATTTAGTAGGTTTCAGTTGAATGGAAAAACTAATTATGATTACAGAGTGAAGAAATTAGTTTGTCTAAGGATATGAATCAATATTAATCAACTGTTCATACCAGGCTGTCGAATGGAGGGTTTATCAATTCAACATTCTTTTTATCGACAGCACAAAGCACCATTGCGTTGCGCTCTATTCCCCGTTTGTCTTCAGGGTTGGCATTACACAGCACTACGATCTTGCGGCCGACCAGCTGATCACAGGAGTAACGGCTGGTCAGCTCACTAGACTGTCTTCCAGCAAACAGAAAAAAGAACATTTAGGTTATGTTTTTTGAAAGGTTTATTGTAGAACAGTTTTAATGTCTAAATATTATTTGCATTTGCCACTTCACTGAAGTCTTTCAAAGGTACATTGAATCAGAAAACTTGAGGATTCCATCCCTGATGATGCAATACTGATGTTTTATTAACACTATCATGTAGTGTACACAGTATCATGGATCTATGTTATCCCCTGGAGTCACTTACTCAGGTAACCTAGCCAAATTCTCTTTGAAAAAGGAAAAAAATAATTTAACACATTGAATCTGGTAAGATAGTAGAGGAAGGAAGAAGTAAATTTAATATAGGCCTACTTTCAAAGTCAAAGCACAATACTTACAGCCTGTCTCGTGTTTTCCTCTCCTACATCAATAGTTTCTATGTAAAGCTTGGTGTCCAGTGAGTTACTGGCACAATCTGTGATTTTCCCCACCCTGAGGTCTAGTTGTCCAATGTCTTCAGCGATTGTTGGCTTGATTATATCTTCTGGAGTTAAATCTGACATGGGACGCTAATTAATGGTTACTAATTTTGTAAACAAATTTATTGTTAATAGTACCTATCTTTAATTCACTAATTTTTTTAAATTTTGACAAAAGTAACAATGTTTGATCCTAGAAAGCTTTTCTGGTTGAATTTAGTAACTAAGTGTGATCTTCAGCAACGTTAAAACCATTCCACATCACTATTGCAGTGATAAAATGTATTATGATGCTGTGATTTAGACCTTGTAACAAATTACCATCTTTAGATCAATTGACCACTACTGTAGTAATAGACAATTGGTACCGTTTTGTAGTAACAAAGCACTGTAGTGCTGTAGTAGTGGTATACTTTTTTGAAGATGAGCACGAGATGGAAAAGTCGGTGATGTAATTCAGAAGACCATGATAGTGTTGTAAAATTGAACCTAGCAATCAAATTTACTTCGTATAACAATTTCTTACCAAGGGAAAACAATTATTCTAAAATAATTTGAACAGTAGACAAACATAAAAAAAAATTTTTGTGACCCAGGATTAAGTTTGCTACCTTAATGTACAGAACAAGACTTACTTTAAATTTTTGTATGGAATCCAATACTCTCGATACCTTAAACTTGTATGGTAATAGAGTAAAGAAACCAAAAGTAATGGTATTGTAAAAATGTTTCTATGCTTCTGTAAAAAAATAAAATGCACAATACTAAAGAAAAAAAAATTTTATTCTGTAGGAAATTTTAAAACAAACTTTACAAGCATTGTTAAAAGTTACAGCAATCTCTAAATCAAAAGTTGGTTTGATCTTTAAATCTTGATGATTGAATATAAACCGAAATGAGTATTCTATTGTTTAATTCATAGCCTTGTGATCTTAAATACATATAATAACAATCCCTTACTTTCTAAATCCATGATGAGGTTTTCAAGAAATATTACAGTATATTAACGTAACTATCACTGTGGGCTTAAAACATAACAGAGAAAATAAACAAGATTTAAGATAATATTTTAAATCTTTGATAAAGCTGCTTATCACAGTAATGATAAGAGATTTAAATAATCGGTTGGAGTAATTTTATTGAATTTTTGGAATGGAGAATAATCTATTGCCGTAGGTCTCATGGCAAGACCTAGACCCAGGAGGAATTTACTTTTTTGTTTTGATGTTCCCAGAGTTCAATACCATCTGTTGAAATTATAATATGTGCCCGTTTGCACAATGACTTGAGTAAAAATCATCAGAAATTTGCTACAAGTGTAAACCTAAATTATTTAAACGAGTTCGCGAACCAACATTATCAGACAATGGGAATTGGGGTTTATGGGATAAGGAATTGGGTTATCCCATTTTTGACTCCAAAACATAAAATATTAAAATATTTTCTGAACTATTTTGTGGGGTTAAAAAAACAAATTATTTAGTATGTAGTAAATAAAAAAGAAATCAAACGCTTTTAGGGGAAAGCAGTCCAAAACCATTAGTTTTTATTCTTATCTATACTTCTATACTATTATAAAAAAATCTAGTGGTGTCTGTCTGTATGTTTGTTACTAATAGGCACTTAAACTACTGAACTGACTGGGCTTAAATTATACAAAAATATAGCTACCATACCAAGGACCATTATAGGACTATTCACACTTCGATACTGACCGTGGGCTTTGCCCCTTTGGCTTTAAAAGTTCTGACGTGAGGATTTTAAAAGTTAATATTGATTGGTCTCCATGGCTGCCATGAGAACACATACAATGTTTGCAATTTGCTATGCCACCCAAATAAATGGTTGAAAGGAACCAAATTTAGTGCAAAATATCTAAAGAAACTTGAAAATCACCCTAATCACCTGGCTCTACACCTCTTGGACAACAGTACATACAGGCTGAAAAGGATTCATGTTTTGGGCCTAAGCTCACGTTTTGTTTGAACAATTTAATTTTTCCTAGTTTATTTACTTATTTATTTTTTCATTAAAATATTTTTAAGTTAGCTCTGTCAATGGACAGAGATTAATTAACGTTTTATTAATAGTTGTTATTGTATTTGCTGAATGTTCTAAAAATGAACAGATTGTAAATAAAATTGTGATACAAAATAACCCAAATAAACAAGCTGAACTGTCAAACCACATTAATTCACAATTCCACAGCTGGTTTTTAAATAGGCATAATAATATTCTCTTCAATCATGTGACATGTTTATTTATTCTTATATTTGATGGTTCATTGATTATTGATTTTATGAAATAAGTGAGATTGTATATCTGTTGCTGTATCCATCCCTAATAAATTATTGAGCGAAGCTCTTATACGTCGACTTTTATGCATTTCGTAATACGCAAACTCCTCCTAGACGGGTGAATCAATCGTTTTCAAATTTTGCATGGTGATACAGACCATACCGGTGAGTGCCAACATCTATATGGCGTTCAAAAAGTCTCTCGGGAATCCGCCCCACTGGGTCTCAAAGTTTCAATGTAATCCTTATGGAAGCAGTATTTGACACATAAACAAAAACATATGATCAGCTGTTGACTTTTGAATGCAGTAGATAAATAAATAGCTGATAGCATTATTCCACAGATATTAGAACATAAACGGTGGTGGATCATAAATATAATCGAATGACGACACTAGCTTGAGGTCCGTGATGTAGGAAGTGGTAAAGGAAGTAGTAAAGGTGAGCAGTCTGGAGTGTGGAAACTGTTTAAGACGATTAGATTTAGGTAGGTATCTGCATTCCTAAAATTCTATAAAAAGGGAGGAAAACGGGTCCGCGACGTAGGAAGTGGTGAAGGAAGTAGTCAAGGTGAGCTGTCCGGAGTGTGGAAACTGTTTATGACGATTAGATTTAGGTATCTGCATTCCTAAAATTCTATGGGAAGGGAGGAACACGGGTCTGTGACGTAGGAAGTGGTGAAGGAAGTAGTCAAGGCGAGCTGGTCGTAGTGTGGGAACTGTTTATGACAATTAGATTAAGGTATCTGCAATCCTAAAATGCTATGGGAAGGGAGGGAAACAGGTCCGCGACGTAGGAAGTGGTGAAGGAAGTAGTAAAGGCGAGCTGTCCGGAGTGTGGAAACTGTTTATGACTATTAGATTAAGGTATCTGCATTCCTAAAATTCTATGGGAAGGGAGGAAAACGGGTCCGCGACGTAGGAAGTGGTGAAGGAAGTAGTCAAGGCGAGCTGTCCGTAGTGTGGGAATTGTTTATGACCATTAGATTAAGGTATTCGGTATTTGCAATCCTAAAATTCTATGGGAAGGGAGGAAAACAGGTCCGCGACTTAGGAAGTGGTGAAGGAAATAGTCAAGGCGAGCTGTCCGGAGTGTGGAAACTGTTTATGACTATTAGATTAAGGTATCTACAATCCTAAAATTCTATGGAAAGGGAGGAAAACATGTCCGCCATGTACGAAGTGGCGAAGTAAGTAGTAAAGGCGATATGTTCGGGGTATAAGATCTGTTTATGACCATTAGATTTAGGTATTTGCAATCCTAAAATGCTATGGGAAGGGAAGTAAACAGGTCCGTGTTGTAGGAAGTGATGAAGGAAGCAGTAAAGGCGAGTTTTTTTGGAGTGTGGGAACTGTTTATAACGATCAGATTAAGGTATCTGCAATCCTAAAATGCTAAGGAAAGGGAGGGAAACAGGTCCGTGACGTAGGCAGTGGTGAAGGAAGCAGTAAAGGCGAGTTTTTCGGAATGTGGGAACTGTTTATAACGATTAGATTAAGGTATCTGCAATCCTAAAATGCTATGGAAAGGGAGGAAAACAGGTCCGTGACGTAGGCAGTGGTGAAGGAAGTAGTAAAGGTGGCAGTTAGATTAATGTATCTTCAATCCTAAAATGCTATGAGAAGGGAAGGAAACAGGCCCCACGACGTAGGAAGTGGTGAAGGAAGTAGTAAAGGCTGGCAGTGCAAAGTGAGGGAACCGTTTGGGCAGTTAGATAAATGTATCTAATACTTAAATGAAGGAAACATGTCTATGACGTAGGAAATGGTGAAGGAAGTAGTAAGGCTTGCAGTGCAGAGTGTGGGAACTGTCTTTGGCAATTACATTAATGTATCTGCAATCCTAAAATGCTATGGGAAGAGAGGGAAACAGGTCCACGACGTAGGGGGTGGTGAAGGAAGTAGTAAAGGTTGGCAGTGTTGAGTGTGGGAATGGATTAATGTATCTGCACTGCTAAAATGCTATGGGAAGAGACTGGTTAGAATGATTATGAAGCACGAATCGTTACATATTTCGATACGTATTCAATCGTTTACAATAGAAATTTACAACTGAGTTGACAACAGCTGAGTTTTACTACATGAGGCTAAAAATGAATTTTATTCCCTAAAGAGTAAAAATGCTACTTTAGACCCGGAACGCATGCATCAATGACGACTGTTTTACTGAAGTATGACAAAAACAATATAATATGAACCCTTGATGACTCCGCTCAATTTTGTGGATGCATCTGCGAACGCCACCTAGTTAAAAATTTCGCTAATGTAAATAACTGTATTGAAAGATTTTGGTGTAAAAAATAGTGAAATTATAAAGTTAACATTTACGTACTTGAATCATTTAAACATTTTTCAACAATTAAAATATGTTTAGAGTAGGACACACACACCTTAAAAATTGAAACTTTTTTCTCGAGAAGATAATTAATAGTAGGTACAGTATACAGGGTGTCCGGTCATAAGTGTTAAATAAAATTTTGCATTAAACTACATGGTAATGGTGACAGAATGTCGCAAATTTGAGGTTCCCAACTTCAACAGTTAGAGAATAACAAATAAATTAAGATTTTTCAAAAATTATTGTAGTTGTTATGAAAAAGGTTATTTTACTCTGTTAAAAATGCACTTACTGTCAGTTTCAATGTCATTTTCAGAATCCTCACAAAATTTTAAATAAATATAACACATAATCGTTGGGGTACGTAAAAATATTCTATTTAAAATTCTTCGTTAAACAAATTATTTTTATATCGACGAAAATGTAAATAACATTCAGCAGTTTATTTCTCGGTTGTTGAGTTCCGGAGAGGTTATCAAATATGACTAAAAACTTCCTTATTTAAAGGGCTTTACAATGATGTATAACAACATTTACCTACTGTCAAATCCATGGTGAATTTTACGCACTATTGTGAAAAATCACGGTCAAGCCAAAACAGATATTGTAAAAAATAATAAAATTTTACTTACTATTTTATGAGTTGACCACTGATGATGAGGGTATGTATAATTTATGATTGACCAGACTACACTTCCATCAAACTAAAGAGTTTTTTTTAAGACTTTGGAAAATTTGTAATTAAAAAACACAACACATTAGTAAAAAACATAATACACACTACAATTTAAATATGAAATGATAGTTAACCCATTAAACAAATCAATGACACACTTTGTCCGAAGCACAAATCACAGTTTGGGTGTAAAGTGCCCACCGTTTTCCCGCAAGCAGGCCCTAGCTCTTTTGCGGATTGCGCCAACTGTGACCTCATACGTCAATTTTTCCCTTACTTTCCCAGCAGCCTCAAAGATTCTCTCCCGTAACTCAACTTCAGAGTTTACAACAGTTGAGTAAACTAGACTTTTCATGTAATCCCAAACAAAAAAATCTAACGGGCTCAAGTCTGGAGATCGAGGAGGCCATGTCACACTTCCTCCACGTCCAATCCATGTCGGGTAGTTTTGGGATAGCCACAACCGAACGCTTTCAGTAAAATGTGGTGGAGCACCATCCTGCTGAAATATGATTTCAGCTCTTTGTTGAGGATCAATTTCATCCAACAACTGAGGTAGAGAGTGCTGAAGAAAATCTAGATATAAATCACCGTTCAGATTTCCTTCGAAGATATGAGGACCAATTAACCGATCTCCAATCACACCTGCCCACACGTTGATCCCAAACCTTTTTTGAAAAGAAGCTTCTCTGGAGGCTTTTGGATTTTCATTATTCCAAAGATGCATATTGTGAATATTTATCACACCTTCTCTGGTAAAACGGGATTCGTCAGTCCATAGTATTTTTTTAAGGAAGTGATATTCAACAATATCACGTTGAAAAAGCCAGCAGCAGAACTCCTTTCTGGATTCGAAGTCACGAGGCTCCAATCCTTGGACCTTTGTAAAATGATACGGATGGAAGTTATTGTCCTTCAACACTTTATGTACTTTCCACCGGGACATACTAGTTTCAAGGGCAAGCTGCCTAACACTAGTAGTAGGATTATCCATAACTCTCTGAATTACACCCTCTTCAGCTGCAACATCATGCACAGGTCCTACTTCTTTCTTCTTCTTCTCAACCGATCCTGTTTCCAGCAAACGTTGATGCACTCTAGTAAACACCTGAGTACTGGGGGTGGTGCGATCAGGATACCGATTCTGGTACTCACTCTGAGCAGCCGACGCATTGCCGTTACACAAACCATAAATAAAATGCATTTCAACATACTCCCGAATCGAAAAAGACATAGTTGACCGATCACTGTCCACATGTGACTGATAGATCGTTTTAAAATATGACTACTGGTTCGCTTTGTTTTCTTATCGCTTGGATAAAGTATTGTTATCAGTAAAATACCTGAATCTATTGACTAAATCCATTCAACAAAATAGAAATTCCGGGAGATAATTTAAATCTTATATGAAAATTATACGATAACCGTAACTTTATCACAAACACATTTTACTACTATGTTTCTTTTCTTAGCTGGGTAGTTAGAAACAAAGCATTGCATGCGAGAAAGAAATACAAATTATTTGTTGCCTGCACTTAAATGTATTATCCTTCACAATAGATTTTCTTTGCCCTACCATGTTTTTTCACAATAATGATCGAATTACATTAGGAAATTTGAAATTCGGTAAAAACTATTATACACCATTGTAAAGCCCTTTAAATAAGGAAGTTTTTAGTCATATTTTATAACCTCACCAGAACTCAACAACCGAGAAATAAACTGCTGAATGTTATTTACATTTTCGTCGATATAAAAATAATTTGTTTAACGAAGAATTTTAAATAGAATATTTTTACGTACCCCAACGATTATGTGTTATATTTATTTAAAATTTTGTGAGGATTCTGAAAATGTCATTGAAGTTGACGGTAAGTGCATTTTTAACAGAGTAAAATAACCTTTTTCATAACAACTACAATAATTTTTGAAAAATCTTAATTTATTTGTTATTCTCTAACTGTTGAAGTTGGGAACCTCAAATTTGCAACATTCTGTCACCATTACCATGTAGTTTAATGCAAAATTTTATTTAACACTTATCACCGGACACCCTGTATGTTTGCCATTTTTAAAGAAATGTTGTTCACACCATTTGCCTTTTCAAAAAAGCTAAATATTTTATTGGATCAAAATGGGTATTGTGACTGGACTAACGTAGATTTAAAAATACAGGTAGCCTACTGTACAAGTATCAATTTACCTATTCCCTAACTAACTTTAACCAAGATTTGCAATCGCTTTGGCTTGGACTTGGATTTGTGAGAAGAATAGGTAATGTAGATTCAGAACCAAAGGTTTAGTCGTGAGATTACCTAGTTAACAATTACGTCGGTACTTAGCAATTTGTCGTTTCATTGCATAGCATGAGAGATTAGTGTACCTGAGTACAAGGTAGATATTTATCACAATGTTTGAGAGTAGCCCACGAACATTTCCACTTTTTAAGAGTAATAAATGGCCTTCAGGTAAATAAAACTTTAAAATGTTCACATACGGTAACGGTGCAGTGAAATGGACTAGCATGGCTGATTTGAGAACCGCTCTGACTACCACTCATTGATTCATTAATAATAATGAATTTTTTTAGAAAAAAAATCAACTTACATGTTTTAGAAAATATAAACATGCATACACTTTAGAAAGATAAATATGAGTCGAAAACACAGACTTTTACAAAAATTAATCCGTATGACGTACTGCAAAAATTTGATTTATTAAAATATTTTTTACACTTGAGTTTATAATACAAATAAGCTACATAATTATAATCGTTTTATAATCATTACAAAATAGCCTACTTTTAAATGGTAGGTAATTTATTCCTAGTTATGGATATAAAATTTACTTACTTAAATGCTACAATACAGACTTTAAAATCTATCTCTACATATATTACAATGAGGGCTCAGAATATTACTAGCTACAAAATATATTTATAGACACAATATAACATAAATTGCTCAATTCAAGTTTAACATTATTGATATCACTGATTTAACGGTTTCAACTTGTAAAATACATTTCCAACATTGACCAAACAAACCACAAAATTACTACTGAACTGCATTAATGCCCATCCTATAACGGCAAAATAATACCCAACATTTATTTATTTTCCCCATTTAATATCACATTAGAACTATCAAAGCTAGCGCAGGTGGCCGCTTGGTGCGACGCGCAACGGCGTATGGGGCAAAAATATACTGTGACACACTATCGTACATTGAACCAATCTTTTCTTTGATCTTTCGCCAAAAAACGGCCTCCAGAGAGCTCGTCTCCCTGCTCGGCCTGATGTTTGGTTCGCCGTCTGGTTCGGTGTACGGACCCCTGACACACTATCGAACATGCCCCCTTCGACCTCCCTTTCCCTGCTCGGATCGGGGAAAAGTCGATAGTGTGTCACTGTCTTAAAACCACCCTCAATCAGTGACGTAGCCAGGGGGGGGGTCCTGGGGGTCCGGACCCCCCCCTTCTGGTCTTAAATATATTATTTTTTGTTAAATTAAATGTAGAATTATATAATCGTACTGTATTGACCTTGGGGTTGATTATTTTCAATGCCAAGAGAGCTAAAAAAATACCGTTTTAGGGTCTATATTTTTAAAAATTTCCCGGATCCCCCCCCCTTTACCCGGACTCCCCGGTCGGTCGACCCCCCCTATTTTGAAATCCTGGCTACGTTACTGCCTCAATGACAGGCACAGGCACATACATGTAAGTAAAAAGCTAGCTACAGCTGGTCCTTAAGGAAATACAAAGTTTCTCTACCTTTCTATCCAAAGTCAATATCAAAATCATGGTTTCCCGACTCAATCTTCTATCCTTATTGCGTTTATCCACCACCTCCTCCACACCTTTATCATATTTCCCCAAACTATCTTCTTTAGTCCTCAAAATACATTGTCTAGTCTATTTTACAGTATGTATCCCTTAAATCGTCTACTGTTATAGTAGCAGATGTATGGTTTTCAATCTTCAAAGGCATTCCTCGCCAATTTACAACTCCAGTACTGTCAACTAAGAAATCCTTCATTACAAAATCAAAAAACTCCTCTTCCTTGGGTGGCAGTGGATCTTGCAAGGGGAATCCATCCACATAAATCCTCTCACCAGGGACAGAATTAGGCCAGGGTTGTAAAAGCTCCAATTGCTCGCCAATCTGGAAAAGGTTAAGACACGTTACTTACTAATAAAATCTAATTTTGGCTGAGGAGTATTGTGGAACATGTTACTGAAGTTAACTATATTGAGTATTGACGAAGAAATTATAATATATAAAAATCTATGAACTTTTACCTTTGGAGCTCCAAAGTCAGATATATTAGCAAGTATGACTCAACAAAACTGGCTGAAAGTTGTATTTGACATCATTCTGCTACAACCTGGAAGTCAAGTTTAGAACTACTAAGCTAGGGATTTGGGTGAAACAGTGTTTATAGTGCAGCAAACTGTCAGGTTTGGCCAATGGATAGGACACAGTACTAAGACACGTCGCACACTGGGTCTGATCATCTAGGCTCAGGTGGTCTAAGTAATGTCGCACACTGGGTCTGATCAGCTAAGCTCAGGTGGTCTAAGGCAAGTCACACACTGGGTCTGATCAGCTAAGCTCAGGTGGTCTAAGGCAAGTCGCACACTGGGTCTGATCAGCTAAGCTCAGGTGGTCTAAGGCAAGTCACACACTGGGTCTGATCAGCTAAGCTCAGGTGGTCTAAGGCAAGTCGCACACTGGGTCTGATCAGCTAAGCTCAGGTGGTCTAAGGCAAGTCGCACACTGGGTCTGATCAGCTAACCTCAGGTGGTCTAAGGCAAGTCGCACACTGGGTCTGATCAGCTAAGCTCAGGTGGTATAAGGTAAGTCGCACACTGGGGCTGATCATCTAGGCTCAGGTGGTCTAAGGCACGTCACACACTGGGTCTGATAAGCTACGCTCAGGTGGTCTAAGGCACGTCGCACACTGGGTCTGATCATCTAGGCTCAGGTGGTCTAAGGCACGTCGCACACTGGGTCTGATCAGCTAGGCTCAGGTGGTCTAAGGCACGTCGCACACTGGGTCTGATCATCTAGGCTCAGGTGGTCTAAGTAATGTCGCACACTGGGTCTGATCAGCTAGGCTCAGGTGGTCTAAGGCACGTCGCACACTGGGTCTGATCAGCTAGGCTCAGGTGGTCTAAGGCACGTCGCACACTGGGTCTGATCAGCTAGGCTCAGGTGGTCTAAGGCACGTCGCACACTGGGTCTGATCATCTAGGCTCAGGTGGTCTAAGTAATGTCGCACACTGGGTCTGATCAGCTAAGCTCAGGTGGTCTAAGGCAATTCGCACACTGGGTCTGATCAGCTAGGCTCAGGTGGTCTAAGGCACGTCGCACACTGGGTCTGATCAGCTAGGCTCAGGTGGTCTAAGGCACGTCGCACACTGGGTCTGATCAGCTAAGCTCAGGTGGTCTAAGGCAAGTTTATGCAGCTGTTACATACAGCTATCTGTACTCTGTGCATGCACGGAAGTTACTCTGTTCTTCCGTCACTTCTGTCCAAAATCGCTCGCTAACCGAAACGAAAAGTGACTAAGACGGACGGAGCGGACTGAACTGAACTGACGGAACGGATCCAGAGTGCGGCTCTACATTTGGTTTTTGAAATTTGCTGAAGCGTCCCAACTGAGCGGACTAAGTATGTGACGTGCCTAATAGTGAGGAGATAAACTGATTGCCCAATTAACATGGGATGGGATGCCACAAATCAGCCATTGTGATCCTGTTCATTCATTCACTGTGTGTGTATTCATTGAACACATTTGTTTTGAAATAACTTAAATTTTTGTTTTTATTAGATAAAAAATTAAATTAAAATATTATAAAATATGCATAGTTTAATCTTTGGATAGTTCATAGAGTTCAATGAGAAAACAAAACTTCAATCATAGAATTCTTATTGGATTGGAAGATCACTAAACTATGTTCTCTAAGAAAAAATTACCGCAGCTAGTCCCTATAAAATGTGTTTATACTTAATACTTATGTCAAGTTAATTATAATTACAGAAAACTCTGTGAATAGATGAAGAGTGTTCTAAAGTTTAAGAACAAGCCCATCGAGATAAATTGAAATATAAAATACCTCTTCTCCTTTTTCATCGTATTTGATTTTGGTTGCAAGCAGTAACATTCCAGTTTTGGATTTAATTTCTCTGTCGTCCAGCGGAATAACATTGCATAATATCACTACAAGTTTATTTAAAAGATCTGTCATCTTGTAACTTTCTTTCAGAGAGGTCGCCTGCAAAAAAAAAATTAAAACAAATACAAGCAGGCAATAATAATTCAACAACAATAAAGTGCAGTAGAGTACAAATAATTAAACTAACTCTATCTAACAAGCCAGCAGTCTTAACTAGTGAGATCAGGAGTGATATCTGATTTTGTTAGTTTTGGTGCCAAAAAGGACATTTATTAGGATGATAGCTAATAAATAAATCTATCTGAGTCTCCATGAATCATTTGTGCATTTGTCTTCTTTGGCTGAATTTATTTATATAACTCTTTATAACTTACAGTTGGGACCACGTAAGATGGCAGTTGGTGCCAGCCAATCACAAGACAAGGCTAGTGCGATGTTGCCACATCGCCCGTTTACAACACTAATTAAAATATACTAAGCAATATTTTCAAATCAGCTGGTATTATTAGATTTGGCAACACCGCATGGTTCTCATTGGTTCATTCAAAACCATATGGTAAATAGGCTACTCCCTCAACTGCAAACTTATGTGGTCCCGACAATAATTTTATTCATATAAATAGTCTACAGCTCAAGATTATTTGTAGTTAGGATATGTACTGCAAACATAAATTACTCACAATCAATCTGGACTCATCATAACTACCGATATCAACTTCTGAGATGTACAACATATCATCAGAATCATGTTGAACGACTTGTGAAATTCTTCCGACCCGTAAATCCATCTGGTTCGGGTTTTCCACATCACCGTCCTGCCATTTCAACCCCTCCTGCATCTTACGGAGTTCTGTTCGAGTTATTCCTGCAAACTTGATATCCTTCATCTCATCGGTCGGGGGGAGATCAGGAACACCTTCTTTATCGTCATTACCTTCACCATCTTCATCTTCTTCTTCACCATCATCATCTTCTTCTTCACCATCTTCATCTTCTTCTTCTTCTTCGCCATCTTCATCTTCTTCTTCGCCATCTTCATCATTATTTTCTCCATACTCATCTTCAACATCTTCTCCATACTCATCTTCTTCATCATCCCAGTCAGTGTCTTTTGGTTTACGAAACTTTTTTCCTCTTTTCCGTGGAGGAGCATAAGAAGATGATGAAATATCTGGATCACTTTCGATTATGTCTAAGTCTGGACCTATTTGAAAATTAAAATCTTTTGAATGCCACGATGTAAATTATTGTTGATACAAAAGGATTCAATGTGTCTCATGAGTCATGAAGTTTAATGATTTTCCGTTTATTTTAAAGATTTAATACCATATGTTGATGCTAATATTTTCCAATAACTCTTTATGTAGTGCGAAGTTATGGTGACCTGAATTAGAGTAAAAATAACTTGATTTTACTCAACAAAGATTAAAAAAAATTTAAATAGCACTTAACCTTTTAGCGAATTTCCCTATAGGGAAGTGGCTATTACCGTAGGTCTCATGGTAAGACCTAAGCCCGGGACCGATTTATTTTTTCATTTTGATGTCCCCATAGGCCAAAAACACCATTTGCTCAAATTTTTATATATCTATATATAGAGATATATATATATACAGAGGGGTGCAAAAGTAGGTATACAGTATTGAAACATTATAGAAAAATATATTCACTCATATAAAAAGAAATTTATTTGAAGAGTATTAAGACACCTAAATTAACTCTTAAAAATTTTGTAATTGATAAAAAACACTCACTTTCTTGTGTGTTGTGTGTTGTTATGTGTTGTGTGTGTTGTGTGCCTGTTTGTACTGTATACCTACTTTTGCACCCCTCTGTATATATGTGTATATATATATATGTGTCCATCCGCACGATAACTTGAGTAATTTTTGTCCGATTTTGATAAAATTTGGTTTGAAGGTGTAAGGCAGGATAAACTTGAATGAGTTCGCGAACCAGCATGATCGCACTATGGGGACGGGGGTTTATGGGGGGTTTTATGGGGTAAAAATAGGTTTTTCCCATTTTTGACCCTAAAAACACAAAATTTCACAATTTCTTTTTAAACCATTTTGTAGAGCTTAAAAAAACAAATAATTTAGTATATTGAAGCGTTACTATGCGCCTAATTGTTACGGAGAAAATTCAAAAAAATTGTAATTTTAAAATTCCCATGTTATTCTTATGGAGAATAAGTCAATTGTTTTAGTTTGCTTGTTTATGAACATATTTTGATCGATTTTGGAAAATACTTTTATTTCTAACTAAACTATTATCATTTTATAAAAAAAATCTTTTTTACCCTCCCTGTTGCAGCAAACCTAAGTACTCGTTAAACTAATTCTATTTAAATAGGAAATAAATGTGTTATTTTTGTGGAGGCATTTTAGTGTAAATCCAATCAGGTTAATGGAAATTCGCTTAGTCTGCAGGTTTGCTGCGGCGGGGGTATTTAATTTTCATTTTACAAAATAATATTATTTCAATTAAAGTCTTTTAAACACTTTTCAGAAGATGATGTTAACATATTCCATGCCTTACTAATATAACCTTTACATGGCGTTTTTGAACAAATATCAGGTGCTTAAATTTTTTAATTTGCTTCACATCAAACTTTCACTTGAAAATTATACATAAAATGAAACAAGAACTCAAAAACATACTCCCTTAGTAGATTTCCCATCCTTATGGAACAGCTGAAGCCAATTTTACTATTCTGTTCGGTGTACTGTAGAGTCGTATTTTGTTAATACGAACAATATTATAGTTTGCGAAACTAACCCTAAAATAATAGAAACAAATAGTAAACAAAACACGACTCTACAGTATACCAGACAGAACTAACAATAAAATTTTCTTCAGCTGTTCCATAAGGATGGGAAATCTACTAAGGGAGTATTTTTTATCCACGCCATAAGCCTACAAATGCTTAATTGGAGCACTCTTCTTTTAAGGCACAAATCAAGCCAATAAATGAGTTATTCCAAATCGTTGGCGTCCTCTGAGCAATTCTTTTGAAACTACAACAATCAATATTATTTTAAAAATTTGACTGAATCAACTGATCTTCCTAATTGATTTAGTTATAAAAAAAATCTCTTACTAGAAAGCACCATTGTGGTGAGTGTTTGTTGAAACTTCAAGTTAATACGTTTTTACATTAGGCTATTTATAAATGAAAAATTACAAAAAAATAAACTAAAGGAACAACACTACTTCACACTGAAAGACACTTACATTGTGAAAGTTATCTTTTATTTATACATTAACTTCTTATCATTTGATAAACACAATGAATGAGTTTCTATTTCTACAAAAGTTCAATTCTGGTTTGAAATAATTCATTGTAATCTTGTTACGAGTACAGTTCAGAGGGATTAAGGTTTAATTGCATTACGTTTTGAATTGACTATTAACTTATGCATGATGGATCACAAATCTTGAACTAACATAATCAATCCACAAATCGAGCCCCTTTTACATTGCTCAGCAACGGCATGGTGAAAGCCCAAGTTTAGAAATATAAGTTAATGAACAAGCTAAGCCTCCATGTCAGTTCTCTTATTAGAAATTTTGAGTCTAGGGTAAAACTTGATGAGCAAAGTAAAATACATTTATTTAAAAAATGATCTAGTCATTTGTTACACATTGGAGGCAACTACGTGACCTGGAAATGGAGTACAGGAATCTGGTCTCTAGAGAATGTTTGCATTTAATGCTCAGACATCACAGTTTGCTCCAAGAGAAGCAAACATTGTTTCTTCTATATAACAATCTGAATTATGTTCTGTTGATTCAATGGCTGCATCGTAGCAAAGATGTAAGCTAATTGGTGATATCCAAACAAGATTGTACTTTAACTGCAAACTAGCTGACCAGGGAAGCATTGGTAGCATAGTAGCTGATCTTTGTACAGGCTTAATTTTGAAACAATATTTATTAAATGTGTTTAGGTTTTAGTGGACATGTTTATCCACAAGCTATCATGGTTTAGGTGGTATTGGTCGGATGCAAAATATAAAGTGTAAAGTAGGAAAAACTAAAAATGATCATATAAGTAAAACACAATCTACCATCCCAGAGCTATATTCAAGGCGTTATGTTGAGGCCGTGATCCAATTATGGCATACTAAATAAATAACAAATTCTCTAAGAAAAACAGTATGACAGCACCCATTGACTAGTTGCTCCACCTACAAGACTGATTATCTATGTGTTTCTATTTTAACTTTTAATAATTACACGTAACTACCCAGTACCACTGTCTACAGTAGAACGTCAATTAATGGGATAAATTGCGACCGTACCACATTCGGGTACCTAACCAAAAATTCAGATGATTGGATTTTTCCTAGAATGTGGGGTATTATATTGCGATCGCAGAACATTTCTGCAAAGCTCTCCTGATCAAACAATTCAAATGTTTGTTGCGATTGCGAAGGACGATGATATGTTTGTGACCGCGGGGGACAATGATGTCTACAAGACCAGAGGGAAATACTTAAGATCTTGCTGTGATCACGGAAGACGATAATGATGATTCTGTGATCGTGGAAGACGATGATGTTGTCCACCACTGGAGATGTTCAGGATTTAACTGGATTCTGCCTTCTCTAATAACAATAACTATTTTATTACTGTTGATTTGGGTTCTTAGAATCCTTACTGTGACCAATTTGAATGATCGGCGATTCGGGTAGTTGGAATTTGGTTAATCTGAATTCTAATAAATTTTGACCTTTCAAAGAATTCTTTTATAACGTTTTATGGTATAGATTCTTTAACACATTGACATATTCAAGTACAAACTTTGAAGTTTTACAAATTATTATTTAGTAAATGTTTAAATTGTGCCAGTACGACAGCTAAAAAGATGATTGTCCTTAAGATTTCAAACACAAATCACTAACTTGGAGTAAATCCAAGGACGATTTTTTATGTGTGTGTATGTTGTGTAATTTTGTCTCTGTATACATTCTGACGAGTCCTGGATTAACAAATTAAGGTGAGTTGAAGCCCACAAGTTGATCAATATAATAAACCTCACCTAAAAACATGTCTTTCAAAAATAGGACAAATCACTGAATCAAGACAGGAATTTACCATCTAAAACCAACCTAAATGACAACAGAAATAAATTAGAAAAGACACATCATTTCAGGAAGAATAATTAAGGTAAAAAAATACAATGCGATTCACTAAAACAACTTATAAACAAAATTTATTTTAAATAGAATTATGTTCACTTCCTTGTACATTACGATGCATAGATCATATTTTTTTTTAAATAACAAGACTTACAGATAAAATCTACTTCTAGGGGCTGGCTGAAAATTAAAGTCATCTGTACATCAGAATAAAACAATCACAGCCAGCAGTTGTCTTAGTATTAAAAATTCTTCATTTATTTTTTTACATGGTCCAGGTTAATGCTCTTTGTTGTTCAACCTGCAACAAAATTTACAATAATTGTAGGGTTAAATACAACAGTATTAATAACTTGGTTCTAAATCTTCTTAAAATAAAAAAGCTTTTTTACGTGGAATTAGTTCATTACAGGAAACATAAATAGGGATTTAAGTGCATACTACCAGTTTTACCAATGACAATATACCAAAACTATTCTTTAAATTACACTTGAAAGGAAAGCAATGACGCTGATTTGGAATTTTTGTGAAAAGGGATGGAATTCAACAAACTTACCTGAGAAAACAGTCCAGGGCTAAAAGATACACAATTAAAGATCACATCTTCAGAGAGCAGCTAGGAGATAAATACAATCTCCTAGCTGAAGAAGTCCTTCATTGGAGACATATTAGTGTTACGTTCTGTGACCTTTTCTTGTGTATCTATTGTGTACCTCCTAGACTACAATTTTCTCTGTTTTTTTTTTTTTTACACTAGCATCGCTCCTGCAACGTGGTCGTCAAATGGGTAGATAAACAATAATAGGCCTAATTGAACAAATCTTCTACTTTAAAATAGGCCGCTTCACATAAATATTCTTTTAACATCTTCTTATATTTATTGAAATTTTGCTCTTGGATAATGTTCCTTGGCAGTGAGTTGTAGATCTTGACACTACTAAAATATGGGCTCTTGCTGGCCAAAGTTGAGTTAACTTGGGGTACATGTACTTGATTAGCTCTTCTCGTGTTGTACTGATGGACCAGATTGTTTGTGAAAAAGATGTCCGGATTATTTCTCACCAAGATGGCAGATTCTAAAATAAATAGTGATGGGAGGGTTAAAATTCCAAGGTCCTTGAATAGGGGCCTACTGTGAGCAAGACGTTGAGCACCACACATTCTCCTAATAATTCGTTTCTGGAGGAGAAAGATCCTATTGGCCATGGTACTACCTCCCCAAAATACTATTCCATAAGATATTATACTGTGAAAACATCCATAATAAACTTTTAACAAAATGTCAGTCTGGACCAATTTCTGGAGCCTAGTAATTAAATTGATTACAGATCTTAATCTTGAAGCTATTGAATTAATATGTACATCCCACTTTAGATTTTCAGTTATGTGCAGGCCAAGATATTTTACTTTTTCACGGGAAGTGAGTGCAACCCCATCTAGCACTAGTTGAGGAGCTGGTTCAGGTTTTTTCCTATTGTAAAATTCTATAAGGTTTGTCTTATCAGAGTTCAAGATCAAGCAGTTTTCGTTACACCAATTTTGCATTTCAATTAGACTAGATTGAGTATCTTCAATAAGACTGACACGATCAGAGTTACAGATTAGGTGACATACATCGTCAGCAAAAAGCCACACATTCCCAGATGTTATGGAGCCAGGTAGGTCATTAACATAGAGCAAGAACAATAGAGGCCCTAGGTTTGATCCCTGTGGGACACCCACATTCATGGCAGGGGATGGAGCCGACTTATATGTGCGTAGAGTATTGTCATTCCCCAAATGCTTGAGTGATACGACCAGGTGGCGGTCTCTTAAATAAGAGAATATCCAGTGCAGAGGTCTTCCTGCAATTCCCAGGGAAAGTAGTTTACGAAGCAGGACACTATGGTTTAGTAGGTCAAAGGCCTTGGTCATGTCGTAAAACAGGCATAAAAGGCTCTCAGAAAGATCCAGGTGGTTATAGATGTTCCTCAGGAGGGCAAAGACAGCATCAGATGTAGACATATGTTTTCGGAACCCAAACTGACTCTCAGTCAATATATTATTTAATTCTATAAACCTAAGGAATCTCTTCAAAAAAATGATTTCAAATACTTTTCCTATACATGGTTGCACAGAAATCGGGCGATAATTACTAACGGCAAGTGGATCAGCCTTTTTATACACAGGTACTACTTTAGATGTTTTTAACTTTGTAGGAAAACAGCCAGTTTCAAAGGATTTATTTATTAAATTTGCGAGGGCTTCAATAACATTTTCATTACAAAGCTTGAGGAGGCTGCATGGTATCTCATCAACACCTGAACTTTTCTTGGATCCCAGTGAATTTACCACCTCCCTCACCTCAGCAACAGTAGCATGTGTGAGAAAAAAGCGTCCCTCACCTAAGTCAACAGGGAGCTCAGGAGCACAATTGTCATTTGCCAACCTAGAAATTTCCTCATAAAAGAACTCACAAAAGTGATTTACAATTGTTTGGGGGTTTGTCACAACAACATTATCAATTTTCAAGCTTAAGTTAGTATGTGTTTCATAATCTTCATCACAAAGTGCACGGACCACAGCCCATGACTCCTTACTAGTATTTTTTGAGTTTAGAATTCTATTACTAAAATAAGACTTTTTTGTCATAGTAACAAGAGACGAATGCTGCCGTTTGGCCCTTCTGTAGGCCCTTTTAACATCTTCTGAACAACCCTGCGACCTTGTGTCCCAATACATTTGCAAAAGAGTCTCATGCGAGAGTACAACATCATTACCAATCCAAGAAGAGCTAGGTTCATTTCTATTAGGTTCTTAGGTTTCATTTCATTTCTTCATGTTAATATGGTTAAGCTCCCTTTTTAAAACAACACATAAATAATATTCTTTGGAATATGTATGGTTTTGTTTATGTTATTCTAATTAGTTAAGAGAAACAATGAGTTGATCAAAAATCTATTTCTATTGTCTGAATACATATAGGTATTGCTATGTTGAGATTTCACCTTTTCAAGCCCTTCGACACATAAGATGTGTTGGTTGTCTTTATATTTATTATATGGTTTTTACACATATTAACTAAACACTATTTAATTACCATGTTAACCAATTCAGATTATTGAAAACTTCGTAGAATGTGTATTTAACATATAGTGACTAGCTGAAAAAATTCTTACAAATAAATTGAGATCGGCTTTTTGAGTCCCTAGTAAAAGTTGTGATTTTAAATGTAACTTTTCAGTGAACGCTAGAAACATAGATAAAACATACTACAACAACATACCTTGAGAATTCTACTAAGTATCTTGTGAACTCTCTGACGGCGAGTCAAACTTGAGTGGCTTTGAGAAGTTGGCAGCGAGACGAGAGCGTGGAGGTCGTGTCGAGTTCCGCCCAGAAGACGCAGGCTTAGACTCTCTCTGACCTTGATTCTCCTTCTACGAAAAACGTTTTGTAAAATATCGCTAAGACGGTAACAAACAGTAGTTTTTGTTGCTAGACTAGGGGTTAGCGTTCTGGATTCAATCCCCAACAGGTTCACAGCATTTGAGCGATTTGGACCACTTTCCCTTAAAAGCCTTTGTGAACCCTTAACTTAACGCCACTAGCATTGGAAAAAAGATAATCAACATATTCAAGGACAATGGAACATCAACATCTTAACATAAATACAATAGAATGATCAAGTTTCTTGCATTTACTGAAATATTTACCTTACTGTTCTTGGGATGTGCCAAACATATTGATTGTTACACAGAAATCAAGCCATTAAAAAAATTGATGAGCAGTATTAAACTTCATGATTAATACATCCACTGAGCTAAGAAAAAAATTAACTGGCAGAAAAATTAATCACCATTAAGGTAGTTAAACCTGGATTAATTACTTATTTCTATAAAATAAGCCAACTGTTTGACAAAGTTACTGTTGATGTACAGTATTTCAATAAAATAAAGAAAATTAGAATTGGGCGTAGTGAGGATAAGAAGACCAAGGAGCAGTGTTTTACTGAAAGGACAACTTTTTGCTAGCCGCAATATCTATTGTGCAACAAAAACAATCACAGTAAAAAAAACTAAGGTAGAAAATAAAATGTACACAAGACAAAATGTAAAAGCACACACTGTGATATTTTATAACCTATATGTTATTTTTAATAAATAAATAGCTTAAGCTGGTCTATATAAATGGGGTGTCACACGAACTACTTCAGTATACAAATGTAAGTGATAAAATACAAAGGCCCATTTAGTGCCGCTGAACTAATTCATGGCATATGTAAATACTTAATAGTAAGTAATAATGAAGAAAATAGTTTAAATCATCAATCAAGGTTTTATTTATTGTAAAAACACAAATTGGAGCAACACTACACTTTACAGTTGATCCACACACTATTAGGCATATACATTTACAGGTACAACATGATATTGTGACTGTACCTTAGCAGGAGGTTGATGCTGTCTGACTTGGCGGGGCTCCTGATTGTTGGCGGGGGGTTGCTGAGGTGGAGGGGCTGGCTGAGGTTGTTGCCGGGTTCTAGACAGTGCTTGCAGTGGGATGAATGGAGGCCTCACTCCAGCCTATATGTTTAGTAACTTTAGAACTATGATGCATTGTAATTTTATTTATACATCTTAAACATTGATAACAGTTCAAAAGCTGGGTTTTCCTAGGCGTGGAAGCGGAGCGCGGAGAGAGGAACGCGGAGAGCAGGAAAGCGATTAACATGGCGTTCTGCTCCGCTTCTAGGAAAACAGAAACATTTAATTACCTAAGACAAGAGGAGTCCGCTCTCCGCGTTCCTCTTTCCACCCTCCTCTTCCGCGTCTAGGAAAACCCAGCTTTAAGGAGGTTTTATCACTAAACCTCAACAATTTAGGACTTTTTCTAAAAAAAAACATTTCTTACCATGGAAATCTCACATAAAATTAAATGTTTTTGAACAATAATTCCTTTAAAATTTCCTGATCTTTTTGACATGTATTTTGATTGACTTTAACAAAACACGAAGAAACATGGTGGGATGGAGTTAGGTAGTAAGAAATCAGAAGAGGGGTGGTTGACAACACCCAAGGAAAGAGGAGTAAAATAACTTGAGAAGAGAATATGTCTTAGGAAATTTGAGTTGACAGTATAGATGTTTGGAGGGTTTTGGAGGATGAGTAGAAGACCGAGAACAAGATGAAGAACCAAGAGGAGGGAATATGGGACAGATGGTAGAGTGTGGAGGAAGAGGAGCTGTGAGGAAAAGGCAGAGTTGGCACCAGAACGGAATAAGATATATGCAAGAAAATATATAAATACTACTCTGCCTACTTTAGTGTTGGACTTTTAAAATAATCCAAACACATTATTTTGTGTATTTATAGCAGCAAGTTAAATGTAATAAAAGTTATAAAGCATTTAAACCCCAATATTCAATTTGAAACACCCGGTAGATTTCAATACAGATAGCACAAGACACTAATTACCTGAGGGAAAGGAGGCAGCGGGCTGTGGTGATTTTGACCTGGGAAGCGATGACTAAACGTAGGAAGTTGGAAAAGTCCATTGGGCTTGGACTGCCATTCTATCACAAACAATCAAAAGTTACTCATAAAACACACTATAAACCCACAACTTGTAAGTTAAATTCTTAAATATGAAAAGCTGAATATAAAGATTGTTAATTAATGAGATTCTGTTATCTTTTAATGTTTCGTTAAACTACACACCCAAGAATGTTGATTGGGTATTGATTGACCAATGAACTTATTCTTTTTTAATCATGAAGCAGAGGTTAACAAAAGTTTTGCTGAGGTTATTTTGAATATGAATCAGACTAATCAAAGTATTAAAAAAACTAACCTGGTTGGAAGGACTTGTTCTGATACCATTTGACTGGAGGCTGTGGTAAAGTAACCGTAGGGGGTTCCTGTGTCCATCCTCCTGCCATCCTGCAATAATACAACTAACTGAAGGGAGAAGTGGTCATTAAAATCTGGCCTTTTAAGGAGAGAAAATTCAGCAATATTCTTTTTAAAGAGGTTGGCGACCTCTTTGGCCTTGTATTTGCCCGTGCACATAGGCCCTGAACTAGTGTGTGGAACATATCCAGTAAAACAAGGAGTGAACCACTACTGAACCAATAAAATTTAGGGGCGAACTACAGGGTCCGAGCCCACAAATAGCCATCATCTTGCTGGCTCTGAATTCTGTTGCACTATCGACTGAACCATAGACTCGTGAATGCCACTTTTGAACACAACTAACAGAGAGAGCGAATAAATCAGCAATTGTGCCACTTATGAAAATAGGATTAAATTTCACTTTGACGTTTTTATATGATAGCTTTTAGCAAGCTTTCAAAACACAGAGCCTTGTATTATGGATTGCTACCTTTAATTTATTGTAGAGTTTTTTTTCACACAAAGCTGTACAATAATTTAATTTTCCATCTACAAAGGCAACGCAATAACATTAAACAAAAGTGACGGTATATTTTGTAAAGCTCAAGTACGCACCTGTTGTTGGGTGGGATATACCGCTTTGGTCCACGGCCGCTGGGGTCCATGGCTAGCATCATCCGGCCAGGCAACATGTTCTGACTGGGTGCATAACTCTCCTCCACCACCAAGCTCTGCAGCGCTATCACAGCTGCGTTCTCAGCCGCCTACACAACATATACAACATAGTCTTAACTTTCAATGTTTATATCGTACATTGTTTGTTTGGAGTTAGGAAGAATAACAATTATTTGGAAGTGTGTCAAGATGTCCAAGGATTTGATAGTTAAAGGAATTTATTTGGTGTACGTCACTGTAGGCTGCTAAATTCTTTAACAAGAGTCATTCTCAAGCAATGCTCTTGTTGTTCAATGTTTTATTAGAAAATTAACATTTTTGCCATTATCACACCCTTTACAAGATCAATGATTATTTTGAATGTGATCAATAGTCTTTCAAGTTGTGTGTTTGGTTTGGTCATCTACAGCTGTGGTTAACTATAGGCAATAGTGGGTATTTTAAGCCAAGTATGAATGGGGATGAGTGTAGGATGAGTGGCGCGATCTTGTACTTCTTGATACTGACTAAGGTCGACACGTTCCTTAGACAGGACTGTTAATTAATAGCCCATACAGCCAATGGCAACTAAGGGACCTACAGTTAATAGTGGAATCCAAACCACATTTTTGCTTTGGTATATACAAATCGGTCTAATTTTCAAGATAGTACTGCGGAAAGTCGTAGTACTCACTCGTGCGGAAGTTAATCCACACCAGGGAGTATCGCATGATCAAATATGACTTTGTTGCCAGGGTAGACTCCGTATAGAGGTTTGGAATAACATTAATTGTTTAATTGTTTTATTCATTGGTTTTGACAATTACTGTGTACCATAGTTATTCTAATATTTACAGTACAATAGGTCACATAGAAGTTTTTATCAAATGACTTGTATATAAATGTTAATTTTTAACAAATAAATCAATTGTCAGGATAGTACTACGGATAGTTGTAGTACTCACTAGTGTGGACATGAATCCACACCAGGGAGTATCACATCCACAGATCATGCCTATAAATATCCACAATTTGTGACTTCCAAGAAGCTCCAAGTGGATTATAGGACGACGCGACGGTCTCAGTACACAAGTAATGTAGTATTTTGTATTTTTAATGTATGATGATGACTATGTTAACTGCAATACTGTTGGTTTGAAAGACTGGATAAACTACAATTTATATTCATTGACTACTCAAGTTGACTATGAACTCATACAACGCCATGGGAAAAACCATTCTTATTGAGTGTTGACTAAATTGGTAAGTGCTCAAGTGAACAAAAAAAAAGTGTCTACTAATATGAAAAGAGCTAAGGATAACTCGAAAGAGCCAGCTGACTTGAGGGTGAGTGTGGTGCCAGAGCATGTAAAGAGTGGGCCGTTCAGAGATGCTGGGATATCAATCCACGAATCACTTTAAAACTAAGGATTTAAAATATAAACATTTATGATTTATGATGAATTACCTGTTCACTGGTGTAAGCGGGCTGACCTTTGAACTCCTTTCCATTACCACAAACCACAGTACATGTTATGGTTCCATCTGCCAAATCTAAATAATGATACTGCGGTAACCTCACGCCTGAAAAATATTGTTAAATACAATAAACATAAATTTCAAATCACTAAACACAGTTGTAATCAAAAGGAAAATCATGAATAAATAACTTTACTACTAAATAACATGAAAACGACATACTTCTCTTTTGGACCAAAAAAAATGGCCAATTGGGTATGACAAACACAGTTGCAAATACTGCTGATTTGTTCACAGTCTCACAAACGAACAGTTGCTACCTGTTCATATGACACTGATGGTACAATTGTATGTAATTTCTGAATTCCTTTATTGTTTAGTAAAGTACTATAGTTTAATAAATAAAAAAATATGAGTTTAAAATATAATTTTAACAGTTAAGTACAGAAAACTTCCAACAATTAATTTTGTGTGGGGTATGAAGTGTGTCTTAACTCACACTTGTATAAGGTCCCTAGGGGAAGAGATATTGTGTGTTTAGTGTCTTCAATATTGTTAAAGATGTAATTTATTCATATTATAATGTCCATAATAGTTATGTTAGAAAAGAACATATGATGTTTCCTTGGCAACAGAGTTTAGTTGTTTGTTATATTTTGATGAAGTAAGATGTATACACAAATCTAAGTTTTTCATTCTATCAGTTTTACTATTATTAACTTAATTTTTGATCCACAAGACGACTTGTTATTTTAGACGATATTTCCAACATGGTAGCAGAACAGAGTGGTTAAATTAATTGAGAAGAAGTTAATAGAATAGTGAATGATGAGTAATGAAAAACAGATTGAAAAATTAAGAGGGACTGAGAATTTCACAACATGGAAAATAGTCATGAAGGTAATCTTAGAATGTGAAGGAGTTTATGGAATTGTTAGTGGAGAATTCGGAAAACCAACAGCAGGTACACCAAATTATGACGAAAAATTGGTAAATTGGTCAAAAAATGATGCAAAAGCCAGAAAATATATTGTTTTATCCCTTGAGACGAATCCTCTACTTAGAGTAAGCAATTGCTCTACAGGAAAAGAGATGTGGGAGAAACTTGTCCACATTTATGATGTCAAGTCAACTGAAAATATTGACATATTGAGAAATAAGTTCCATAACATTTCTTGGGAACCTACCCTTGGAATGAATGGTCATCTGGAAAAGTTTGACGAAATCCAAAACCAATTAACAATATACGGTAAGCCTATTAATGAAGACGATTTGTGTGCTCGACTCCTTCAAACTCTACCAAAGGAATATGATCACATATATGTGACTTGGCATGACTCACCAAGGGAGGTGAAGACATGGGACATTCTACAGAAGAAATGTCTCAACTTTGAATTACGTCTAAAGGACAGAGACGAGATGGATGTAGCAGTAGCCATGGTTTCCAAAATAAAAGTAAGTTCTAAACAGCCAAAATATATGGGAGCCAAAAATGCCAAAAAGGGAGACTTGCAAAAATTAGGAGCGATAAAATGTTTTTCATGTGGCAAAAATGGTCATCTATCAAAAAAACTGTCGAACAGGTGTAATTTGTTTTAAGTGTCACACAAAAGGACATAAATCAAATGAATGTACCCGTGAGATACAAAATGCTGCAATGATGACTCGATCAAATCTAGAGGTAGGCCTAATTGATAAGTCATTTTTCAGTGAATGTGACAACTGGCTTGTTGACAGTGGTGCTTCTCACCATGTGACAAACCGCAGGGACTGGTTCGCCACTTACAAACCATTTGATACTCCTAAAAAGATGGACAGTGCTCGCCAAGGTGTTCATATTCAGGCCTTGGGGTCAGGAAAAATAGACGTTATGGTTTTTGATGGTAAACAGTGGACTTACAGGTATTTCGATGATGTTTGGTACTGTCCTGATGTTGCTTGTAACTTATTCTCTGTGAGGAAAGCAGGTGAAAAAGGCATTCACCAGACTGTGAAAAACAATGGTAAGTCATGGGTGTTTTCTCAAAATGGAACAATCATTGCTTTGGCTATATTTAATACAGCTAATCAATTGTATAATATGGTTGTTAAGGTCATTCCACCAAAAGAATCATGTTTTATTTTGAAGAAAATAAACAATAACGATGATAAACACTACTTTAACATTGAAGAGAGTAGCAATGATATCGAGCATGATCCCCTTGACAGTAGGCAATCAATTCTAAATGATGAGACCAGAAATCAGCTTGTTGACAGTAATCAGGACAATATATTCCATGAAGAAGAACAAGATATTGTGTATCCAGGAACCAATGATACTGATGAGCAAGACATGTTGTGTCCTAGTGATGATAACGCTATTCCAGGTGATATATTACAAGAGGAGACTTATAACCTGAGAAAACGTGATGGAATAAAAATACCTATGAGATATAGAGATGATTCTGTCATGTGTGTCAGTGACAGAGATAAAAATGAGCTTTTAGCTTCTGCAATACTTACAAACGAAGTACCGGAAAATTATGATGAAGCAATTAGATCTGAGCATGTCGTCGATTGGAAATCCGCTATGGATGAAGAAATAAATTCATTAATAAAAAATAAAACTTATGATTTGGTTGATCAACCAAAAGGAAGAAAAGTCATCGATAATCGCTGGGTATTTGCACTGAAAACAAATTCTGAGAACGAGATCATTCGTTACAAGGCGCGTTTGGTCGCAAAAGGATTTACTCAGCGTCCTGGTATTGATTATGGTGACACTTTCAGCCCTGTAGCTCGGTTTAAGACGATGCGAACTATGTTAGGCTATTCAGTTCAGTACAATCTTGCTATCAAACAGTTTGATGTTAAAACAGCATTTTTGAATGGCAATCTTGATGAGACTATTTGGAAGAGTAAGCTTCAACGGTGTGTTTCCCAATCTTCAATGGAAGCAGAAAATGTTGCCGCTAGCGAGACCTGTAAATCCCTTCGTCTTGTGAAAGAGATTGGCGCAATTGAAGAAAAGTCTATTCCTATACTACATGTGGACAATCAAAGTGTGATTAAACTTATGAACAATCCAATGTTCCACGATCGCTCTAAACATATTGAGACGAGATACCATTATGTTCGACAGTTGGTCTCTGGGAAACAGATCACTGTCAGATACATTCCAACAGAAGAACAAACCGCTGATATTTTAACAAAGGGCCTATCATCATTGAAACATGTTAAAATGAAAACTTTCATTGGGATGGTGACCTCTTAACTAAAACTTATTTTTCTAAAATGCATTATGGACATTACGGGGGTGTGTTAAAGATGTAATTTATTCATATTATAATGTCCATAATAGTTATGTTAGAAAAGAACATATGATGTTTCCTTGGCAACAGAGTTTAGTTGTTTGTTATATTTTGATGAAGTAAGATGTATACACAAATCTAAGTTTTTCATTCTATCAGTTTTACTATTATTAACTTAATTTTTGATCCACAAGACGACTTGTTATTTTAGACGATATTTCCAACAAATATATACTTGGCCTATCTGGAATTCTTCCCAGGTAAGCTGGCTACTATCCCCCTTTTTATAAAAATCTCAATACAAGCCTGGAGTCTTTTTATCAACTTGTCTTTACTTCTACCGCAGCTTCCGCGTCTGGCCAAAGTAAGGTAATTTAAAATATTTTCATATGGAGAAGTTTTGGTAATCTGAACCCCAAGAATGTTCTATTGCACACTGCAAGTTTAATTTGAATTTTCGTTACAAATTGACTGAATAAGCCTATAAATCATAGTTATAAAATATTTCAACTCATATCATAAATTACTAAGTGACCCTCCTCCCCGAATTTGACCGTTACAGTACTAACCTCGCGTCTGATGAAGGGACATAAGACTTTTGACGTAGCTCGTAGGCTGACGCTGCTGCTGCGGATGTAAAGGCATTGTTGACTGATGTTGTGCATGTAAAGGCATCGCTGGCTGATGTTGTGCATGTAAAGGCATGGCTGGCTGATGTTGAGGATGTACAGGCATGACAGACTGTTGCTGATGAGAAGACCTGGTAGGTTGTTGGTGTTGGTTTGGTGGCTGTTGCTACAACAAACAGCCAAGTCAGACACTGACACAAGACACAACTTGCACAACTTACACAATTATCTCACTAACATTTTTTTCAATTTTCTGCTACCCACACAATAAGGATAGGTAAAGAAAATTCTTATCAGAAGGCAATGCAAAACGTATCCACTTGTTGTGTTAACCTTTTGCAGGAGACTTTGATTTGATCAGAGATGAGTTACAAAATTAATTCATTAACTGGAATAAATTATGGGAAATAAAATTATAAACAGTGTGTAGATTAGATACATACATGTTCAAAGGAGATTCATGAGGTAAAAATATCAAACACCTATTAGACTAAAAAGTACACAAATAATGAAATAATAGCAGAAAACAAAACACAATAGATGGCACACAGAGAACATGGTGGGGACATCAGTGCTATGTGACTCTTAAATTCCAACTGAATGTAAGGGGTAGTGGGAAAAGATTTTGGAGAGTAAAGTGATGTTCGAGTCAGTAGCCATCTCCTTTAGAAAAACATTATCTTATTACTTAGTGAAGGGTTAAATTTAGATACTTCACAAGATATCTTCAATTTTCTATACAGGCTATTTTAGGAGAGAAAGCTTTAAATGTCCACTGTTTTATTCAATCCCACAACCCTTCTGCGACCATGTTTGGTGATCTGCAGCATTTGTATTTTAGTTATCCTATTAAATTTATCCTGGCTAAATTTTTACTCACAATAACTTGCAGTAGTTGAAAGGGCTAAGAATCGACGATTAAAACTTCTTTGATTACAATTTAAAATCCGTTATATTTAACACTGTAAATTATAAAAAAATGATCAACTTACAGCAGTTGTGGGTATAGAAGATGTATCATCAACTATTCTTAACATTTTCTTCAGAGCTTCTGATGAATCCTAAAATACATTCAAATTTAATCAGACATTTATCAAATGATAACAAAATATAAGTATGGATATATTATTTCCCAAAAAGTAGCAGAGGAATTTTTAAACTATGAAACTAAATTTGCAAACTGTGCAGAAAACATTTATGAACTTAGTTACTTTAAAAATTTGTTACCTTTCAAAATATTAAAAAACTTAACGTCTACTACATTTTTGAAACTATTTATCAGGGCTGTGCGAATAGTTCGAAAAACGAATCGAATCCGAATCTTTTTAGAGATTCGATTCGGATTCGAGAACGAATCTACTGTTTCTAACTGGATTCGGATTCGGAATCGATATTCGAATTTACTGGTAAGAGATCCGGGTTCAGATTCGATATTCGAATTTCTTGGAAATAGATCCGAGTTGGGATTTGATATTCAAATTTACTAGATTCTGATTGAATATAATTTTTTAGACACTAAAAAACTACTTGTGCACTCCGATTTGCTGTTGACTGGTTCATGTTAGGAACCTGACCAACTTGGTGTTAGGCTTTAGGCACATTAGTGTAGGTCGCATTTGAACCCTATCTTGGCTATCAGTAAACTTAACCTCACAGTGTTAGTTGTTACTTGTAATAGTAATGCAGACATAGGCTTGTGTGGAGGATTAACACCGAGGTGTATAATAGGCTGGGCCTATGTTTTAGACTACACAAATTGGTAGTCCATCACTTTTAGCGAGAAACTTAGGCCTAGGTGGTATGCCTAACTTATGCCCAATTTTTTAGTTTCAAAACTTCAAATAGGTAGGCCTAAATTTCATAACTTTTTTATTTGGCCCACTTCAAGAATTTTTTTAAGCAATTCCCTAAGTTATTTCAGCCCCAGAAAATGTGGTCTAAAAATGTGAAAATTGGTACTGCTGACTTTCCTCGGATTTGGATTCAACTCTGAACAGGTTTAAATATTCGGATTCGATAACAGCTTTAAATTTCAGATTCGGATTCGATCCAGGTTCGATAATGGCTGTAAATTTGAGATTCGGATTCGACCCAGATTCGACTCGGGATTAATTAAAATATTCGGATTCGATCCGGATTCGATAAAATCTGTACAGCTATGATTCGGATTCGGATTCGAACCAAAATTTCTGGATTCGCACAGCCCTGCTATTTATATATAAAATTTCATTTACCTGAGCATTTACGGCTGGCTTAGGTTGGCTTGAGTTGTTACCAGCTTTCTGTAAAAGAACTTAACATTATTAGGATACCAAAGAATCGACAAACCAACACAATGGTGATAATCAACTTGCAGAGGAAAAATTTAAATTTAATTATATAACATATACTAAAAATATACAAGCAAAGCGTCTCAGAGTTTTCAAATGTGATGCAAGCAATTTTAGCCACTGCATTACAAGACTAACAAAATCACAACAAACCACTTACATCCAAAATCCAACTTCAATTGAGGTTGATTAAGGGCTGGTTCAGAGGGTCTTCTGTACTCATCACAGTATGTACACATCAAGTAAGAAAGTTGGCATACACCAATAAAAAATAGGTTTTTACTTTCCCCCTTATATGTAGTAAAAAAATTGAGAAAATATTGTTTTTGACAACATGTTTTAGTTTTTGGTGGAAATATCCGTTTGAGGTTCCCCTGAACCCAAAAAGTGGTTTTAAAAGTGATGTCAGTATGTGTATCTGTATGTATGAGTGTTGATGTGTAAAGAGCTACAAACTATACCTTTGGTCCGATTTTGGTGAAATTTTGTATGTGATACTAATTTACGGTATCTCCAGGCATTTTTTCATTTTTTTAAATTCTAATTGTTGATGGTGATTTTCCCATAAAACCCCCAAAACATAATGGAAAATCTTATTTTCACAAAAAAAGGTTCAAATGATTTTAATTAAAATTAGTTTGTGATGGTCCTTTTAACTCTAAAAACATATACAACGCCCAATACAGTAAAAATTAAGGTTCAAAAGTTAAGTTATAAGTGCTGCTGAAAAGCTAATGGGAGAAAGTATACGTGTCATATTGCTAATACCGTTTATTTGAAGTAAACTCACCTGTAGCTGTTTGAACATTGCTAAGAATTCATTGGACAACTGGTTGAGACCAGGGTGTTGTTGTGGCGGGGCGGGGGCCTGAGGCAGCTAAACACCCAAAAACATGCTGTTAGTGACCACACTCAGACAGGGAGGACAGAAGTTTCACTGTTTCCAGGTTGGTTTTGTTGAATACAATTTCAATATAGAAAATTCTCAGGATATCAATGTATAATTTTCTTAAGTTTCATAACTGCAAGGCGTCAAGTGGATACAAAAATTCAAGCATGACTACATCAAGGTTTTATGATTACATTGGGAGGCTTATATTACATAAACGGTGAGTTTGTGGCTCTAAACCTCGTTAGTTTCAGTGGCGCCACTAAAATTTACCAAGTTTATTCTTGTAGTCTACCAGCTCACCCTTTGATTTGCTTGACAAGTCCCTGCACAGGCCTGAGGCCCATATGGATGAGAAAATTCTATGTTAAAAGACAGTGACACTCTTTGTTGTATTACTTATTTTGAGCTAAACATGATTTTAGAATGGTTGAAATGACCTGTAGAAATCTGTCGCAGACACTGACTTGAGACCTGCCTTTTCTTTAGCTACTCTGGTATACACTTCCAACCAAAACTGTACTTCAGATTTTAAAGTTTGTGCTCAATTCATTTTTAAGACCTGGGAACTGCCATTACACTAAAGTTTCAATAAGCTAAAACGACCCCGAGCTGTATAACTCAAACACCTAAGGATTTTAAAGGTAGCTTTTCCTAGCTTAAGGTAAAATTTTAGTGTCACAACACCAGTATTAGCCTCTAATTTCTACACTGTGTTTAGTATGTTAAAGTAGTTACACAACTATTATATTTTCAATTCTTGACATTCTTTACCCTTGTTTTGTAAGAGATCAATCTGAATCCTGGTTTAACTACCATCAAAAGTAGACATCTCATCTTCAAGGACCAGATTTTTTAAATCAAAGTTCAAACTTAGTTTGAATGACCCACTTACAAAGTGTTTTATGTCCTAAATATATATTTTCTCCCTTGTATAAATATTATATGTGCCATCAAAAATTTATTGATTTTTGATAGATTGTATTTTTGATTCGGCTTGTTTGACAGAACCGGTAATTTACTTCAGCACACTATCAGTGGCCCAATTCAACTAAGTTCAACGTTGTTCTAAATCTGGCTACAACTTTAAAATGGGAAAGGGATGTCTCTTTCAATCCTTAGTCCAACTCCTACATTCAACAGCCAAAACACACTACTACTTATTTTGCAAAAAATGGTCAGAAAACTAAGAAAACTTTTCCAAGATCAATTATCCTGAAGAGATAAGTGGTGTACATGAGGTTGCTCTGATTGATAGAGCCAATATAGACAAAGGTTATATCCAACAAAAACAATACTTGTGAAGTGTTTGTACTGATGAATAGGGAAACTACTTACGCTCTTTGGAGTGCCAGCTTTCTCTGGCCGCAGGTTGAGTTCCGCAGCCCCGGAACTCTGCAGCTGCTGCAGGTTGTATTGGTGTCTTGGACTGCGGTTATCTGTATCACCACCTCCTCCTCTTGGCCTCTGTTTCACCATTCCGTTCTTGTTGGGTGAACCACCTAGCCAACCATGTTATATCAGCTGATAATCTTAATTTGTGAAAACAGTCTTCCCACAAAATGTCAGATTATCAAGATCGGTTTTTTTTGTATGATCAACATATGAAAATAGGACCTTTTCTGTTAATTCACTAACACAACACTATGTTTTTTCAGGTTGGAATGTTATAATTATCTACAAATCCTGTTTAATGTTAGGTTGTTTTTTTTTGTTTTTAGCGAATTTCCCTATAGGGAAGTAGCTATTACCGTAGGTGTGTAGCCGGGGGCCGATTGTGGTAGGGGGGGAAACTACTGGGTTATAGTATGGGATGGAGGAGGGAAATTAGGGTAATCAGGAGGGAATAAACCGGGTAATGTAATAGGTTAGGAGAAGGTGTGTCTGGACCAAACTTAACATAAGCGTGCTGAATCTGCTACCAATAAAATTAGGAAGATTGCTGGGGACCAGAGGGACGGAGACCTTTTACCCAGATCAGAACACTTGCCTAGCCAGCTTTGATTGAACCAATTGAACTAACTATTTAAATATTAACCTATCCTTCAAACTATGAACTGAACTTGGGAAATTACTTACTAATATTGATGAGTGAGGGAAAATAATATGTAGATTGAATATTGAGTGGCTAATATGTATGAAATTGATGGATAATTGCTAAGCTACATTCTGGGAACATGTGGTTTAACTAACAGGTTTGAGAAGGTCCGCTACCTTAAGGGTAGCGAACCCGGCTAACATTTTGTTTCCTACATTTCACCAGTCGGGCGAGCCAGAAGGGCTCCCCGCTAGTTACCTGACTTAGCCAGACATTTTCCCTACTTAATTTCTACATATTAACTATTACAACTTATCCCAAACATCGAAGAGAAGTCCTGGAACTTTTCCGAGAGGTTCTATGTCCAGATGCCGGTTTTCGAAGAAGGAGGACAAGACTAGGAAAAGTGGGGATAGAGCATTGATGCAGTCGCGGCAGGCAACGAGATGAACATGCAGCCCGGCTTCGCGAACTGCACACACTATAAAAAAATATAGCGTGCCGCTATGCGTCACAACCACCCCCCCTTCGACGAAAGAAAAGAAAAGAACAGAACAGTTTCTTTTTTTTTTTTTTTTTTTTTTTTTTGGGAGGTTGGTGAAAGGGTTTGGTTTGGTGTTTTTTTTTTTTTGTTTTTTTTGTGGGGAAGATTGTCGTTCGATTTGCTTCCAGATGTGGAAGGTTCTGACCAGCCTGGTTGTAATAGGCACCTCGGACCACCGGACTTTCCCGAACCAACCACGGCAGAGAGCGGGATCCACCCCCCCTGCGAAAAGAGGAAGGCATTGTGGGGACGACAGTTTGTTTCCCTAACCTGGCAAAAATTGGAATTGAATTGCTTTCTGTTGTGAAATAAAAAGGGACGGACAACTGCACGCACAAAAGATTTTTTTTTTTTTTTTTTTTTTTTTAAATAAGGTTCTCTTCCTAAGGCATTGCTGGTGCACTGTGGGGGAATTTGAGATCAGCTGGTGTGTCTTCTGGTGATGCAGGTCTTGAGAGGTGCTGATGGTATGGGCTAAGTGTTGAGGCAGCATGCTGAGTGTAGGCAAAGAGATGTTGTGTGCTGATGACTCATGCGGACAAGGCCGGAGCATCGCAGGCTGCGCCCAAGGTGTGTTGGCTGATGACTCATGCGGACAAGGCCGGAGCATCACTGGCTGCGCCCAAGGTGTGTTGGCTGATGACTCATGCGGACAAGGCCGGAGCATCGCTGACTGATGATGGGGGATGTAAAGATAAATGTCTCTTGTGGTCCAAAACAGATGTGCACGATATTTCATGATTGATTGGTATGCGGGAAAATTGTAGAGTTGTTAATTGAGTTTTGCTTTTTCATTTGATTTATTTATTATTTTTTGCTTGCTTTGATTGTGCAGTTGTCTGGTGTCTATTAAATGCTGGGGGAAATGAATATTTAATCAGATCGCAGATGATCGTAAAAAAATTATTTTCAAGGTGACTGTCGTTGTGGAAATGAAGAAGGGTTGGTCGCAAGGTGGAGGTCCGATCACTGACGGGTTGGCTCGGACTCAAAAGGTGAACCATGGGTTCGTTGGGGCCGAGCTACTCAAAACCAGACTGATGGAACTCGCGGGTACCGTTTTGGGGTCTGTGTGTTGAAGGAGTTTGGAAGGATAGTAACTGTTCTTGTTGAAACCTTTTTTTTTTTTGTTGAAACCTTTTTTTTTTTTTGTTGAAACCTTTTTTTTATGACGAAATTTCGGGTTGAGAGACAAAATTGAGATTTTAAAGTACGTAATTGTCGTCTCACCTGAAATTAGGTCACACCTTAAATTTGTCCAGATAGCTTAGCCTACAATGAGATAGTCCAGGACTCTAACGTGTTCGTTAATTAATTATCGTTTTGAGTTTATTGGCTCAGAATATTAAATACAACAATAATGCTTACAATGTTAAGCTTACCTTTAACAAGTGCTCATCATAGCCACTCGAAAAATATGTAAAGTTAAATTTAGAATTTTGAATAACCTATCGAAATGCGAATAAGCCTAATTAATTAGAAACTGAACTAAAACGTGATTCGGTCGTTATACTTGGTAATCACCAAAGTAAACTTGTCAGGAAAATTAGACTCGGTCGATCACCAGAGTCGATACGGGGTTTTTAAACCAAATTTACGTAGGACGGTCCGGGGTAACGGGGTAAGTCGTACGTAAACCGTTCCGGCAACTTAACTGATTTCCGAAGCTGGTTTAAGACAAAAGGTAGTGTGCTCGTACGTGAAAAAGCGTGCGGGGTGCGCGCGACTGCGGCACAGTAAAATAAAAATAATAAAACTTCTCCAAAAATGAGAAATAAATAAATGACAAAATAAATTCGGTAGCACACTAACCTGATGACTTATGATTCTACCAGGAACGGGGGAAATCTTTAATTGACCAGAATTTAGGAGGTTATAGACTGTTGGATTGTCTCCAAACAGCAAGCGTACTGACGGTTCGGTAGCGGGTGGACGACTGACTGTGAGGTCTGCTCTTCTGGTCCTTCTTCGCCATCGCCCCTGGCGGCGGGGTAGGTAACTAGCGTCATCCCCTCTACGATGACGTAGGACCCTTGCCCCTACGATGCCGCTGACAACGCGGGCGCTGCTTACCCCGAACGTAGACAATTATAATATTTAATAATTTAATATAAAACTTTTAAAAATCGGGGATTTTTACCCCTTGACGGGTTTTGGGTCGTTACACCCCCTTCTTACTTCGCAGAGAAAAAAAGAAAAACAGAAAAAAAGAAAAAAAAGAATACCCAAACCTAGGGTATTGTCGGCATCTGCCGCGAAGCTCACTCGAGCGTAAACAAAACAAAATTGAAACTACTTAAAACGGGCACATCGTCTCAATATATTTCCTTCATCGTCCGCAGCTTCTTCGTGCGGACCCGGAAAAACGTTCCATCCCCTGAACACCTTCATCCTCTGATTTTTCCTTCGCCGCCTCGTGTCTTCCAACGGCAAATTGGACAGGAGGTCGCGCACCTCCTGTGGTACTGGCCGGTTAGACGATGCGGTGGTGAACGGGGTGTGAGGCGTATCTGCGGGAGCATTGCGACGGTTGGCTGGGGATATCTCCACCAGCGCGACCGTTGTAACCGCGGGTCGATGGGGTGGCTCTTCTTCCTCCTCGCCTTCCAGGTCGGACGTGACCTTCTCGAGAAGCGCGAGTTCGTTCGCTAAACACGTCTCCAGTCGCTTGCCCTGGTCATTCGACAGCCTACTCACTGCAGCTACGTCGTTGGCGGGTCCGGAACATTCTCCAGGACCGCGTTCTACAGTGAGTTCAAATCGTGCCAAGCCGAGGTCGTTAACTTGCGTTATTCCTAAAACTAAATCGCAAGCCAATCCCGTCACATGTAACGCGTCCCATTCGTATTCGAGTCCACTGAATAACCCGCGAACTCGGTATCCAGTCGTGATGTGAGACAGCATGCCATTCGCCATTCTTATATCAACATCGCTGTCTATAGGCGGAACCCCTTGGGATTTTAATAACGTTGCGAGACGGTCACCAATGAGGCTGACCACGGCGCCGGTATCCACGAGGGCCCTAAACGGTTGACTGAATATTTCTACGGTTACGAAGGGTCTTGTGTCGAGGGAAACAACATTGTGGTTGGTCGAGACGGGGAAATCCTTTATTCGTTGGAGCCATGTTCTCCATTGTTGGGGGGGTTGTGTTTCGGATTGGGGATTTGGACTCGGCCGCCCCCTTCTTAGCTGAATCCGGTGTGCGTTTCCCGCCTTGCAATGGCATTTTGCGGTCGAGATGCCTTTGATTTTGCAATAAAAGCACTTCCAGGTTCTCGGTTTGGGGCAATCACGGAACAAGTGTCCCGTACGGTCACAATTCCAGCAAACGTACTGGTTGTTGACGTGGACGGTTCTCTCCAGTGCCACCCCTCTCACATTCGTGTGGGAGTTGGGCACGGATAGGGTTTGTGCCTTGGGTCGCGAACTCGGTCCTTGCCGCGCGCGGTCGTATCTCTGGTGCTGCGGGTAGGACCGGGAGCTCGGTTCGCGCGGTGACTCAGCAGTGACTGCGGCGTTATCGATCGGACGTTCGGAACGCCTTCGCCCGTGGTACGCGGTTTCAGGAATGAGAGAGATAGCCGGAGGTGGTGGAGGACGAAACGTACTCTTATCCCTAACGTAGGACTCGTACTCCTCGGCACGCTTAATCAATTCGGTCAGAGTCAAGCAGTCCTGGCGTCGAACCATAAGTTTGTATTCGGGTCGCATATTCGTATAAATCAAGTCAATCTTGTCGTGGGACGAAATGGATCCTCTCCTTCGAATTAGCGTGCTTAACGCGACTACAAAATCTCTAAACGGCTCTTGGTCACCCTGTGTCCGCTTACGAATCTCTTCGTCCAAGTTACGGCGATAACCGAGAGGTAGATATTGGATTTCGAAATGGCTACGAGTTTATTGGCTCAGAATATTAA